ATGTATTCACAGTAAACGCGCAGATTGTTATTCTTATTGTAAATGATTGTTATTTTTCCATAATACGAAAATAATAGTACTAAATACACGAACATTTTACCCTAACTGTATTTTAGTACCGCAAAAATGCAAACAAATGTCATCATTTTTTTGTTATTAAAATAAAATGTTTAATATTATTGTACCTATTATATTTTATTAATTATTATGGAGCTATAGGGAAGTGCCAAATTTTATTTAATTAAAGACTAAAATGCGAATTTACTTTCTCAAGTGTCTAACCGACCGATTTAATTTTTTTTCTGTTATATTAAAATTTACTATTTTCTCTAGGTGGGCTAAAAGCCGATTTTTGTTTTTTTTAATTTTATTAATCGATTGTTGAAATTCTACAAGTCGATTTATACATATTTAATAACTGATTCGTTTACTTCAAAAAGATAAATTTGAGCAAATAAAATCGGACTTAAACACAATTTTAAATGAAATATCATTAGTCGATTTCTACATTAACCTAGAAAAGTGGCCGATTTAGTCAAATATTTTTACATAATTGATATCTAACGATCCTAAATTGGCCTAAAATGTCCAACAAACAGGCCACTTCAACCCCCTTAAGATGGGTCAAAACATATTTACTGGAATCAAACTTATAAATTTTACAACAGTTTTTGGCTACAATAAATTCTGACTTAGAGCATTTTCTTCAATGTCTAATAAGTAAGCATGCTGTTCCCAATACACGTTCAATCAAGATTGTCAATGTATTATTTTCACTTCAAAATATCTATTTCTGTCGTAACCCTTTTTTGTGACATACGAAAACCCTTAAAAAGTAAAACATTTTTTTAAAATTAACTTTGAAATTTATAGAAAATACGTTACATTTTTTTATGTAGCCTTTGAGCTACTAGGGAGGGTATTCTAAAAATGGGCTCTCCCTCCTTTAATTATACCAATGGTTTTGTATGGGAAAAATCGCCTTAGATGATGTATCTAACCTATGTTTTCAAACAGGGTTTTGAACCCAATTTGTATATGAACTTCACAGTAAAAGTTTTCAAAACCAACTATGAGTCGATTGAACAATTTGCCAACACGACGTTAACCGCTTTAAAATGTGAATGTGTATAAACAGCTATACAATGTGTTATACCTACGCTAGGAAATGTGTCAATATTTTTGTAATCTTCGGTATAAAAACTCTCATATATACATATACATATGAATATCGTAAAAAGGCCTTTGCATAGTATGTTCTTTTTCGAATTCCAGCAAGTATAATAATAATTCCAACCAATGCATCAGCCCCTAATCTAACCTAGCCGGTTGTTTTTTAAATTGTTCTCAATTGGCAATGTAAAATATAAACGGATACTTTATCGATCGTTTCAAATGAAAATCTATTCATTTGCTGTAAAAACGAAATTGTTATTGTGTTTTCTGCTGTTGTTGTCGTTGTAACTGTTCTTATTTGTACAAATATTTCATATGCGAAAATATTTCTCTGAAAAACAACTTATTTTTTTTTGTTTCACATAGGTCGGTACTAATAGTTTTTATAACTTTATGCGAATTGTTGTTTTCAACGGTATTTTTTGACCCTGCATATTATTTTTCTGTTCGAATACGTATAAAAGCAATGTTTATAGATCAAATAGATTTACACAATACAGTATACCTTGGTAACCTCTACTTTAGGTATAATTTTAATTCCTAAAACTACAAATAAAGAAAAAAGATTAATTAATCCCACTATTTTTCAAAACAAATATGTTTTGCTTAAAAGTTAATTTTTCACCATTTTGTAATGGATTTTTCATTTGAGAATATCCGTCGATAGCCATACTTAGGTTTAGGCTACTATTTGTTTTATGGACTATCAAAGGCAGTAGTTGTAAATGAATAAAATATTTATGTGCGCAAATCGTATGTAAATAGTATATCCGATTAGATAACATTTTCAAGTTTTGACTATTTTCAATCTATGACCTTCGAAATTTCGACGTAAAAAGTAACACTAAGATGTGCACGAAATAAAATAAATTGTAATTCGAACATCGACAATTTTATTTATTGTTTTTGTCGTTCGATGTATTTTTCTGCCTAAAATGTATAAACATTAAAGGATTGGAAAAAAAAGGCCTAAAACATTCTCATGTGTAAACAAGTGCCGAAATTGTATGCTTTTCGATTTATTGTAACCTTAGCATTTTTAGTATAAAAAGTTTTAACAACAAATTTACACACGGAAAACCCCGATATTTCAACAACCCTCCCTCCTCCTGGGAAAAAGGCTGAATTTTTCTAAAACTTGTTTGGCGCAGTTTTAAGATTTAACTACTAACTGCTAACAAGTCAAATTAATTCTAAATTTGTGTGGAATTTAAATAGTTTCCAATAGAAAAGATAGAATTTTTTTCTTTATTTCACTTTTCGAAGCTAAGTTTTAGGGATTTAGGACGGGAAAATTAGACCGAAGGTATATTATCTAGAATGGAACTATAACATAAACAATTTCTCAAAAAAAAGACTGTGATCAAACTTATTTTATATTAAAGAAACCCCCCCCCCCAAAAAAAAAGGGGGAAATTACACTTTTACCGTAGTCAATTTCCAGGTTGCTATGTGTGAGTGAGTAAATAGACGATGAACATATTTCATTAATTGTTAACAACGATATATGGGTTATTATAACAATACATTTATATAGGGAGAACCTATTTTATATTTGTGACCAATTTATAAAGATAACATAATGTTTAAACTCTGCTTTCTTTTTTACTTTTGTTCAACGCCTTGTGGAAGCAAGTCCTTTAATGTGTAAAGCCTCAAGTGTAATTGTCATGCCGAATAAATATAAAATTGAATAGTGATAAGATAAAATATAAAAGGTATGAGATTAAGTATGTTGGTATGGTGTTCAGCAGCGAGGGAATGAAACCAGATGAGGACAGAATTAAAGCGTTAATGTCTTTAAAACCACCTAAATGTAAACTGGAATTACAGAGGTTAGGAGTTTTTAACTACTTACGACAGTTTATACCAAACATGTCTACGTTAATTACATCTCTGAGAGACTTATTAAAAAAAAATGTTAGTTGGTTGTGGAGTGAAGGTCATACTAAGTATTAGACAAACATGTAAATCATGAAATTAGCGAATTATGATTTTTTTTCTTTTTAATTAGGTTCTAATAAAATGATACCCAACAATATTTTATTAGGCCCGGTTAAGTTTAATTAAGTTGAAATTTGGCATACTTACATTATTAAGGTATAGAAAATTTGAGAGGAAGGGTGAGGTACAAAAAATAAAGTGCACCCTAATAAAAATGATTATACTTCTGAAGTTTATTATTCTATCTAAATCTTATGTATAATAATTATCGAATTTTTTTAAACAAATGTATAGAAATAGGAGACATTGTCTTTCTTAAATAAAAATTACTATTTCCTGTTTACTATTGGTTTTACCATAAACAAATTTGAACAAATTGTGTGATTTTCTAGTTGACTCGTTCCAAATCTAAAGATGAGCTACCGACAAGATCAAGAAAAGTATCTGTGAGCCCCGTGAGTTCTTATGTGCCATGTGGATCGACAGTGTAGAGGTAGCAAATAAAATCAAAAAGGCCGACGAAGGATCTGAAAAGAAAATATCCATCAGGAAAAAAAAAGATAAAGACAATAAGCCTGTAATGAACGATTCTCTAATGTGAGTTGACGGTTAATAAGTTTTGGGCACTACTAATTCGACATTTATTACACTTAAAATATACAAAAAAGATTTTTTTTTTTGCAAATACTTTATGTAAGACTGATTGACACTTAACATTCAATCTAGGAACAGCGACGTTGAATATTGTGACAAAGATACAACTGTGTCAGTTGGAGATAATTTGGTTGTTTACTATGTTGATAAACATGCTACAACTTACAATGCTAAAGTAAATTGATTTTTAATTTTTATTGTTATTTCTTTTAATGAACACACATACATTTAGTGTTGCTTAAAACAACTCTTCTCCTACCAAATTTCTTATATAAACTGCAATTTTTTATTATTTTTTGTTTTAGGTTCTTAATGCATGCGACATTGAAGGTGTCAAGAAATACTATGTCCATTATAAAGGATGAAATTCTCGTTACGACGAATGTATTGATTTAACACTCATCGCATTGAAATCTAAAGCACCGGAACCAGAACCGGATGTCGATAACGACGGAGGCGATTCGTCCAAAAGTGAAGTCAGTTTAACGTTTTTATTATTTTATTCAAAAATTAAATATAACGTGTAATACTTGGTCCCTCAAATGTTTTGTGTTTATCTGTACTAGTTTATGGATAATATGCTAAAAGAATTATTTTCTAATGAACAATGGCAGAGAGGGGCTGTGACCTAACTTAAATCAGATCTAGTCTGCCTGCATGTATTTTTTATCATATGCATTTAAAAATTTCAATGAATTTACCTATGTTAACCGTTTTTCTAAAAATGTTGGATAAATAATTTCAGTTGTTATCGGTACAATGCACAAGCAGGGTAGGGATTGTCCGCTGTTGCCCATCAGTCAATATTCAACTGTTTTAAATACAATTTTGGCTAACATTTTTAAGGTTTTGAAAATCGTTTAAAAATGATGCCAGTAAACTACAGTAAAATATTTACTTTATACTTAAAATTAAATCTACTCATTGTCAAATTAGTTAATAAACTGTTTAAATAACTTGGGCCATGTCGTCTAACCTAACCGGATTAGTTTAGCCGTCTTTCTTCTTCGTACGACACAGGTTCCGTTATTATCCAGATTAAATACAAAGAAATGTATTAAAAAACTAACATACTGTATATTTATTTAGTAAAATATTTATTAATTTAATCAATAAAATTAATTAATTCAAAACATATAATGTTTATTAAAGTAACAGAAACAGTCATTTTTCAGATTATTTTCAAACATAACATTTCGTATAAGAAACGACGTCATATTTCACATTGAAGAAATCGATGGTTTGCGATTTTCCTAATCCTTACATTGACACATGTTGAGACACTGTAACTCTTTATGGTAACTAAACAGTATGGTCCAAGAAAATAGAAATATCACTGAAAAAAAAAATGAAAAAAAAATAACTATTAGGTGTTACTATAACCCATTACTTTTGACGTTTTATTAAGGGGATAGGAAAGAGCTATTTATTAAGGGGCAAAGGGTAGGCAATATTCGGCAAAAATTATTGATCTAGCAGCCTTTTTCAAAATGCCGACTAATTTTAATGTGAAAAAATATTTAGTTTTCCTAGTTATAATACTTTTAAAGTTATTTTTCTCTGAGTTGTATCATAATTGAGAATAATGTACTAAAAATGTTGACCGGTTGATAACCAATTTTGGACAACTATTTTTAAAGTTTTTAAAGGTTTAAAACGTAAGACGGGTAGTGGAGTTTAAACGTTAGGATATTAAACCGGTTATTGACCAGTCAACATTTTTAGTAGGTTATTCTCAATTTAAAAATGTCATGAAATATATGCGTCACCATTTAAGTTAAGAGAGGGGTAAAAACAAAAATAAATGTGAAAAATGTAATTCACATATATAAAAACAATATTATAAAACAAAAATTGTAATTTCTTATTAAACCCTATGAGTGGCCCATGCTAAAATAATCACCCTGTTTATAGGTAACAAAAAAATAAATTGGTTCGGTGGACAAGTTTTAGTCTATATTTGTAAAAAAAATTAACGTTTTCCGTTCCCTTTAACAAAATGTTTTATGCTAGTTTTTTTTTAAATATCAGCTATTTTTATGGGAAAGGGGAGACGTGGCAGTGATCCCGAATCAGCAATACCGTGTACACATGTGTAAAGTTTTTAAAATTAAAATAAAACGCTCACTACAGTTTATCGTTGTCAGTACTATGGAGATGACCAGCGAACCCTGTTGTTTCTGCGTCAGAGCCGCCGTTCTGATGTCGACGGGTCCGCCGCCGCCGCCACTTCGGTTCGTTGTCAACGCGTCGTCGAATTGGTCGCTGCCGCTGGCCCTTTGTTTCAGCGGAGTATGCGTGGACCCCGATTTGGACTTTTTCGATTTGTTCGACGTTTTCCGTTTGCCGTTTTTCGCTTTGCCCCCACCTTTGGTATGTGGCGACTTGGGGATGACCGTCGACAGCGGCACGACCACGGTGTTGTTTTTTATCTTGTCCAAGTCGTAGGCCGGTTCGCGCTTTATCTTGTCCAAGTCGTTGGCCAGTTCGTGCCACGAACAGTCCAGCAACCACAACACCTCTGGACACCGGGTGTCCAAACAGATGTTCCTAATCAACGCGTCCAAATGCAACACACTGAGTAAACACAACGTACACGGTGTCCCGCGTAGTAGACCTAACCTTTCTGTACGTATAATCCCGACTGCTAAAGGTCAAATCCTCTTGGGACACTTCGGGCCACGGTGCAAATAGGAAAAATTGTCAAAGGGGGAGAGGGTTTATTGAATAATAAGTTTCTTGTGAAAAACACATTTTTTGATATTGGACTTTGGAGCAAGAATTAAAATAAGATATTAAAATAAGCAAAATTTTAATGAGATAGTAAATAATTGAATCAATTTAACGAATAATGTAACTTCGAAGCCCAGCAATTCGTTTTCAAATATTTAAATTTATGAAAATGTTAAAACTTTTTATATTAATTACATTTGTTTCGTTTTTTTTTCTTACTTCTCGTTTATGTCTAATTGTAGAATAGCAGCCCCAACAATTAAAAAATTATAAAATATTTGTTAAATCTTAACTGCTCTAAATCGTCATTAAATATTGGCTCGGGTCAATAGTTTCAAATAATTTACATTGTATACTTCTTGTGAATTGGTTGTATATAAAAAATGTAAATAAAAACTATTTTTATTGATTCAAATTGGGAAAAATTAACAGAACTATACCTTAATGTATATTCTAGTGGGGGCTATTTGTGTCACAGCGCTCTCAGGACAAAGATTGCAAAGTTATGAAGAGCTAAAAATTATAATTAAGTAGAAAATTGACTACGGAGCCTTATGGAAAGTAAAAATATTGTTAAGTTAATTTGCCAAAAGTCGCAATCTGCGAAATAGCCCCATTTAGATTCAAGTGACAGGTCTAAATGGAATGTGTATATTTTACCTGGTGTTGCTGGCACTGAAGTAAGAACGAAACACAAGCGCCGCCCATAAGGTCAGAAAAATAGTCCACAGTATGGTCGCCGTTGAAATTATTTTAGACGAATCCTAAACATTAAAGTGCAGGTTAATGTTTGGTAAACGTTAAACGGTAATACTGGGATGGAAGTTGTCGTTAACTCGGCAAAAGCTACAAAGTAATCTTGTATAAAAAAAAAAAAGTCAAAACAGAATTAGTATTTTTAATTTACTAAACGAGGAACATGATAAAGTTTACTGTTGAAATGATATTGCTAAAAAGTAATTATTGTAATTCTCACATCTAAAACATTACTAGACCAAATACTTGAACAAAATATAGGTACACTTATGAATTAGGTTTTTCTAACGAGGTGAAGGCGTTCACTTAATTAAGGGAAACAATAAGGGCGATATTAGATATAAAAATTTAAAAAAAAAATTTTAACTTTTTTAATGGTTATTAATATTAGCCTTAGAAAAAGCTAATATAACATATATTTTAATTAGCTATTAAATTGATTTGTATTGTTTTGATTTATTTTTTGAAGAAACTTGAAATACATTTAAGTTAAAATCTATTTGTATTCATGTTACATATTTTAGCGTAAAAAGTAATATGAAATTAATATTTTTCATTATTATTGTTTAGATAGTTTTTTTTCAGTTCAAGTACTGTTCTAATAATGAAAAATAAAAATTGTACACAAACAAATTATATTTCAATTAAACTGCTTAACTTCCATCCCGGACCGATCAATGTGCGCATAAAACTTACTTTGTACGCTCCCATAATGGCTAACAACCAAATGACAATCATTAAAATATTGAAAAGGAACATAATGATCCATGGAACTATGTACAAAAACAAAAACAATATACTAAATAATGCAAAATTTGTGCGTGCTCATATTTTTTGAATTTACAAAACAAACAAAAAACACAATAACCGCACGACAAAATTATTTTAGTTAGCCAGTCTAATAAAGTGCTTATCATATTGAACGATATTAAGGCCATACTTACGCGGTTCTTCTCCATTGAGTGAAAAGGCGTTTATCAATATCGTGCACACAGCCAATGTCTGAAATGGAACAAACACATGACGTTTTACCGATGAAACTTACACTTGCACATAATTGGGTTTTTTTTTTTTACTTCCATACAATAAACAAAGAGGAGATCAGGATCACACCGAGCTGTAACGCCAACTGGCCAAATAAATTCCTGAAGATCAACATTTTCTTCGATCACAGTCGCCGAGAGCCGAGCACATTTTACTGAACTTTAGAGTATTGTTTTCCAACACATGTCGTCCGTCGATGAAAACCTATTGATTTTCAAATGATAATTTTTTTCATAGTAACGGGGATTCGAACCGGCAGTTATTCAAATCCTACTATATGCTGGTCCATTACTGTAAACCTAACCTTCCAACTCCTGCAATATATAATAATAATAATATTCTTCTTGGCGAGTAAATAGTAAATACCGCGCAAAACCGTGACTTTATTCAACTAGGACTGTACCCGTTTGAAACGGCGCATCCAAATTGGTCAATTTTTTTTTATCACAGTCCGTTAACAAGGTGTGAAAATATAGATAATACCCGTTTTTAATTACGTGAACTTGCATAAAAATAAATTGACAGTAAAAATGAAACGGTTAAGTTACGTAGGTCAACATTTTTGATACCGATGTGTTATATTTTTTAATAAAAAAAAAAAAAAAGTTTTAAAAATATTTAAACATTTATGAAAAGAATAAATAAAATTGTTTGCTCACAATCGGGCTATTGTATTTTAAAACCACAAACATGGGGAAATTAATAAAAACTTTTTATTATTCTAAATTTAAAAAAATTAAAAGAGTAATTTTAAAAAAAACCAGAGCCTGGTTATATTATTTACTTGCAGCTAATAGTTCTAGTCTACAACCCCTTAAACAGCCCTAGTGTTTATAATACAATATTTACTTAAGTAATTATTTATTTTTTAGCAAAAGAACATGGACATGAAAAAATGCCTCGGGATGGATGCGTGGAGCTACTAGTAGACGAGAAGCGATTTGGAATTAGTACACACGAGTTAGTTAATTGGTTACACCGTTAGCGAGACTTGAATTAAAGAGGAATGCATGTCGGGCAATAAGGTAGTGAAAATAAAATAGTGAAATGGGTAATAGAGATTGGTGTAGAAAGATCTAAAGAAGATGATGTTAACCTTGGAGAGTTGGAAGTAGCGGAAAGAAACATAATGATGGTTAAAGAAAAGTATGTAGAGAGTCGATTTAGCTGATGGTCCTCATTTGTGTGGTAGGTATAAAGCGCAAAAGATAATTGCTAAATCTTAATTATCATCTAAGATAATATGTGAGAATGGTCGCATTAAATTATATTAGTTATTTTTAACACATTATTTAGTATAAGTTCTAAATTAAATCTTAATCCCGAATAATTTAATGTTTTCAAATGTAATGCAATTTAAGGTATGATGAAATGCATTTTAAATTTTTTTTCCAATTTAATTTTTATAAATTAATATAACTTATAAAAACGACAAATAATACACTTTTTTTATTAATTTGTTATTTCACATTTAATACAGCTGAGGCGCGGGAATAGACATTTTTTTAAGTAAGCAGTACCGTCAATTATTGTAAAAAAAATTTAATTATTATTAGAAACATACATTATGACATTATTTGTAAATATTATTTACTAAAAATTACATCTATGGAGTGATGACCATTTCATCCACACAAGTTTGAAGACGTGCAAAACGGGCAAGAGATCTTCAATAACGCCTTTTTACCCTCTCAACGTTTACCGGGGTTCTTACAGCCCTTCTTGGGCCTGGTGGTTTCATTTTAATCTCTGTTCCTCATGTCCAAAATTAATTTACCCTTATCGTAAGTCCAAAATCCTCCAACACATGATGTCTAAAATGTCATGTCTTGGAGAGTAAAATAACATCTCCGCCAACTTTCTACCAATCCTACAAACTTAAAATTATACACAACAAAAAAGGTCTATTCCCGTGTCCCACCCTGTAAATGCAAATTTATTATTACTAATTTAAGGCATTTTTTTGTTATTTACATTTATTATTCAGTTTGCATTAACATTTCATTCAAATTGAAGCGCATTCCTTTAGAGATGGAACGCATTTACGTACTATGTATTTATTGGTTGGATACATGGAAGACCAATTAGATTAGATTTTCATCCAATTGTTTTTGTTTTGCAGATAATTCAGATTCGGAAAGCGAGTGTTCGAGCAATTTGGGATTGGCCAAACAGTACAACAAAAGAAACCATCAGTCGTTGAAGATATCCAAGGCTGAGAGAGACGAGGGATTGCCGACCAAGACGGGCGATTTGCTGGAATCAGACGGGCAAAAGAAATCGCTTTACCCAATAACGTATCGCAGCAAAGAAGCGCTGTTGCAACGTTCCGGGCCCAAGAACCCGCTAATCGATGTCAGTAATTTCATATTTACACTCAGCCTAGAGTTCCAAATACAATTAATCAATGAAACTGGAATCATCTATATGGCCGACGACACTCTGTCGAAATTGTTCAGTATGTTCGTAACCAGCATTTTTTGCAACTGTAGATAGCACAGTACCCTTTACGAAATTGAAAATTACCAAAAAAGATTTTGTCGTTTCGCCTAAACCACGCTTCAAAATATTGTGCCAACGAAGTGAAAAACGACAACAAGTAACCATCTTCTCTAATGTTACTTGCATGTCTCTGATAATCTATTTCAAAAAATTGTGTATCGTCACAGAAGTCTTTGCCCAAACACAGTGGACAAGGCGTCAAGTTAAGTTGTCGTACCAACAGCTTCACAAGCTGAAGCTCATGGTGGCTGTTTTGGTAAGCTAGTATTACTGTGACTAAAGCAACTGTGGCAACAAACAGCAATGTCGTTGGTGTCATTAACTGAGCGCAACGTAAATGCACGAGCAAGTGGCTGTTAGATATTAAACGAATAAATCATATTTACTTCACTTATAGGAACAACACAACTACAAAACTAATAAAGTAACACTGCAAAGATGCTATGCTGCCGCGTTATGAACAACGTTAGAAAGAGATAGATGGTTGTTAGGTTGACCATGGAATAAAAATTGAAAAGACATGGAATAATAATAATTTAAATATATATATGACAATACACCAAATGGAAATTTATAATAATTAAATCTTATTTAATTATTATTTATTATTGTGTTATGCGAAATTGTAAAACATTTTTAAACGTTGTAAACGATTTTTTAAATCGGTTAAGCCTCTAATGCACGCCAACGTTGAACAGTATGAAATGTCCAGATGAGAATCCTAAATAACAAATAGTAATAAATTTCCAATATATATTTTTAAAAAATGCAATAACTACTTTTTCTCGATCTTCAAAGACAGATTCGTTTTTTATGGAACTGACTACAGCTGACCAATCTTGCAAATTTATCTTCACCTAAAAAATATTAAAAATATATTAACATGCTTTATTAGTAACTAAATGGAAAATGTTGCTGATTTCTTTTTATATATTTTAAACATGTTGTGGTTTAGAATTTAGATGATGAAATGTTTAAAAACTGCTAAGACATAAATCAGTTTGGTATTAGCTATTTGAAACCATTACATCTAACATCTTTGTTATCGCCTTATAAAATTAAAAAAAATAAAAACCTTAAATTTATTTGAAGTCTAAAAATTTTATTTTTGAAAGTTTTATTTTAGTTTTTATCAAAATATGTATTTGTATGTACCTTAATAATCTTAATATGCCAGGATACAAACTGACTAAATTGATCTACATAGTCTTTAGCTTTTACATAACAAGTGGTAGCTTTAGTGAAATCTCCACGCTCAACAAAATGGTCACCGATGTACATAAAATTTTTATATATGTTATGCCTGGTTGAGCACGTAAAAGATTTTCTTAGCTTTTTATCAAGGTGTTCATATCTACAAGCCGCTTTTTTTGACATTATCTTCAGCCTATGTTTAAATTCACGTTCATGAACATCTGACTGCCTAATTCTATAAAATAAAACATTAAAAAATAATTATAACAATAGATGAAGTGTTATAATATAACATACTTAAAATTATTTTGAAGTTTATAATGAACCAATTTAAATAATTCGGTATTCAGAGTTTTAAGGACATACGAAAGAGCTAATCGCAGTGCATCACCACATATTTTCGGAAAATGTTGAGCAATGAACATTATTCTGTTAATCCGTGTTAGGCCACTGTACTTATCAACATACTCTTCCAGATTCTGTAATACATACACATAAAGTTTTATACGAAATAACAATACAAGCAAAACTCAACTTACAAATGAGTCAATGTCAATGTCAATGCACAGTTCAGATGTTTGATCAGTACACACGCATTGTTGTTTACTCAAGACATTCTTAGCTTCTCAATTTCTTTTGTATTTTTTTTGGAATGGATCACTTGCCTTCTGATAATGTTTGTATGATAATATCTATTGATCTCTTTTGCTTTTACCATAGCTTTGTTGTATATTTCTGGGCTTCTATTTGGATATGTGATACTAAGGGCCTATAATTCATAAATATATATTATATTATACATTTCATATATATATATATATATATATCTATTTGTTAAAATAAGAGTTATAAACTACTCAATATTTACTTACTTTATTCAGCAAGTCAAAGCTACCATTTATATGCCCATCCTGTACAAGTTGCACAAGTTTACTTTCTAAATCGGGTAAAGGTATATTAAGACACACTGCCATTTTTCTTATATCAACATAATCCAAGGGCCTGTACACAGAAATAACCAAAATAGATAACAGAAATCAAGTTTTTAACACACAATAATTACCTTAGATATTCCAACATTGTATTGTGGCCGATGGCGGAGTAGATTGTTTTTATATGAGATCCAATGTACATATCGAGAAGCAATAATGGCTAAACAAGAAAAAATTATATACTGTGATTATAAGTTATTTATACTAAGCCAAAACAACGTAAAATAACCTGTATGTTAAGATATCAACGTAAATGACACAACGATATAAGGTATTGAACATGGTATTGGAAGGGTCGGGTTTAGTTGTCGAGCTCGAGCATATTTGAGGGAGAGGACGGCAGTTATAAGAAATAAAAATAAAATGGATAACAGTTTGTATTACAGAGTTTGTTGGTTGATAAAATATACCACCAGATAAGACCCAGTCAAAATCTTTTAAAATAATTATACCTTAATATCATCGAGCGTTTTCAAATATGCATTATATTTAATATTGTGCAACTGGAAAATTGCATCAAATATCTTGGGTTCCAATCCGAAAAATGGTTTGAAAGATCTAGCACGAAAAAAAATGTAAACTATGGTTAGATAGGAATACATATAAAAGTAACAACTAAAACCTAGTTAAGAATAATTAGGAAAAAACAATATAAAATGTTTAATACTTACTTGTTGTCAATTATTTTGTCTTTTAATTCTAAGCGGTTAAATGAAGCTAAAGCACACAATCCACAGTATATAGCGACATTATTTTTGGTCAATACTTCAAAATCATCATCGTAATGATAAAAATTAACTTCTAAGAAATTGTCAGCTGCTGATTTGTAGCAACGATTTTTTAAATCGGTTAAGCCTCTAATGCACGCCAACGTTGAACAGTATGAAATGTCCAAATGAGAATCCTAAATAACAAATAGTAATAAATTTCCAATATATATTTTTTAAAAATGTAATAACTACTTTTTCTCGATCTTCAAAGACAGATTCATTTTTTATAGATCTGACTACGGCTGACCAATCTTGCAAATATATCTTCACCTAAAAAATATTAAAAATATATTAACATGCTTTATTAGTAACTAAATGGAAAATGTTGCTGATTTCTTTTTATATATTTTAAACATGTTGTGGTTTAGAATTTAGATGATGAAATGTTTAAAAACTGCTAAGACATAAATCAGTTTGGTATTAGCTATTTGAAACCATTACATCTAACATCTTTGTTATCGCCTTATAAAATTAAGAAAAATAAAAACCTTAAATTTATTTGAAGTCTAAAAATTTTATTTTTGAAAGTTTTATTTTAATTTTTATCAAAATATGTATTTGTATGTACCTTAATAATCTTAATATGCCAGGATACAAACTGACTAAATTGATCTACATAGTCTTTAGCTTTTACATAACAAGTGGTAGCTTTAGTGAAATCTCCACGCTCAACAAAATGGTCACCGATGTACATAAAATTTTTATATATGTTATGCCTGGTTGAGCACGTAAAAGATTTTCTTAGCTTTTTATCAAGGTGTTCATATCTACAAGCCGCTTTTTTTGACATTATCTCCAGCCTATGTTTAAATTCATGTTCATGAACATCTGACTGCCTAATTCTATAAAATAAAACATTAAAAAATAATTATAACAATAGATGAAGTGTTATAATATAACATACTTAAAATTATTTTGAAGTTTATAATGAACCAATTTAAATAATTCGGTATTCAGAGTTTTAAGGACATACGAAAGAGCTAATCGCAGTGCATCACCACATATTTTCGGAAAATGTTGAGCAATGAACATTATTCTGTTAATCCGTGTTAGGCCACTGTACTTATCAACATACTCTTCCAGATTCTGTAATACATACACATAAAGTTTTATACGAAATAACAATACAAGCAAAACTCAACTTACAAATGAGTCAATGTCAACCTCGTAGTAAGTATCTTCTTCGTCATCTTCATTTCCTTCATAAAAGATGGGAAGCTAAAACATAAACAAAAATGTATTTTCTATCTGTAGAACTCGTGTGTTTACAAGCTTAATTGAAAATAATTAAACAATAGGTAAGTACAAAAAGATATCTCACCATTGCCATGATTATTTTTTTCCTGGGATTTTATTATTTATAAGATACTGCACCACTGACTCGAATCAGTAAACACTAATTTCGGATGTAAATTTTACAATATTTGCGCTGCATAAATATCCCACTTCGCAAGATCCCTGTGGAATACTTAAACTTCAGTACAACATGTCAATCGATATTGTTATAATAGATAGATAAACTTACGTATGATATTAGTATAATTTGGTTACTTTTATAGGACAACACAAAATCTAAGCAACAACGTCGATGGTATTCCTTTATATTCGCGTCAACGTAATAATCGCTACGCCTACTCGGCCGCGCAATTGCAAATAAAAACAAAATGGATAGTGTATATTGCAATCAATACATTAAATGCGAACGGACGCTTCCAATGTAGATTGTGCAGTGCGACCACTAAACGTTATTATTATTAGTTGTGTTTAGATATAACATTATACAAAAAAACCATTTTAAAAAATCGCCGTCACTTTTTGGCTTACATCGAAAGTGACTCTTCTGCTTTCATCTAGAGAGCCTATATAAGAATTTTCTCTAAAATAAACTATTTCATTTAATTTGTGGTAAAAGTATGAAAATGTTCATAACGATTGAACGTTAGTAAAATATACGATAATTCGATAATATTGTTTGGTTGGCGACACTGATGAACCGTTACTCCCAGGTCCATGACAAAGGGCCAATCAGAGCCACGCAGGAGAAGGCTTTATAGTAGTTTTATTATCACAGAACAAACATGAGATAACGTACTATATTTTTGGAATAAAAATTATTGCTTGGCTACACCCGACACATATAGATTTACATAAATTATATTACCATACACTAGAGTAGTGAACACCAAACTTTCAACGCATTATTTATAAGTGTCGCCAGCTTTTTAATATAAATACTCCACTGTGCGTCACCTAAAACGGAGTCGCTTCTTATGAATATTTGTTTATTTATTCATTTTTTTATTTATTTATTCAGGTGTTGCTTTGAAATATAAAACTAACCACAATACCGTAAAATGTACCTACTATTGTCTAAAAAAGATGTTATTGTTATGATATTTTATCCGAATATAAAAAGTATATATATAAAAGCATTGTAATAATAATATTATGCTTAAAATCGTGTGTTTGAGATTAGTTTCAATTATTTGGCCGTAAAAATATGTTTAATTTATTTATTGACACTTGTACATTTTCTGTGATTTTTATCCTTAATTTATAAAATAAAACTCTTACTAACCAGTAATCTATAAACCTCTGGACACCAGGATAAAATAATACAATTTGTAGGTGTCCATATAGACTGAAACAAGCATCCCACAAGAGCAAGGAATAAAGTATTGCGGGCCTGTCTAAAGTCAATCATAGAGCTGAGAGATGGAATAATAATAATTTAAATATATATATGACAATACACCAAATGGAAATTTATAATAATTAAATCTTATTTAATTATTATTTATTATTGTGTTATGTGAAGTTGTAAAACATTTAAGGATATGTATTTCATTATTTTGTCGGGTATCCAATGCTTTCGTATGATGTATTGTTTTAAATAGATATGTATATAGTATATCGTTAATAAATACTTAAAAACCATTACAATTTCATTCAAATTTTATCAATGAATATTCTGTTTTACTTTTTATAAAACGCGTATGTTTTGAAAAATAGATTTTCTTTACAAACTCAATAGACAATTTATTGTATCACAGATCTGCATCAAAGTTTAAACAAAGTCACTAGGTATTGTAAAATCACTACTTATATGTTTCTTTTTCAAGTTACGACCAATATAATATAATTATATGCAGCTGGCAAATAAAAATGTAATGTCAGAGCAAAAGTACGTAATTCAGGAGAGTATGCACCAGACTTGTGATGAATTTGTCGCATAAATAAAGCAGTTTCTACATTAGGTAGACTCCTTTAAAAAAAAAAAAATATATATATATATATAAATTCTTTAGGGTATAATTTTACAAATAAACAAAAGTAAGAACTATACTGTAACCAAAAAAATTAATAGACATAACACAACAATTTTATTATTTTTATCACCAATAGTATATTTTTTATTTAAAAAATATAAACATATAAACACAAAGCCCCAACATCATTTTGATTTCACTAAAAAATTCAAAGAAGTTATGCTATTCATACATTATTAAAACGAGTAAATAAATATTATATTTAGAAAAATGTTCTTCATCGCTAAATAAAATTGTATTACGAGTGAAACTGTTAACAACGGTCCATTTTGTTTTGTTCCTCAATGAAACTGTTCATAGATATTTAAATATATCTATAAAAGCCATGGATATGACATCACATTTTACTGAAAATTAACAAATTAATACACAGTCATTGCAATAATGATAAAAATGTTTGAGATAGAATCAGTTTTAATATCAATGGTTCTTATTAGAAATATTTTAGGTGGATAAAAATTGACAATTAAGACGTACAATGAAATTTTTAAAAATTATTTTGTGAAGAACATATAAAATATATAGTAGTTAACCATGTAGTGTAAAAAGATAAAGGAGGAGAATATTTTTTGTGATGAGCCATTAATATTACAGTAAAAGGATATGGATCAACGATACTTAAATTCATGATTGGATGTCAGGATTGCATAAAATCCGAGCCGTCTTTGGTAACAAATCCATAGAACATTGAACACTGAACGTAACCTTATCAACTAAGCCATTTAACACATACAGCAATAACTATAAAAATTAAATCAAATTAATTTTTTTATACAAAAAATACGTTTTTTTAACATATATTTGACATTATTATAATATATTTACCTTGAGTAATGAAAAACAATTTTCATTAACTTTCTTTTCATCTTTCAGATGATCAGATGTCAGATTTTTTTATATCTTCTTCATCCACTAAAATAAAAAAAACACATTAGAAGTTGCTTTATTTTGAGATTTATAAAAAATTAAAAACAAAATATTTTCTAAATTACTTGGCATTTATAGTAAATTTCTTCCTTCTTCATCATCAAAGACTTCGACCATTTCAACATTGAATAATTTCTTACATGCTTCTATAATATATTGTTTGAAATTAAATAATAAGTAAATAAGATAAGATAAGAAAAGTAAAATTTAATTAACAAATTACTCTAAAAAAAATTACTTCCATATAGGTACCTACTATCACATAACATTAACAAAATGTATATACAATATTATATTTATAAAAAAAATACATAAATTTAATAACAATTACAAGTATAAGGAAGAACATACCCAGTTTAAATACACTAGGCACAGCTTCTTTTATTAACATTTTTTTACCAGTAAAGCTCAAGTTATAGTCAGATTCTATAAAATGACTACTGCATATTTTTGTATGCGTCGTCGGAGTAAAATCTGGTTGAAACATACGTATCGCATTTGCCCATTTTAAAAGCATTTCATGATTTCTAGGCCAGCTTTGAAACAAATTATATTATTATTAAAATCATTGATTATATATTATTAGTATATTACTATTAGTAATATACCTATGATCAATATTCAAATGTATAAAAATATAATATAAGTAAATAATGTCTCAACTTACCGATGCATGATGCAATCTTTATTTGATTTTGTTTTGCACGAACGAATGACACATTGAAAAACCATTATAAGAAATTAAACGAAATTCAATATTTTAATTACTAACAAGAATAATTAAATTATTTTAATATAAAAATTTCGTTATCGGGTATTATCATATTACTATTTCTCCCATGACCAACCTAACAACTCTCTGTCTCTTTTTAACGATGTCGACATTCGGACCTCTCTCTCTACTATCAGTCCATTTCTTTATAGGTCTATGATAGCCACAGATATAATAACATGTCTCTCTCACTGCAATCAGTCCAAACTTCATGTTTAACCTGAAGTTAGTAATATATTTTGTTTGTTTGGTTTGTTATTATCAATCTGACAATTGATATGTAATTTGGATTTCTTAATTCGCACGTGGAGTGTGGACGGCACCCGCTAATTGTAGTACAGAATAGATGAAAGGTTCGTGAATCATGGTAGAACTTAAAAATGATGAAGTAACGTTGAAAAAAATAGAAGGTGGAAGCATTATCAGCCACCCTCCACTTTTTTCAGAAGACGGAAGGTAGGTAGTTTTAATATTTTAGAAGTTAGGAAAAACCACCAGAACAGTAAATTTAAACAACAAAAATCAAAACACTATTTTACAACCGCATCATTGTCGGTTAACCAAAGTCAATACGCGTCGTATCAAATACGGAAACATTTGTTAAAAATTACTTTAGTAATAGCAGTAGTTGTTACTACTCTAGTAGTAATAAGAAACAACAAACAAAAAAAATGTTTAAAAATAAATTGGTGAGATTATGAACACCATCCTGTTTTGTGGCACTGCAGCCCTTTTTTTTTATCTTTTTATAGTCTAAACGATGTAGGTATATTATGCTGAGCACAGATATTCATAAAAAAAAACATGATATTTTGATTAGTACGCAAAATTATACCAGTGGTTTTAAATAGGCACCTTCCAGTATAAATTACTATTATTTATGATTTTTATTTAAATGCAGTTGTTTAGACTTGGAAAAGAGATGATACTAATACATGTTTGTATTTTATTTAAATATGTAGATTCCTTTACGTTGGATGTGGAACGGGTATCAACTGCTATAGTGTGAATACTGGAAAATTAGTTGCAAATTATGCAGCTCAAAAAAATTTTGGTAGAATTGTGAATATATGTTTTCACCCATCTAATAGTAAACAATTAGTTGTTAGCCAGTATAATGGCTTTATTTCTTTCTGGGATTTGGTTGGCAGTCAGTCGGCTAAGAACATTAAAAATGAGGTATTATTTTGTTTATTAGTTTATTTCTATCGATAGTTATAAGGCAAGATGGTCTATGCAACTTGACATATACTATTGAATGTAGAAAAATATGCTTCATTCAATGACCACACGCAATCGATATGATGAATGTTGTAAAAAAATATGTTAAATCATTTTTTTTTTTTTTTACGTACAGGAATTATGTATTGAAGATTGTTATATAACAAATGGGCTTTGTTTGGCAAAATGTTATAATTTATATAAGAATGATATTATTTTTATTTCTTATAAATCACTAACGAATGACGATAGTGATGTGAAAATTGGTATTTTTTCGTTGGACAATGGAACATTGCTTCATAGTTTTAATGAGACGTAAGTTCTGGGTTAAGATTTTAAATGTTGTAAATGTTATATTGTATTGCCAATGTTTTTAACATATTTGTTTAGTTTTACAGATTTACCTCATATTTGGTCGTTAGGAGGCCTAGAGACCATTCCATTTTTAGCAGCAGCTAATAACGATACAATACAAATTTATAATTTATTAACTCTCAAAAAGAACAAGTGAGTTAATAGTAATTTTTTAGCCTTAATGCAGCAAAACTGACAACTTATTTATGTAATAGTATACTAGAAATATTTTTGACATCTTATACAACTATAATACTATAATATTATTATATATTTAAATAGAAACAGATAATTGGACAATTATTTTATCTATGATATCAATTCGTTAAGCATAAGTATTTTTTTTTTTTTTTTTTGTAGAATAAAGTTGGGGTCTGAGCGTCTGGTAACTGTTGTACAGTGTCATCCGATTTTAAATACCCTAGCAATCGGAGATAATACAGGAAGAGTAGTTTTGTATTACAATGTAACCCATAAAAAGACCAGAACACAAACTGTTTATCATTGGCATACTTTACCAGTTAATGATATAATTTTTACAAGTACTGGTAAGATATAAAAGAGTGGCTATAATATATACAATTTTATCAAAAATATGAAGTGAACTTTTTTTAAAGATAACTAAAAGAAAAAAAGAGCACTTTATCAACATTATTATTATAAATATAGACATTTAAAAAAAATTCTATTGTTAAAAAATGTAAAATATGTTAGGCAACCAGTTTTATAGCGGAGGATCAGAAAATGTATTAGTAAAATGGTTTTGTGAAAATATCGAAGCTCGGCATTTTTTACCCAGGCTTCCAGCTAATATCATACACTTGGCAGTGTCCACAGATAATCAGTATGCTGCAATTTCAACTAAGGATAATGGTAAATAAAATTAATTAAAGTTATTGTTGAATAATAAATTATACCTACTTGTGTGAGCTAATGTGATATATTAGCGGTTTGACTGTTGCAGAAATCAATAGTCAACCACCAACTAGCAATCAAACTATAAATGATCACTTTAAATCACTTATTACATTTTTTACTTGATGAGATCTTTCTACTTTTCTAAAACTATTTTAATATTTCAAACTAGTAATATACAATTTGCTTAAAAAAATATTTTGTTTTTCAAACAGCAGATTAAATAATGTGATATTTACTATTAAACCCATCATAAACTTAATTAAAATAATATTTATTTTTAGGCATTATAATTATCAATTCGCAGAATAAAATACACTCAACTGTACAAAAATTCACTTGGGGTGTTCATGCGTCAACAGTGAGTTTTTTATTTCAAAAAGTATCCCTAAATATTTGTAATTTTAGCATTGTCATAACAGTAAAAGTTAAACATATTGTATTGTGTCAATTTATTTAACTATTTATGTTAGGTAAAAGAATTCGAGAATGTCTTTCCAGCCGGTGTTGCATTTGATAGACGTTCAAGATCACTTGTTACAAATGGATGGCCTGGCTATATTCAATTTTATTCACTAGATCAATCACAATTAAGGTTTAATGTAAGTATAGTATAGTGTGTTACTAATTTAATATTATCCAATTAAATGATCGAAATTTGTTATTTTCCAACTAGATGGATGTCGTATGTCAAAATTATGTAACACAAACCAGAGATCAAGGCGTGTACAATGCTAATGTATGTTCATTGGCAATAAGTGATGATAGTGTATGGATAGCAACTGTAGAACGCCGACCATCCGATAACAAATATATTACAGACGATGTGCTCAAGTTTTGGTCTTTTGATGAAAAATTACAAATGTAATACTGTTAATTTTTTTTAAGTAGTTTAAACTTTATTATTTAATATAATTATTTATATTTGTTTTACAGTTACTCGTTAAACACGTATACAAGTTCTGTAGACAGAATTTCAAAAATATGTTTTCGTCCATTTTTGAACTGCAATGATCTACATATGGCTGCTACGATTCATGAAAATTGTTACAAGTTATGGACACCATATTCGTTTTTAAAAAATGATAAAAGTTAGTAACAAATTTAATTAATTTCTTTATTATCTCTAACTTGAATATCGACCTTACTTAATGGTAATACATAACTAAAAAACGCTATTCAAATTAAGCCAAAAAAAAAAATACCAATAATTTAAAAAAAAATTTAATTTACATTGTTGTATATAAATGAGTTTAAATACTTTTCAGATAACAAAATGAAATCTTGGCATCACGAATACACAAGCATAGAGTACCACAATCAACCATTGAATGCTATTAGCTTTTCTGAAGACGGTTGTATTCTTGCTGCATCTTTTGGCCCCAGTATCATTATTAAAGTTGTTGAAGACCCTAGTGATTATAAAACAAGTCTAACGCACGGATCTGAACACATTAGGTATTAAACATTTTATTTATTTATTAACAGTTAAGCTTAAAAGTAAAGTATATTTTAACTATGCTAAAATTATGTATTAAACTATACTTTTTACAGTAAGTCAGACTAGCAGAAAAGCCATCACACAATTTTCATGTGTATATTTTACAGTAATACTTGTTAGGAGCTTCAACGTAAATGATACAATACACCCATATTTTTCAGCAATATTGTATTGTGATAAAATATTCCTTTTTTTTTTAAAAATTTTAATGTGATATCAATAGGTAAAAGGCACAAAGTTATTAACAACATCATTAATATTATTTATGATCCGAATTTATACATTCAACACAATAAAAACAGCTATATGTTTTTCCAAAGGGGATAACTTGCTCATTTGTGGTGATATAATGGGTTGTCCGTAGTTTGATAAATAGTCACTTATAACAGTTGAACAGATGTCTAAAAGTTTTATAATATTATTTAAAAACCATTTAATTTGATGATATAAATTTGAATAATCTTTGTAAACTATCACTTTTATCATTTTGTTTTTTTTTTTAGATTTTTGGAATTCGGTAAAAATACAAGCAGTTGGATGCTTGTTGCTGCATCAAACAATCGACTTTTAGTGTGGAACGTTATAAGCGAGACTTTACTAAAGACTATTTGGATTCAAGTCAGTCAGTTAATAGCTGACCCACTATCCGAGTACATGGCTATTTTCACACCTGATAATGATTGTGAGTGTTTAAAAATTAATTTTACAATTAGTATAAGTGGGCCAGTTAATTGAAAATCAACTGTCCTTAATATAATTTAATTTTTGTTTTATTTAGTAATTGTCTTTACTCCGAACAGCAATGAAGTAGCTTATAAAACTAAAAACATTTTCGGTGACAACAACAAACACACGTCTATATTATGGGCATTGTTTGCACCCAAATCAAAACATAAAGACGGATCAGCCAATTCTTGGTTGGATAAATCTACACTTTACTTCTTGACAAACCAACAAGTAATAGATTAAAAATACTATTAAATGTCGATTTGGTTGTTTTAATTTTTTGGATGTTTTTACTTAAGGAACTATTGAAATTTGAAAAGACTGATAATCTTCAAAATTTGATCGAAGCTTATGTCGATGATAACTTTACCAATTTGACACCTCTCGGACGTTATATTTGTAATAAAACCCTTAGTAACGACAACGCTTCCAAACTGCCACAGTTTGATTCGTCCATTGAAGAGGACAAAAACGCTTTTGAAGTAAGGACAAATTTTGTAGTTTGTAGTCTGTATTTTATTTCAATAAATAATTCTTTACAGATACTCGACGAACCGGCTCATTTGATGTTACCGTTAGAAACTCAACTGGAACGCATGTTACTTGCGTGTTTGAAAAATTATTAATATTATTGAAATATTGCGTAACATTTTTTTTTATGAATTGTATTTTTAATTTTGTTATAAAATGAGTGATCTATACAACTATTAACAAGCTGTAACATTATATGATTCAACTTTTTAATTTTAATCAAAATTATATTTTTCCTATTTAATGCATTATAGAAATTTTAAATTTAACTTTAACAATGTAGGCCTCGGCTGCTGAAGTTGTTGACCTAGTAACTACAACTTTTACAGTAATACAGTTAGATTAATGTTGCCACTGTTATAAGAGAAACATTCTTCCCTGATTTCCAATTTATTGTGAAATCTTCCAAATAAAACTTAATCATATTTTTACTTAACATCAACATAATATTTTTAATTTTAATTTATTCTTCCCATAATTATATTTTTTCCGACAATTTTGGAAATCAATTAAAAAATATAAATACTTCATACTTTAAACCACTAACCATGCTAAAAAAAAAATAGTACAACAAGATTTTTAAAATACAAAAATTAAATGTTTTACGATTATTTGAGATTTTTATTTGTGTAGAGATGAAATTGCTTTTTTCGCAGCTTCGTCTAAATTTGATGCAAACTGAATGAGCAGCCCCGAGTCTTCTAAAAGCTTCTTTCCAGCATTGACATTTGTTCCTAAAAAAAAAATTACTTTAGAGTGTATCCATTGCAATCAACTGGAATATATCTATACACAATAGATTGTGTCTTACCCTCTAATCTAACTACTAAGGGGACAGTCATGTTTAATTTTTTTGAAGCATTTATTAAACCTTGAGCAATAGTTGCACAGTTTACAATTCCTCCGAAAACATTCACTAAAATAGCTTTCACAGACGAGTCTAAAAGGAAAAAAATGTGTTACATTGTAAAGCAACTACGAACACATAATTATAAATAAATATGAGTTACCCAATGTCAAAAGGTTGAAAGCTTCATACACTTGACTTTCATTGACATTTCCACCGACATCTAAGAAGTTGGCCGGCTCGCCTCCATGCAGTTTTATAATATCCATAGTCGCCATTGCAAGACCAGCACCGTTCACTGTAACAAAACCCTTGTTATTAGTTAAAAAAATTGATTTTTTTTTTTAATGTAAATATTTATTTTTAAGAAAAATTGTTGGTTTTTTTATTATTATTACATATATACATTGGTATTAACCGCAAAGTTAGGTTTTAAAACATTTAAGAGAACTGTACCCAAGGATACACACAAATCATAGTTTTCAAATAATTTGTAATTATACTCCCTCCCAAACAAGAAGTCAGATGGGGGCAGGCACTGTTTGAATTACTTACTTATTATATGTATTGAAATAAAATATGATCTACACATCAGTTTAAAAGTACAAAAAAACCAATTATAATATAGTTTGAATAATTGTATAGACATTTAGAGTTTCAAAGACTGGTATCTTACCCAAACATCCAATATTTCCGTCCATGCCAATATAGTTCAAATTGTGTTTATGAGCTAGAACTTCCCGAGGATCTGATTCACTAGTATCGTCTAATTTGAATATGTCTTTGTGTTTGAACTCGCTGTTGTCATCAAATTGAATTTTAGCGTCGACACATACGACTTGGTTATCAGACGTCTCAACTAACGGATTTATTTCTATTTGAACAGCATCCACAGCTAAAAAGAATTCCCATAGCCTTTTGATTTCATATGCAGCCTGTAAGATTAACGCTAATTAAATAATTATTAAGCGTAAAAATCAATAAAAACAAAACCTTACTTTGCTTAACAGTGGCCCTTCAAAGTTTAAGAATTTTGCTACGTCCAATGCTTTTTCATCTGTAATACCCTCGTATATATCAATAGGAATTTTTTTTATTAATTCAGGGGAATTGACAGCTACATCTTCGATATCCATGCCTCCCGCTGGAGATGCTATGAGTACAGGACCGTTTTCACTTCTGAAAAATTACATTAGTAACCGTAAATAGTAAATTAAGTCGCTAAAACCAATTTGTAGAGTATTTTTTTTTTTCGACAATTAATTAAAACCATAAGTTATTAAGAAGAAAGAAGGTAAGCACACTTACCTATCCATTAATATACAAAAATAAGTTTCACGCTTTATGTCAACCGACTCGGCTACCATGACTTTATTTACTAGTATACCATCCTTCGGAGTTTGCTTTGTAATTAAATTGTATCCCAACATATTTTTTAATATATCATAAATTTTTGTTTGGCTTTAAAAATCACAATATAACATTAAAATATTTTCAATAAATAAATTAAATGCAGTTGTGAGTTTGACTTGAGCTATTGTCGGCAAACTAAACAACTGTTTGGCATGTCGTTTCACCAAAACTGTTTTATTATATGCTGGATAAACATCAAATTTAGATCTTAGCAAAAGTATATTTTTCTATATTAAACAAATAAAAAAATCTATTTCTGTACATTGTGGAACACCAGAAACTGTGATGAAGAAAAAAGCATTAGTAAAATCTACAAATAACTATAATAAAACGTTTTTGCTGAAATGAGAACCCTAAAATATTCACCAGTAGCAATACATACTCTTTTGTAACGTGAACACCTCCTTTAAATCCATTACTAAAGTGACCTTTTCCTCTTCCACCGGCTAAGACTTGAGCTTTTAAAACATACTCGTTGACATCTATAAAGTAAAGATAATTAATGAATTTTCGACCAACTTAATTTTACAAAATAAAAACTACTTATTTGTATAATATTTGGTAAGCTAATGTAGCAGCTATGGCTGTGTCACTTTCACTTTCCGCTTTACTTAGTTATTGACATAATAAAAGTAAAAATTATAATAGTAAAAATACTAACTGAAAGATTTCAATATATCATTTGTTTCATCAGCATTTTCAACAATTTTAAACTTTTGCACTGCCACTCCATGACGATGAAGTAAGTCTTTGCTGTGACATTCTAATAAATTCAAATAGCGAGATTGAATATTCTAAAATAACAAAATATATAAATGTGTTAATATCTTTTTTACTGGATTTAATATAGTTTATTAAGAATTTTTTTTCCTTAAGTTGTTCTCCGGATCTTCTAAAATAATATTAAAATAATACAAATTACCTTTATGGGAAGACTTTGTAGAGAAACTTGAGCATTTTTATTCTTAAAAATTTGTTTCATAAATTGAGACATTTTCCTGTAGTTTACAGCCTAAAATAAGAAAATGATAACAAATTAAATAAGACTAGAATTTCAAATTTGCTTAAAATAATATATACAATGTCAATAATTATTGAATTATCAGTTATATATAGTATATGTACAATTATCTGTATTAAATGTAATTATATTCAAAATAAACTATTCAAATATGTTTTAACATGGTCTACTTTAGATTAGTTAACTTTCATAAATGGCATTGAGAAGTGTTTAAGTAAATAACCTATAAAAAATACTCGTTGTCTTCGAGTGCCTCACATATAAGGCAGTAAAATGTTGCAGTCATAAAAATGCATCAGTATTGTATTTTGTGATCTAGTATGATTAGTAAATAATTATCATGGTTCTATAGATTCATTAATTACTGAAATATCAAAAAACAAGTATGTAGATTTTAATAAAATAACAGTTTAGAATAATTACTTTTAAAGTTATTAGAGTTTTAAAATTTAAATTGCGAAGTGGAGTGCAGTTAAGTAATACTCACAGATAAAAATAATACTTTACATATTATCATGTTCTAAACTTTTAACACAAAAAAAACTTTAAAAGTAACTATTTAAAACTGGCTATTAACCGTTCAACGTTTTCAACGTCAATTTTATTTACCTTTGAGCAGAACGAATTTTGCTAAAAATGCCCCCCTAATTAGGATGATGCGTGAATACAATGCCATTGTATAGTTTTGTACGGAGGCTTATTATTTTTTTTTTTGTTAGTAATTCTTTTGTTGTACTATTTTTTTTCCTTTTATACTGTTACATGTACCTACTTATTTGTATTATTTTTTTAAAAGCCGATTGGCGTTAATTTATAAATAAATAAATAAAATAAATAAATTTTACTTATGAACACATACTAAATTTAATGCTTACCTTCGATAATTGAATAATAATGTATAATCAGCCTTGTTGCTCGTAACTTGTTTGTAATATGTTGTTACAGTATGGTGTGGAAATGATTATTTACCATTGATCTATGGTAGGAAAAATATTATAAATACCGGAAGTACAAGGTATTTTTCACGGTTTATCAACGTTCGTACTGAAGACCTGCTGTTTATTTTCATCTGTTAATGAGCAGCATCACATGCCTACAGAAGTTTGTACTTTGTTGATAGTCAATTAATGATGTAGGCAGGACAGTATTAATATCACGGACCGGTCATGACTGTTATCAATTATTATAATCACAAGACTGGGCGCGTGACAGTGTAACTGATAGCGCAGAGCGGTTACTGGTTACTCCAATAAGGGCCCGGGTAAAATCATAATATTATTCTCTCTATGATCCACAACTAAAAAATAATTTTTCTTCTCCAAAATTAAAAAAGTTTTCCCGGGTTAGATAGTCGTTTTTCACATAAAAAAAAAAATCTGTTTTACACTTTTTTTTTTTCATATAAGCTAAATAGGTTACTAGGTTACTTATAATTGGTAAGTTGATGTTAATTAATGATTTTGATGATGATTATTTACGACGACGCCACTTTCATTAAAATATAAGTAGGTGGAGCACGTAAAGTCTACGATTGCGATTTGCCGATTGGAACATGTGTATTTAGAGCCGAGAAGCAAAGCCCATTAATTTAGCCATGCTAGATATTGTTATGGTTTTTTTGTTGTAAACCTAAGTTTTATTTAGAGTGCCTTGACATACAATACTGCCAAAATTCGCCCTCCACCCCATTAATATTTTAATTAGGGACGCATTGTGTTAAGACTAATTTTTTTTTTTATAAATATGCTAAATAATTAATCTTAATCAATAAGTAATAACTAGTAGGTATGTCATGATCACATAGTCGTATCAGTGCATTAATAAATCTTGACTACTCTTAGGATAGTTCCATTTCAGTTAGACATAATATACAGCCATTAATTGGTCAGTTATACAAGGATTTTTTGAAAAATGTCCATTAAAAAAAAAAATGTACCAATTACATTACCAATTAGATAGAAGACATATTGTCTCGGGTTTACTGAGTACAAAAATAACAAACAACTTACTTCATTGCGAATAAAATAAAATAGTTTTAATTTAAAAACGGTAATACAACATTTTAGAAAGATTCAATAATAGTAAAAACTATGAAAACAATGCATATAATAATGATTTATAAATTTACACGGCTATGCACATACTGGCATATTATGTATACTATGTATGGAATATGGACAAAATAGTCACTAGGTACTTATATAGTAATAAATAATAATACATTCAACTTGTACAAATTGTAAACATGTAGTTTTTGGCTAAATCTTAATAATAATATGAAATGATTTAACAAGACGTTATGTTTTTATAATAATATACATTGTATACATTTTAGATAAAATTAATCACAGCGTTGATTTACTTTAGACCATTAAATTACTATATCTGTCCACAACTTTGCGTCTAAACTTAAAGATAGAGTCGATTTAGCAATAAATTTATTAAAATTCAACAAAAATCTGATATTATCTAAAAGACATAACAAGTAATAATTATAAGTAGGTATATAAATACCTAGACGTTATCATAAGTCTTATGCGTTGATATTTATTTCCCTAGTGTCTAAACGAAAACAACATGTTCATTATATGACACTATTAATAATTAGATATCCGCTAGTATAATATAACAAGATGTATTATTTATTTAAAGTCAAGACTAAAAACGAACAATGCAGAACACAACATAACAGTTAACAATTATATCGTTAAAAAAACATTTAAGTGTAATGTCAGTGGCGTAATTAAAAAATGTTGTAATACATTTGTACTCTGTAGCCAATATGAGTTTATTGTGCATCTGATAAAGAATAGAAAAGTTGTATTTTTTAGCAAATACGTGGTAAATAAAATATTTTAAGTTTAAAAGTGTAAAAAAATGCGTACTGTAAACAAATGTAAAATCGTCATTTTGTACTTAAAACATTTTAAAATTAGATAAGCTAATAATATGTAATATGTTCCCAAATAAGTATTACTTTATGTTTTTGGTATAATATAATATGGTATGGGTAGATTTATATAATTATATAAATAATAATATACAGCTGTAGCCAAAAAAAAGTAATTAAGCTTCTTTAGCGTTTAAAAGCGCAACTAGACGGACGAAAATCAGGAGTACTTAAATTAAATTACAGGGTTGAAGACCCCCCCTAAAAAATTAGCATTGTCCTTCCAAAAAAAAAATTACAAAGATCTTTATTAATCGTAATTTTAGAAATTAAAATGGAATATCAATTGTTTTGTCCCCTAGACATAAATACAGCTACCTAAATTCCTAAACTGTAGATCAAGATTCTAAGCCATCTAGTTGCGCTTATGTTAGCATTAGATAATAAATGTAGGTAGGTAAATGAACATAGGTAATATAATTTAATTAATAAATATTATTTTGTCGTTAGTTGGAGATGCTTGTTTGAAGGGAAGACAAAACACTAGGTACCCTGAAAAATTTTGACGGATCCGTTCAAATAAAATGACATTAATATTAATAGAAGTGCGGGTAACGTAAATTGTAAAATTATGTTAGGCTTATATGTATATGCAGAATTGCATCCATCAAAATCACAAGTAAGAATACATCCATCCATGGTGTTCTCTTGATATTTGAACTCCCCACATTGCGAATCCATGGTTTTCATAGCACACTGTCGAATTACCATCACTTCATGTGTTATTACTATAAACAATTAAATAATAATGTCATTTTTAATATGTTCATATAAAAAACTTTATTATGTAGTGTACTGTATATATATATATATATATATATAGGTGTACATATTTTACATATTTACATATTTTGAGTTTGTAAACCTACAAGATCAGATAAAACAATAATACAATTGTTGTTTTTTTCTTTAAAAATATATATCAATTATATATATTTAGAATTTACATTGTTTTCAATTATCTCACTTGGCCTTGCATGTTATTTAAAAATAAGATTAGGTTTATGCCTTATGGGTACTATGCCTTCGTTTTGGGTTGCAACATGTTAAAACGAGTAATTGCCAACTATTATAAAGCAATCATTTGTATAGTAAACAATCTAAAATTATATTTAATTTGAGTATTTTTTTTTATACAGTATTAAAATTCAATTTTTAGCCTTAAAAGTTATATTTATTTTATTGATTTGCCCACTTTTGGCAAATATTAAAAAGTAAACAGATTAGTCTAATAGAATTAAACATTCCCACCACGCTACCATTTTTCGATATAACATTTTTAATTTAAATAAAACAATATAGAGAAATTTCCATATTAATTTATTATATTTTTGTATAAATTTCAAAGACACATCTCGGAGATGTTACTGAAAAACTGTGCAATATTTACCCGTGAATAAAATGAAAAATGGTACGAAAATGTTGTCTATATATTATGTACTGAGTGAATTTTGATTAAAATTTTTTTCTCCAATAAAGATATTATATCTGTTGAAAAATACTTAATATGTATAATTTATAACTCAGTTCATGTAGAAACAATATTTTCAATTACCGTTTGTGTAAATATGTTGACTTTTTAATTTGTTTATTATGTCAAATACCTGCCAAGTATTTTGGTCCTGAAATCTTAATAAATAACGACTACCATGGCTCTCTTTGCTACAAACACAACTGCGAGATTGTCCGGTCAATCATTTCTTACTTATAGTCGTGTATTTACAATATTTTTCGGGGTTGATATGCAACAAAAACATCCCTCCCTCCTTTACAGGACCAAAAAAAAGTTAACATGATTTTTTTCTTGAAGCATCAGTTTGTTAACTGATAACCATTTGTTTATTTACATTGTTGGTTTTTTCCAATTTTAATTGTATAAATATATAAATCTTCACCTAATATTATGATAAAAAGTTATTTCTTTAGTTCTACGATAACAAGAAGAGTTTTCTGTTTAAGAAATAGGTTATTAATTTATTTAAGGCGATAGATAAATGCCATTACATGCCAGGCACGTAGCCAGAAATTATTCACTAGGTGGGCCCTCAGACAGCCCTCTCCTTCCCGAAATTGTTTATATTATTAGTTTATTATTAGTTACCAGCATATCATTACTACAAATATATAACCTAATAATATCATATTTTTTTTTATTTTGCCAATAAGTGTAATTAAAAAAATACCATAAAATACTTAAATAATTAAATGTTAAATGTATAAATAAAATCAATTAAAATGCTTTTAATAACTTTGAACATTCATTATTTTTAAATTCACCTTTTTAAAATGTTAATAGTTAATACATTACAACAGTCAATAAAATCCAAATATCCAACACGTAGATGCAATATTGCAACTGAAATACAATCATTATAATTAATGTTCTAATATAAAAGTATTTTTCTATTTTTATGTTTTATAGAGAAACTATAATTGACAAAGCGACCAGTCGGTTATTTGACATACGATTTCTCATATAGTTTTTTAATCTTCTTAGACAAGAAAAAGTCCTTTCACATGCTGCGCTAGATACTTGAATGTTTAGTGGTAGAATGGTTAATTTATAAGTCATTAAATACAATGTTATATTTTTCAAGAAGTTCAACCAGATTCTTTAAGCTTTTTATTTTTTTAATTATTTTGGATTTCATATTTCTTAAAAGTCGTAGGTAGTATTTTAATTTCTGACAGAAACATTTCTAAATCTATATTGTAATGAAGGGCCAAAGGTTTTAATTGTTCATAATTTAAACAAATTTCATTTTGTGGATTTAAGTAAGATAGTGAAGATAGGTTGTCTGTGTTAGGTATATTAGTATTATTTGTAAATCTTTTTTCAAGTTCATTAATTATGTAATCTAATGTGGGTAAAAACAAGAGTATGACCATTTTTATTAAATATGATATTAATTAAACGCCGCCGTATGATAATGGGCCCCGCTGAATAGTTTGGGTAGGCCGGACACAATATAGGGTGGGCCTGGCACACCCAGGCCCCCCTAGCTACGTGCCTGTTACTTGCTCAAGTACAGTAAAATATTAATAATATTACATTATAATTTTGTTAGATATTTATCACATACCTATACTAAACATAATACTACGCTTAGGGTGAAATTTTAACAATACGCTATAACCGGTTAATTGATAATATAGAGATGTCTCTTTAGCAATAGAAAACATCCATCCTGACTCATTTTCCAACATCAGAACTCCCTAAAGTCTAAACAGGGTTATAACAAGGATATTTTCAAAATGCCTTTAAACTGATTTCATCTATATGAGTGTTAAACAACATGTTGGGTTCAATAGAAATACCAAGATTACGGAAAATATACACTATATACACGTCTGGTAAAGGAAAAAGATCGTCCTCAATTCTATAGTCAAAAACTAATTTTTTAAATATAGGTACAAATTATAGCCTATGGGTACATAATATAAATTAAAGATACATTTAATTTACGATATATTTATAAAAATGAAAACTCTGGAGAGGGTGGAGCGGAATGTAATATATCACCGCACGTAAAAACGCCACTGCTATGTTGGTTACCAAGAAGTATTTTCATTTCCTTTTGTACAGTTATTCGAACATATTTTATCAACAATGTTCACGTCTCTCGTCTACGACGTAAAAGGGACCGATCTCTTAGTAAAATTGACGGTGCGGTGGAGGGCGTCGCCATATATATAGGTATACCGTATATATAGTGAACTTTACCCCATTCGGGCAGGGTGGTTCTCACGCTGGACCGTCCACCGCAGCGCCGTCCGCCACCGCCTAATGCAGTACGTGCGCGTTTATTGAATTTCCAATTCGCCGTGACCACCGGGTACATCGTTGCACCGGCTGCGCATCGCGCTAGGGTCGTTATACAATCATCAATCATCGCTCATACAGGGCGATTCATTTAACGCGAGCCACATATTTATTTGTTTTAAACAATTTCCAAATAACTATAGACGTTTTTATCCCACTTTTCAGAAATGTATCTACTTTTAAAACTAATACCGATAACATATGCTAATACCATAGACTTGAGATATTTTGTTAACTTTTAAAATTAGGTTGAATATTTACTAATCACGATGTCCGATTGATGTTGTTCGACATTTATTGTTTCGAATGATAACTGTTAGAATAATATTGGTGGGTATTAAATAATTAAAATAAAAGGGAATGCGCGGTTATATACCTAGTAGTAGGTAGTATAGTATAAAAATAATATCTGATCTCCATTATTTTGATCACTAATAACTTGAAGTATAATTACTAATTATTAACTAATTGAACCTGAAAACTTGTTATGGTCTAAATTGTTATAAGATCGGTACTGATTTAAAAATTAGAGAAAATATTTCTGTTACCAAGTTTTAAAATTCTATTTGAAAAATACTTGGAAAGATAAACTTTTGTAAAATATGTAATTATGTTAAGTAATAAAATCTAAAATGTTGTAACGAAATTGCTATTATTTTCGGAGAACATAAGTGGTTTACGTTTTAATGTATTACCCGTTTATATTTTATGTTTTTATTTTTTTGCATTTAACTGTACATTTGCGATGCTAAGTTTTGTAATCACAGGCAAAATATTTTTACGGAACTTGAATATCATAAGAAACTAGAAAGTTGTTTTGTAGAAATTACAGCTTCTCCCAAAAACCATAATTTATCAAAGAGCTCATATTTTAATTATTTTAATAACTGAAAAATGAATATAAATTTATGCAAAATATAAGGAAGTTTTTGTTTAATGAGTAAATATTTATGTTCTTGAATTCGCAAAACAACTTTAGCCAAAAGAATAAAATAACTAATAATATATTTTTTGATTAAGAAATCATTATGCAAGATAATTAAAAAAAAACTTAAATATAATTTTATACGGCAAAATTCAAAATATTCTATAAATCATCGTTTTAATTTTTCTTATTTTTACAAAATCCATTATTACAGTCTATAATTTGTTAGATATTTCGTAGGTAAATATGTATACAATATTTTAGTAGGCTAAAATATTAAACCAAAACTCGCATGATCCAAATTTTAGAAAAATAAATTGGTACAACTATGCTATAGGATTTTCACGGCGAATCCGAATCTGTTTTCAGTTAGTTTTTCCAAAACAAGCAAGATGTATTCTTAAATGTATAGTTAGTATGAAAACAGATTTGGGTACAAATTATTTTTTGGATCATGTGAGTTTTTATATCAGCCTTATCATATAGACTTCTACATTTGACATATCTATTTAATTTATTTGGCATTTTTTTAAACTATAAATATAGTCGGAGCTTTAATATATTAGGTTGACATACAATAAGCATTAAACTTATAACATGTATTGTAAATATTATAAATCTAAGACATAATTAATTTTTATAAATCTATAATTTTTCTATTATTATAATAATTATTCTGTTGTAGGTACTTATATAGTATAATATTATACATACCGTTTGTACCGATTATCTTAGTACAAAAATTAGCTGGGAACATGCCGACATGACCTCTTTTCGGAACCATACATTTTTCTATATACGACGACATGGCTGGGTTGAAAGGGTCTTCACAATTTGCATTACTTCCGTTCAACGAGGAACACTTAAAACAATTTATACATGACGTACCTAAAACAAAAATTTAATACGGAGTGTACAAAAAGCAGCGTGTAGTTACTATCTATAGACTGTATACATAACAAGTATACCGTTCCATTTTGAGACGTGTTGGATCTAAGAAGAGTAATGACTAATGACAACATAATTTATGGGATATCGTTATCGGCTACATTTTCTCGATCATTTCGCTTTTTTTTTTTTTGTTATTTCCACAACACGGCAGACCTACATTATAATACTCGATTCCCGAAGGTATGAGCTAAATATCACGTCGAAATCGATTTTTATCGAGGGAAAACTATTCTGTTTATAAGAGTGAATATGTTTACACATAACACTCTAATCAGAATAAGAATATTATACCGAATTCCACTTTATCAAACAAGGCATTGAATGCTTTTTATACTAAAAATATGCTGCATTGAATTACATCGTCACCGCCAACATGACAGTTTGACATATCAATATTTCATAAAATGAATGGAGTGCACTTGACACTTCGTTAACTTCTAAAGAATAAATCGTTTCATTAAATATTAAATCGCGTGGGCGTTATTAACAATACACAGAAAAATCCCCCAGATTGGAAATCTGTTCTTGAACTTAAGTGTGCGACTTAACAAGTTGGTTTTAAATTAAATTTGAAGAGCAGTAATTTAAAAAAAAAAATTATTTTGGTTACTCACCCAGGACCTAAAAATGTCAGCAAGCTACCAATTAAAGAGCACTGAAATCAAACGCAGACTCTAAATGGCTTATATTTATACGTTTAAAAATGAACAATGAGGGATCAATGTAAAAACTATTACTATGAATTAGAAATCAGCTTTACAGTTAAAGTTTTAGCTAACTTCTTATTGTTCTGGATTCTTATGGTATCTTGAAATGCAAGCAAGCAAAATGAGACATATTCAGTTAAGATGGTTCGAGTATGTTTAAAGATGGGGGCAAAATGGCATATAACATATTCAAATGGATAAGTCATAAGACTTTAGAAAGATTGGTCGAATACAATTTATAGCAAGAGGTAGATCGTTTAAATTTGAAAAACTAGCAATGTATACATATTTTATAAAAGCAATTCTTAAGCAATAATTTTACGTACCTTGTAAAATACTCATTAAAACTATTGAGATGTCTAACAAGAATTTGATCATTCCTTGTATGAATTCTTGCAGAAAGATGCTACCCTGAAAACATAAATATTTATCATTTTATACCTCTAATTCGTTATACAATAAGGTTTGTTTAGAAACATATAAAATACATTGATTAAACACTTTCCTTTCCATATCATGATTCATGAGAACAAATAAAACATTAAAGGCGACAATGAAATCGAAGCCACGAGAAAGAAAACCTCAGGGCAGATCACGGAAAGATGGATTGTCATAGTGGAAGAAGACTTAAAAAGTTTAAGAGTCGGAAATTGAAAAGAGGTTTTTTCAAGATAGAGACAAGTGGAAAGGCAGAGTTGGCGGCTAAAACTCTAAAAGATTAGATATGCCTGCGAGGAAGAAGATGAACTAACTATATAAATAACAATAGGATATTGTTAGATATTGGATACATTTTCTCGAACATTTTTACTTTTTTTGTTATTTCAATCACACGGCAGATTAATGATATATCTACAATATTATGTAGTATTCAATTCTCAAAGGTGTATAACCTAAAAATATTTCTGAAAATCACACATTATACTTTAACAAGATGAAAAATATACTTAAGTCAATATTATCAAAGATCAAACGCCACATCGCATTAATATAATACCCTCATTAGGTATTGTTTGTTTTACATATTAGACGGTGTATAATTTTGTCATACTGTACGTCTTATTTACTGTCTAGAACAAGCAATCCAGTTAAGGGCATTAAGGCTGGTATACATTTTTTTACTTCCCTTTTCTATACTTAAGGCAAAGCCACACAGCCTTGGTTCTCGAAATTTGTACTTATACTAAAAATAATTAGATAAACGTTGAAAGGCCAAGACGTATTGTTAAGAGTATACATACTGGATTACTGCCTTCCCTCAAGACATTTTTTTTTTTTATAACAAAAAAATTCAGTAAAATCGTTGTAAAAATTAAATTTTAAACATTCAATTTGAGAAATGAAACGAATTATTTACTTATGTCGCATGACATAAGTAATATGACATGATACTCATGTAATATGAGTGATTAATACAGAATTTTCTTAAGGACAGTAACGGTTATTACAATTTTTTATTTTGTCTTATACTATTTAGAAGTCTTAATATAACTGTAACAAGTGTAAATACATTTAAATTTTTATCCTAAGCACAATATTAATTAAAAGGACACTACCCACCCGTAATTTATCCGCGAAAACTGATTTTGCGTGGCCCGAGCGTGGGACAAAATTGTGAGGGCGGTATTTACAGTAACCGTATAATTTTTTTTACAATGAATAGAGAAGAACTTCATCCACAGGGTAGTGTTTTTAGTTTTTTGATAACTTAAGTACAATCAGAATTATTTATTCGTGAAGATTCATTTTTTTTCTCCTTTTTTTTAATTTGTTTATAAAAAAATATCAAGTATAGATATCAAAAAAACAATTTAGAAAGCTTCCCCAAAGATAAAGTACTTCACTAACGATTGTAAAAAGTTGGTAAATCTACTGTTAATGCTAACCTCACATACTTGTCCCGCGCAAAGCAGTTTTGATGGGAAAAAATTGTAAATTATCCTAGAAATTACTGTGATAGTATGTCAAAAAAATGGCAATCATTAAAGTATCCTCATTACTGTAATAATAGGTATACATTATAGTTCAAACTCTAAATTTTTCGAAAAATTACCTATATTATACTCCTTAGAAATGGAACAACGTATACTGAATTTTTTTTATTATAAAACAGAAAATGTAAACAAATACCTACTAAATATTTACAGATTTACATAACAAAATTCAAATTATATTACAACAAATAAAATAATTCAAGACAAATTCAACATGTACAATATTCTTAAGGATAATTTACCTTGTTACGTAATTGTATATGTATTTTCCACAAGAAATGATAATACATTAATGAATTAATTAAATTGTTTGTAATAAGTTCAATAAATTTAAAGTTGATTGAAAAAAATTAGTATTTCGATTTTTACGCTAATAATTGTTATAAATATATTTTCTGCACCCGGCTTCCGTTTTAAAAAGGGGGGTACTTTGATGTATATTGTACCGTCAAAACTTCTAAATAGTTAACTAAATAAATTGTTAATTTTATAGGTTGCATGTTTTTTTGATGAAAATAACGTTTTTTACGATATATTCTAGTTTATTTTGTTAAAAATAAAAAAATGTTAAAACTAAAAACAAAACTATTTATTTAATATATTTAGGTATCCCGGAGGTGTACGATACTTCAAAAATACGTATTTCTTAATATTTTAAATATATATTAAGAAATAGTAGTGCCTACGCTACTTTGCTGTTCAGCGTGCAAATTTAACCGTTCGAGTTGATTCAAAGCACATTCAGGTAAATATTTCTATATATATATACACACACACAAAATAGGTACTTACAATATTTTATTTGTTGTCCTTACTGTAAGCTATCTGTCTGCGGCAGTTGATTAATCGTGTAGCGCAATTTTTATACGGACAGGAGTCGGTCGCCATCTTAACTAAATTATTTATCGCGACAATTTTTCATACGGCGCACGAACCGACGAGAGACGTAGTTATTATCCGTGTGTCGCTATCAGAACAACGTTGGCGAAATACTGATAAACGGATACTATTCGAGCTGCTATACATATTCTCTGGGAAATACTACGCTGATGTAACTTTACACCCAAAAAGGGTAGTCCTGGTCTACCCCGGACGTAATAATCGAAGGGATGACGTAGGCGGCGCCTTAGCAACCGTTGCTAGGATTGGAGATCGGATCAGTGGTCTCTGTGTACAAGAGGGAAAAAATAACCCATATTGACAAAAACAACTATAATAATAATACATACCTTTACCGAACAGCGGTTTTCCGTATATACATACACACTATACTATAGTATATAGTATAAAAAAGATGTTTTTTTTTTAGTGCTCCACTTTCTCATAGAATAATTAGTAAATTATATGTATGATATATATATATATATATCATATTTTTTTTCATTCTCCTATTATTGTATGTTTCATTTTAGTTACTTCCGTCTTACCGGTTATGAACGGAAAGCGCTATTTATTAAGGGGGCAAAGGATAGGCAAAATTTGACAAAACTTGATCTAGTAGCCATTTTTAGTATGCCAACTAACTTTAAGGTGGAAAAGTATTACGTTTTTCTAGTTATAATACTTTTAAAGTTATTTTTCTCCGAGTTATGGTAAAAGTTTAATAAAAAATGACTTCTGTAAAAGTCATTTTTTGGCGTATCTATTAGATGTATTTCAAGGTTTCTTTTTCTTATACGAAACTTACTATTTTTTCTACGGGGGCTAAAGGCCGATTTTTGATTTAGCAATTAGAAAATTAGATATATTAGAAAAAACTATAAAAAATTAAAAACAAAAGTTAATATAAAATAAATTATTTAGGAGAAGGGTTAAAACATGTATCTAAAAGTTTGTGAAAAATAACAATTTAGATCACATTGCATAAAAATACTACAAAAAATAAATAAATTACCTATGAGATATTCAGTGAATCACTTTAAAAAAATTACCCTGTATAGTGTGTACGTGTTTAATTTGCATTGGCGTAAAGCTTATTTGTAGTTATATTGTGTACCTACACAAATATAGAATTTTCTTCTTTGACAAACAATGCATCCATTATTCTAAAACACACACTCGTCAGTCGTCACCAAAATGGCACTTAATCCTAAGTCAATCGCGGTATAATAGCATTGAGTATATATTGTATTGAGTATTATATATATATATATATATATAATATATACTCAATGATAATACTTAATTGCACGTGTGTTGTAGTAGCAGCTGGAAAGCTGACTGTGTGTACTTAATGATATAATAATGTATCGCGGTCGCTGTAATACGTTCTCGTGGTTAAGCCGAATTTCCAGTTGATAAATTTTCTCCCATTTACATATATTATACAACAATAATTAATAATATAGAACGTACACCACAGCAAACCGAAGGATGTGCATGAAAACTGACTGACTAATTATCATAATTTCTAATAGAAAATAAAAATAAATGAATAAGAACAAGCACAAAAGTCAATTTTTTACTCCACCTATACAAATCGTAAGTGGAGACCAAAAGTCATGCAATATGAACACATGAAGTATAATCAAAGTCAATTTTGATATCGCGAGAACAGACACAAAATCAAAACACATAATTTTTAATATTTTTTTTTAAATGTAAAAAAATAATCTATATAATATATTTCAATTGTAAATTTGAGAAAATGTGTCATGGTCATAAAATAAGGAAAAGCTCAGGAAAATAAGTAACAAAGGGTGAACTACCTATTAGGTACCGATACACTTGGTAATCATTAGACATTTCTTATAATCTTGATTCTTGTGTACAACATTTATTAGTGATGATTATAACTCATCAGTTATAATCATCCATTATTACTTTGACCAGTGACCAGTAAAATTAAGCAAAATGAATAAATTTGATTATTGAATTTATTATGTCCGAGAATATTGTTCATACAATCATAACACTCAATAACAGAGAAAAAATAGACAATAGAAAACCTAATGAGAATATAAGTGTGATACGTAGGTGTTTTCCTAGAGGGAAAATAATGGAAATGAATGAAAGATACATCTGCCTAGCATATTATGCATATAGCTTAGCACCCCATGGCGATTCCGAACAAGATTTAACTAAAACCCTCGTTCATCTAGCGAGAGAGACAAACGGATGGGACTTTTAGTTAACCAGGAAAAGACCACGTGCATGGTCTTTTCGAGGGGTGTAAAAAATGAGGATGACTAGAAAGTTTTAGGGATCAGCTATTATTTGAAAAAGTTCGTGATTTCAAATATTTAATATTTGAGTTAACGCAAAAAAAAAGTAAAACAGAGTTTAAATTTAAGTGTTATTTTACAATTTTAATAGAATAAACTCTCGTTTGAATCAATTTTAATTTACATATTACATAATTTATAAAGCCGCATTTAGCATAATTGAATTCTGCGTAATCATATTCTGCCATTCTCCCTGCCTACTAGTATATTATATTTTGCAACTTTTGTGCGTTTTCATCTAAATAATTTAATTTCTGCTGCTACAAAAACAGTATAATATAGTATAAAGGATAAGAAAATTGACCGAACCTCTTTTATTCTTACGAGCTTCTCTCTTTAAATATTAACTTATCGTGTAAAGTTAAACATTTGATTATAAATACCGAATAATAAACGGTTAAACTAATAATATATTGTAATCTGTACTCTGTCCATTAACGGGTTCTAAATTCTATGCAATCTAAATTATACATAATAATATGTTCTATATTTAGCAAAACTATACAGGATAATCAACTAAAAGTGATCCACCCATTTTCTCTAAATAAATAATAATTGCAGTTATCAATTTTTTTTCTTTGGACAACATTTTACACTATAAGGTGCGTGAACTAGAAAATATACCTCTACATTTTTACTAAATTAAAATCCGATATTCTGAACCGCAACTGCAAATGAACACTGCTATACATAGACAACACAACACTAAATTTATAAAATATATAAACAGAACTGGCTTAGGGATTTAGGGCTACGTATAAAATGTTTTTGCTCGGCCTATAAACATTTTTTAAATAATACTTTTTTCAATATAATTACAGTAATGCCGTCAGTTTTCGATGGCCGTACGAGTTGCGACCCGTGTTACCTAATTTAACTTGAAACTTTTGACGCTGACATAGTTATACGGGATGATTTATTTAAAGTGACCCACTTAATATTTCATAGGGTTTAATTAATTTTTGAATTTTTTATTTTTCGTAATGTTTTTATACAATAAGTTGTTTAAAAGTTAGGACGGGAGAACAGTGGTTGAGTAATGCGCGTAGATAAAAATAATACTACACTTCATTTATAATCAGATTAAAAACAATTCTTCAAAGTTGGTTAACGACCAGGCAACATTTTTAGTAAATTATTCTTAGTTTAAAAAATGTATAAGTTAATATACGTTACCTACCATTTAAGTTTCAACATTTGATGCAAAATTAATTAATTTGGGACAGGGTTAAAATCATAAAAGTTTGTAAAAAATTGAAATCGCGTTGTATGTTAAAAGCACCCTGTATATTCATAATTATTTATAAATTACCACATCAAAACACCGGTTTATAATAAAACAAAATACCGAAAAATAAAATACGCATATTCCATAATTACAAGATAGTCAAGACGCAAAATAGTGATCAAAAATTCTACATTTACAATGTCAGTCTGAGGCCAGCTTTGTACCTCAATATTACAGCTATAATGAAAATACATATCCCTATTTTAAGCGTTGTTTTGTGAAACTATTTCATCTTACACAAGTTTATCAATGAACAAATACATAAATTACAGGTGGCCACTTTTGGTACAGTGGCCAAAACAATATCTGCCGTATTCTATATTATTTTAAATTCTTACTCTATGTGTATAACTTTAACGTATGTATTACCTGATGCCTGTTGGTCAATTCTTTTTGTACTTCCTTTGGGAAAGTCGAATTCAAAATGAAGGATAATATTATAATAGATGGGTATTCGACAACAACCAGTGAGTGGAGATCATGTCCAAACGCGTACCATACATTACAATTTACAATATAAACAATCCGTCGATAAAAACAGTATTATTTGGTAAAACACACGCACACGATACAATTAATAATAATATATTGTACATATTATTACACACGCGGATCTTCGATAACATATTGCAAAAAAAAACTCGGGATGTATTTATTTACGACAACAGCAATGTTTTTCATAGGAAAAATGTATTTTTAGTCTTTCTGCCCGATGCTTGGTGACGGCCGACGGCAATAAAAATTGTAATTATATACATGTTTATGTTGTACACGTCTTGTATACTATTAATAACGGTAAATAGTGATGGTTTATTTTTGTTATCGGCCAGTGGCCACCCAACCGCGGAGCCTTCGAAGCGCAGAGCTCTGTGCGTGGGCGCAGCTTGCCACTGTCTTGCCCACTTGTTTACCTACATAATATATGTATTGTATGCCTTGTATGGATATAATATACTGTATACAAATTCGAATAAACGATTGACAAGAGTAACAGCTCACGACTGTCACTTGGAAGAGAAATCTATTGTGGGGGAAACATATTTAATAAAACGACTTATGAAAAATAAAAAAGCCAATTCGCTGAGGGTAAATATATAGCAGAAACACAGAAAAACTTGCCGCACTCATTGAATACATTAAATGCGAATTCTTATAAAGAAGACAAAAGTCTTGGTAGTGACTAAAGAAAGTAGAGTGCCGCTCGGAAAAATAATGTTAGATAATCAAATTACACTAAATGAACTAGTACAAATATCTGGCAAGTACACTAACAAGGGACAGCAGATGTCCGGTAAAAATAAGACAACGAATAGTCATGACAAAAAGAGCATTCACAATGATTTACGCCAATGGAACTAGGAAATTAAGAGAACAAGATAAAGGAAACTAGAAGCAATTGAAATGTCGAAACTTGGAAAAGTATACTTTGTATTAGTTAGTTGGACTAGGTCCAAAATTAAATGATTAGGAATTCTCGTTTAGTTAATTTTATTTTAAACTCTATCTTTAGCTGTTTCATGTTTGCATTTTTTTTATTATTCAATGAGTAGTTTTAATTTCTGATATTATACTACTTACTACTTAATTTTAATAGGTACTTGGATTATTCTGCAATACTGAATAACGTCAAATGTGAAATGTATTTAAGTTAATTTTTGTTTGTTTATTAAATAGGTATATTAATTATAATATCATAATGCATAATATGATACTGAGTGATAATATTATCAAATTCTTATCTTTTTAATATATTATCTATATTTCTAAAAATACAAAGCATAATAATGTAAACATTCTCTTTTCAATGAATGTATTTGTAAATTATTATGACGTTTTACATATTATTTACTTGTTAAGATTATTATAATTTAAAGTAATGAAATTTATGTTTTAAAATTAAGAAATCAGTCAATTTCTCAATTAGTACATTTATATTTATTATAAATTGATCATAAGTGTTAATTGAATTGGCATTTTCGTAAAAATATTCATATCATTAAAAACAAATTATAGGATGTTCAGCTTTATGTAAATATGGATACATTTTTCTAACACTATACCATTTTTGGTTTTAGTAACGCTAATATACTCCACTGTTTTTGTGTCCAATTCAAGTAAAAATGGATTTTCATGATACTGGTGTTGACAATAAAGACCTTTGCAATGTATTGCTTAAATGGGTTAGTAAAATACTATGAAAATACAAAATCAAAAATATTCATGCTTAAAATATTGAAACCAACCTACTTTATAATTGTTTTAAATTCTTACATTATTCATGTGGTCCATATTTTATTGTAGGACACTGTTAATGTTATTAACTTACTACCTTACATATTTTTTTTATTCATTCGCAATATTTATATTTTGATACTTTAAACATAATATTATAATTATAGGGTATAATAAAAATTGTATGACAATTTACAGTAAATATTAGTATTATTTATTTTTTGCCAATACTTATGTTTAAGTCTGTTTTTTTATTTATTTTATATTTAGTTACAAACGTTATCTCTAAAAGCACCTCATAGGACTTTACACGATATATCCGATGGAGTCGCAATGGCTGAAGCTCTTAATCAAATGTAAGTAGTACTTGTTGATGTAAAACATAAATAAGTACATGTATTTTTTTTATAGTGCTCCAGAATGTTTTGATGATACTTGGTTTTCAAAAATAAAAAAAGATGTTGGTAGTAATTGGAGACTTAAGGTAACTAGATAGATGATACACATGTAATATATTACATCTAAGTATTGTACTTTAAGAATACTACAAATATGCATATTTATTATTGGGTATGTGGTTCAATTGTCAAACTTACCTTAGTGTTTGATTTCTGCATCAATGCTAAACAGAAAGAAGCAGATTATATGTAAAAATGTTAAAAAATATATTGTTCTGACTATTCTATATTATAATTTAATTTGGTTTTTTAGGTCAGCAATTTAAAGAAAATTGTAGAAAAAATCCACGATTTTTATCAAGAGTGCGATTCTCAACATATTGGACATTTTGCTGCCCCAGATGTTTTGAAAATAGGTAATACTTAAATAGGTTAAAGACAAAAGTTTGGAAATAATTATTGTGCTCAGACTAAATATGCCAAGGCTCAACATCATTATCTTGGAATAATATAAAGATTGATAAATATAGATAAAGTTTATTATGTTGTCATTTAATAAATAAATTATATAGGTAATAAATTAAGTATTAAAACTAATTTTTTTTTGTTTTACTAAATAAAAATAAAAGTTCAATATTCCATTTGTTCTGTCTTAAATAAACATAAACAAGCCATTATGATATTAAATTCGTGAGATCACTGAAATATTACATACTACAAATAACTTATTTCACTATATACCTTTTAGAAGAAAACCTGTATCGTCAGCAAAACATAACTTTTCCTGGAGTATTTTGTAAGTTGAAGAAACTATTGATTGTTTTGAAAATGAAATAATAATATGTTTTATTTTTTCCTATCATTATTCAATACTAAATTGAAATATTATTAATTTGTTAAATATTTTCCAGTAATAATTGTGGTAGTTGTGTACCTAATAAATACATATTGTAGCATTCAATTTTAGACTTAACCGTAATATTTTTAGGTAGCTGTTAAAATATATAATAAATTAGATATTGTATAATACTATACCTTGTAAATTAGAAGTAATGAGAAGATTACAACGAATGTAGGGAATTATTACATCTCCCAAAATTAGACTCAGAATAAATACATAATTATTTACACCGTTAAGTTACAATAATTATTTTTTTATTCGTGACAATAGTTCGATGATTGTGTCTGTATGCTTGTTATTAAAATAATTATATTGTTCTATATAGGTGGTGAAGAAAATAAAAAAGAATTAGCTCGTCTGTTACAGCTTATCTTAGGTTGTGCTGTGAACTGTCGTAAGGCTCAAGGTATTTTATATTTAAGTTAGATTTTATAGTTATTTAGTTTTGTTGAATTTATTATTAGCTTTGAAAAGTTCTTAAAGTTTGATATACGTTTGTTTTTCTAGAATTTATTACAAAGATTAGATCAATGGATGAAAATTCTCAAACAGTAATTATGCAGTCTATACAAGATTTAGAAAGAATTCAAGGACACGCTCAAAGTAGTTTTACTAATAGTTTAAGTATTGATACAGTACAGCAAGATCAAATGCAACAAATTGTCGACGAACTTCAAGCAGTAACTCGAGATAGAGATCAAATGACTCAACGCTGTCTTGAACTTGATTCACAAGTACATTGTTATTTGTTTTACTAATAACCAAATTAATTTCAAATTTTTTTACTTTCATTCGTAAAATGCAATAATTTAAACCATTCTGAAACTGTATGTAAACAATATATACTGGTTATAGGTGTATGTTATTAAATCCTTTTTTAATAAATCCAATTTGGTGACTGCCATAAAATACATTTTTAAAATTGATTTATCTAATCTGTATGTTTAGATTAGTTTATTGCAAGAAGAAAAAAATTATATACTAGACGAAAAAAAACATTTGGAAGAAAGGCTATTAGAAAGTGTGGAAGATCCTCTGAAAGGTAATGGTCAAATGAGAAGACAAATTGAAGACCTGAAAGAAGAACTGTACAAAGCTGAAACATGTAAGCTTTTTACATTAATAAAATGTCAAGAAACGCATTAGCCATTTAATATTTTAAAAGTTTCAGATAGTGCAAAACAGTTAGACTTATCATAATAGAAGTATTTATAGGATAATTTACAATTATTATTTGTGTACATGAAATTATAATAGATGATAAAAATCCTTGTTGTACATTATTGTAGGAAAATATTTGTGTTTACATATTTGTTATTCATATGTGTATTAATTGTTTTATTCCAACAGCTAGGGATGACTATCGGCTAAAATTTGAGACACAAGAGAGAGAAATGACTGATTTGAAATCAAAATTTGAATTACTACAAGAAACGGCTGGCGAAGCAAGGTTGTTAAAGGACGAGTTGGATATTCTTCGAGACACAGCTGACAGAGTTGAAAAATACGAATCAACCCTACAGTCGTACAAAAAGAAACTTGAAGAACTGGGTGATCTAAAACGTCAAGTTAAAGTATTAGAAACAAAAAACATAGCTTATATTCAACAAAACATGGAATTGGAACAGGTGAGGGCCTTTTTAGTGTTTACCAAGTTTTAATCAATATTTTATTGTATAAATTATTTTAAGGAAATAAAAAAAACTACCGTGTGGAAATCACAATTGGATATTTACAAAAAACAAGTGACTGAACTGCATCAATCACTCAATGACGAGACAAACAAATCAGATAAATTAGAGTTTGAAATAAAAAAAATGATAGAAAATATTAGCACATTAAAAAAAGAAAAAGATGTAAATCAAATTTTTTACATATATATATATATATATATTATTTATTTTATTGGTGTCTATTTTGTTAATTTATTGTGTTTAGAGATTAATCGTTGAGAGAGATTCATTAAAAGAAGCAAATGAAGAACTAAAATGCTGTCAAACACAGCAAAAACGCAATGGTGGTATTGAACATTCACAAACAACTACTAGTGACGATTTGGAGTCGGTCATGGATTTAAAGTCAGTTTTTAAATTGTTAAAATGTTTCATTTTTAACTATAATGATAATATTTTTAGGCAAAAATTAGTTCGGCTTCAACATGAAAATACAATGTTAAAAATGAATCAAAAAGATCCAGAAGAAGATAAAATCACTGTACTGCAAACACTATTAGATGATACGAGACAACAATATAATCAGTTACGTTTGGATAATAGGTATTGTATTTGGTTCAGTTAAATATTTTTCACATTGTGTTCTGTTTTAGTGTCATAGGTGTATAATTTGTTGACAGGAAAGCGAATCAAAGGATAATGGAATTGGAATCCGACCTTAAAGAACAGTCTGATGAAAACTCTAATGAATGGAAGTCCAAGATAAAAGAACTTCAAAATAAACTTCAGTGTGAAAAAGACACGAGATCAATGGACATAGAAGAAAAAAACGCAGCAATAACAGAAAAAGGTATGTATTGTAATAATAATAATGTATTGTATTGTCTGTAATAATCAAATGTTAATATAAAGTTGAATTAAATTGTTCAGATCAGCTAATAAACTTACTACAAGTTACTATAAATCAGAAAGACTTGGAACTTCAAGAGTGGGAAGAAAAACATAAAAAATGTATTGAAAAAGCAAAATCCGTTGTGAAGTCAATGGATATGAAAAGTGTTATGACATCAGACGCAGATATAAATGTTCTTCACAATAAGTTACTGAAAGCAAACAGTGAAATTATGGATTTAAAGGTAATTATATAGTTTTCTAAGTCTCCAGTCATAGTAATTTCTATCATGCACATTAATTAGATCTACACAGGGCCGTATTCAGACCGGTTTTCTCAGCTCTTATGTCGGGGGCTCGGCCCTAAACCTTTTATTAAAGGGCTCGGGCCTACAAAAAAAATAAAATAAAAGGGCCCGGAAGATTTAGTTTTGATGACATAAATAAAAACTATTATTATTTATTTAGTTTTTGCCAACATTGACAATTACAAAAAAATTAATAATATTTTGATTGTAAGTTTATATTCAAAACACCGTGTTTGCTTAAAGAATGGTTGCTGCCCAAGTGATTTTTATTACTATTTAATACAGAAGTTTCTAGAAAATAATACATTTTGGTTAAAACGGCATTTTTTGTCAGAAGTTTTATTTTATTTTAATATTTCGCCACAAGTTCCATCGGACAAATTAAGAATAATTCTGAAGCTAATTTAAATAACCAATTTTCATTTTAATTAACAAAAGCGAGTAGACACTTACTTAAATGATCTAGAGAAACTAACATTCTTGTTATGAATTATTTTTTCAACACTGATGGCTTCATGTGTCATTTTTTAATTGAGCTAAGTACTAAAAGAATTTCACTTACAATGTTTTTTCTCCAAAATTGACCGTACAAATTTTCAATTATGCTAGATTCTTACTATGTTAAAGTTATGGTGATATAATACTTGGATAGCCATTAAAAGAAATAATCAGCTAATTAAAATCTATTTTTTTTTTGTATTTATGTACATGTTTAGAAAGAACAAGAGTGTTTTAAAATGTCACAAGAACACGAAGAAAAATTAATGGCTACTGCGTTTTATAAACTTGTAAGTTATCGTATATTTTATACATTTAAGAATTATTTGACTTTTTACCGTACAGAGGAGATTAACAAAAAATGTACTTGTAATAATTCTCTCCCCTCTTTTTTAGGCCCAAACAAAAATGCAAGAGTCTGTTGACCAACGAGTAATGAATCAGGGGTTATTGCACAGTCAAACATTTTTATCAAAACACAGACACCAACCAAATAAAAATGTCGAATTACCTATTATATCGAAATAGTTTTTTTCGAGACAACTTATTATATTTATTTAATTTGCGTTTTTTATTGTTTGATAGTTACTAAATTTTGTTTTCATTCAACTTTTCTAATTGGCAAAATTAAATTTTATCAATAAATTTTATTTTTGATACCTATAATATTGAAATTATCGAGACCACTAAATTATAAAAGTTAAATGAATACAATTATATTTAAATTTTAAGGATACACAAGTATTAATTTTAATTAAACTAATTATCGTGTAATACTTTTTTTTTTTTTATAAATAAACATATTGACTAGTTTTTTGCAAAGCATTATAATCAAATTTTGTTTTTATTTCTTAGAACTACAGAAGCTATTAAGTAATAATATCGAACAGATATTATTTTATGAAAACATCACTGATAGTTAATTAACTTATATCCATTCTTTCACAGTCAAACGACCGTCCTAGCAAAAATCATTTGAAAATCTCCTTATAAGAGGCAGCGATGGAATAAGGTATATAAAAATATGAAATTATTTTCTTAAATAAACAACAACTTATATTTGAGTATAATTTTATATAAAAAAAATGTTTTGTTCGTAAGTAGTAGATAATACAATCAGTTATAAAGTAATAGTTATAAATAAGTAGTGTAATAGTTAAAAAAAATTAATCAAACTAACAATTTAAACAAAACATTTTATACTAATTGTGTATCTGTATATGTTTTACTACACTGTTATTAATGTCGTAATTGAATAAGTATTTTTGAATATAATAGTAATATGATAATAAATAGTAACACATTTTAATTTTACCCCGTCATATAAGGGTTGTACATTATGGCTATAGTGGGTACATAGCAATTCTAAAAAAATATAGGTAATAGTAATTTTACATCATAATTACATTACAAAGAAAAGAACAGTTAAGTTATGAGTAATATTATTATATTTATCATTAAACTGACACTCCGTTCAACAGTTTTTTGTCGAACAGGAACTCGCCAAGAGCTCCATGCGAATCCATCATTTTACCAAGGTTGGATATCTTTCCAGCTAAATCGCGTTGGCCTTCATATTGTTCAGTTAAGAAGTCGCCAGTCAACCAATCCACCAACTAAAATTTTAAAAATAACATTAAAGAAAAATAATCAAGATCTAACTAACTTCTAACAAATTATTTTTGTATTAAAATTTTTTTACTTTAACTATTTATACATCAAGATTGTAGATAGTAAGAACTATTTGTTTTCTTTGTGATTTATGGAGAAGTAAATAAAATATGTGGCATGTAATGAAATAACTAATATAAAATTGAGGTATTAAAGATTGGTTATTAGTCAGAGCGATTTGTATGGTATTTGTAATGTCATACGCATAAATAAATACAAATAGGCAAAATTGTGAAAAAATGTTAATATTATACACAGTGCCGTAAAGCATGCACTTAAGGAGGGTTAATTATTTCAAACCATTAAGTGATCTACAGAGAAATATAAATTCCTCAGTAAGTATTTCAAATAAATAATAAATGTATGTTGAATATTCAAAAGGTAATAGTAATATATATTATTGACCTTTCTGTGGTGATAAGTCTTTTGTTTGCTAACTGTTATTCTGATTATTTATACTCCTATTATATGCCTATCTAAGTTTCATAGGTGTTGCGATTAAATATATAAAAAACCAAAGAGCAAATATTAATAAAGGGCACCACTTATTAATTTTTTTATTGAATAATTACATCTGTTTGTAATAGGTAGCAAACAAATAAACTACTTTATCTTAATAAAATAACAGATATTTTACAAAGTAAATCCTTCAGCAATGTTAGGCAATTTCTTGAAAACTCGTAACTAATTAAATATAGTGTCAGTCATATAAAAATAATAATTGGGTGATTTTTATTATCACATCTTATTGTTTATTTTCTGTCATGCTATTTTTTACAACTATAATGCCCTTTTGTAGGTCAATGTACCTTAATATCTAGTAATGATCAATTGCATTGGAATCTTATTAAAGTTCTACAATTTTAACATATTTATCGCTCTAGTACTTAAAGCGAACATTTTATCATAGCTATTTGAATGCCAATAATTTAAATCAAAGTTTCATTTAAGTAGAACTTTTAAAATTATAATACCAAGAGTCAATAATATTTTAATTATAAGGTGATTATCAAAAACACTCTAAAAGATAAGTCAATGATAGAAAAATCAATGGGAAAAAAAATTGAGTAGTAATACTTTAGTTAGCGAATCATTCATGAAACAAATAAGACTATTAGTTTATTGTCACGTAAGGCAAAACATTTCAAGTACTACTTACATGATAGTCATTGAAATCTTGTCCGTCCCGCCCAGGTTCTTCACACGTACTGGCAATGTCCCTTATCTTACGGGTCACATGTGCTTCTAATTTCAGTGCATCTTTCAAAGCACTCAAACCATCAGCCCAAGTCTCAGCTAATGGTTGCTATAATAATACAATTATAATAAGTATTAGAGGTTTTTTTTAAACAATACTGGGTTAATATTTTGACATACCGGGTCACGGATAAGTTGACCAATATCCTGAGTTAAGCCTCCTCTCATCAACAAATATCCGATTATTTTAATAGCATGTTCTCGCTCTTCGCTGGCATTTTCAAAAAACATATTAGCAAATCCTGGACGATTTATTGTGTCTTTAGAAAAATGTGCTCCCTGTAAACAAAATGTATAACATATTCATACTACTATAACAGAACTATGAAATCAATGTTTTTCAACATATCATTTGGAAATTTATGTTTATTAGAATGTTCATTAGGTGAAGGAAAATCAGTATACTGATGAGTATATACTCTCTATATCTACTGACATATACTGGCGGCCGTTATAAATAAATACTTATCAAGTTTTTAAGTAAAATAATAGATTTTTAACATTTATTTGTTTTATTTCTTTTGCCTTTATGTGCTTGCATATTTATTTCTTATTCGAGGAATTGAGGAAATATGTTGTATTCAGTGCCACTTAAGAGTGAACGATTAGGTTAGGTAAGCAGACATTATAATCATGTATTCACTTTACAGCCTTAAATTAGAGCTGAAAAAATTGTATTATACATTTTAGCTTCCATGTGGAGCTGAGCTAGTATTAGTTTTAAAAATATGTTTTTTTATCTGTCTGTATGAGCCTTCAATAGCTTTTAAAATACTGAGCGAATGTAGCGAGTCTACAGATCAGAAATTGTATATAAAATATGCATCTTTAAGCCAAAAGTAAACCCTTCTGCTTTCACTACTAAGAAAAACACCTTAAAAATATACATTTGTCACAATCCAGAAATATGGGTAAAATAGTTGCCAGTTATATTAGCATTGCATATTTGATCTAACTAAGAGGATTTTCTCCTTCTGAGCAAAAAATTATCAAAATGTGATCACCCTAATAATTAGACTTATTTATTTTATAACTTGAACAACTTTTAAGAACTCAAATTCAAATCAAAATCGCTTGTTAAACCAAATGAGTCTAGAATCGGTTTAGAATTGTTGGCTTTATTATTGTTAATTAAAAGTATAGGGCAGAGAGGTAGTATGGCTGAGTGCTCTAATAGATAACATTGTACTGCACTGCCCCAAACCTCTCGCCAGAGTAATTACTCAAAAGCGGTTATCACCCTGTCATTACTTATTGCAAGTTATTCACACTTTATTTACCACTTAATTTTATTAATTTTTGTTTTATTTTTAAATATTGATCAAACTTTAGGTAAAAATCTGAAAATGAAATAACGAAAAGCAAGCAAATTTATAGCACAAGTGCTTTTTGTAGACAAAAAATTCATGTTTGATATATCAGCTAATAATTTTACCATTATTAATACAGATTTAAAGACATAGGAAAATACTTTGATAGAACACTTAATTATTATGTAATACAAAGCTAAAGTCCAAAATTATTAAAACGACTTTTTCGTGTCACAAATTCACTTTACCGGACACCCCTTTTTGACATTTTTGCCGTATTAAAGTGTTTGTTTTACGCTGACTACAAATTTGAGGTCAGAATTAGGCTGAATATTGTTGCACGAGATGACTGCAGTGCAGCGCCTGCAAGCCGTGTTACGTGTTGGGCAAAAAAAAAAAAGACCACGCGGGCATAGTCGCGTTGATTGCTAACCGTTGCCGCCGCACCCGTTGCATACTGTAATATAGGAAAACTTCAAAGTTCAAGTAGCTATAACTTTTGAAATAGAGAATTCCGCCTAATTCAGGCTTCAGTTTTGTAATCAGCATAGAAAACACTATAATATGGTAAAAAACGCAAAACCAAAGTGCGACTGGTTATGAGAATTCATGCCTCTTTTATGATAACAATACTATCTCAAGCTTGAAATAAGCTCATTAAACTAATATCAATCGGTATTGATACTGTTGCCTACTGAATGATTGGGATATTGATTTTATTGATTACATACACATGAGTAGTAATGTTGTTCGATAATTTAATACTACCCTAAATCATGCGCACTCCCTAAGAGTATAATTGTAAGTCATTACCATTGCAAAGTATGTCATAGAAGCGATGAGTTCTTCTTGGACTTGGGCTTTCAATTTTTTCGTGCACGGATCCACCATGGTGATCCAGTCGTCTGGAATTTGAACCTTTGGCAATTTACCTAATAAATCACAACCGGACACAATAGAATAAACGGATATACCTTTAATTGTATACGTAACAGTGCTTCGGGTACTCACATTGCATTTTGCCGTGAACTTGCTGATGGTCGCTGACCACAAAGAGCACAGCCACGACGAGTAGTGATAATTTTAACATTTTCGATGATATTACTACGATCGTTTTTGAGTGCGGATTGATTGATCACAAACGGACTTGGAATTCTGAAAAAGAAACCGACCAAACGTTATTGCACCGAACAAAATTAACGTTTCACACAATACACACACAACCGTCTGTGGACGGCAAAGAATTAATAAAATTGAGACTACGCTAAATGCTAAAATGTAAAAACAATAAAATATTAACAAACACAGTAACGGGTATCGTCGGGATAATAATAATTTTATTATTACCTCATAGACCGTGTAGCAGTGGTTTGGGCTGTACTATAACAATACTATAGTTCGATAACAGCAGCAATCGGCAGCCACAAAGAAATTGGAAGGCTGACAAAGTGCGACAAGTCCCAATGTTATCAGTGCCCCTCTACGCGACCTTCGCTCTTTTGTCCTGTTTGCTTTGCTAATGCGCCAGCTCGTGTCGGTGGCGGCTGTGTATGTGTGTGTATATGTGCGTGTGTGAGTGTGTGTGTGTATGTGCGCACAGTAAATTTCCCAGTGGCCTATACTTTATTGTTGTTATCGTGCCATTGTGTTTGTCTTGTTAATCGACATCGTCGTCGTTGGATTATTTTTAAGAGTGAAACAAAAAAAACAACTCTACATTCTACAAATGCGCCTTATCTATTGTTAAAAGTATTAGTTCTTATTTTTTTTTTGTGCTCGCCCTGTACTTTGTAACGCTCGCCGAGCACTTTGGCGTACGGCATTGTCGATTTTTCGATACAAAATCATTACTCTTGAACGTTACGTCGGTCCGCTGTCATTTCTTAACGGTTTGTCAACAGAATTGGTCATCCGTTTTCTTCACAGGGTGTCGATTCCAACATTGTAAGTATTGATACATGTTATACGTATATAAATATATATTTTCACACCCGACTCGGTAATCTACCTAGTCTTAATGACAAAACTACCCCTACTATATAAAATGAATTTGTATATATATATATATATATATATAATATTTAATAAAGAAAAGATACCGTAACATTGAAAATTTATAGTACCTGGTTTTGCTGTATGTAAAATATTATAATATACTATAATATCTTTTGTTTTCACTTTAAAATGTAAGTATCATAGTACCCGTGTATTGTTGTAATCAGAACTTTGACGATCGTCGCACGACTCGATACATGTCTGCTACATTTATATGTAACAATTTGAAAATCAATGTTTTAATTCTATTAGTTCTAATAATGAGCTCTAGGTTGTTATTAAACCTCAACTTGACACTGTATTTTTGAAAATACATACCTTTTTTAAATTAATTTCTATGACTGACCTATAATCGTTTCATAAAGGTACAGAATTGAATATTTACTCTTATTGTATAGTATCATGTTTAGCTGCTATAATACAATCAATGGGATACTTCAGCAGCCCTTAATGTTCTATTTGAGGGTGGCTGTCTATATTAGTAATTAAGGTGTTAAGCATCCCTTGAAAAATTATTAACTGGTTCTGATACGTTTTTCAGTTCTATTCGCTGATAGTAGAAAATTGCAGAACTATAATTATTATATTTTGTGTTATAATGTTTTATCCTTGAAAGTAACATTTAAATTGACATCATATAGGTAATAATTAAATTTAAAAATGTTGGATTTTTTTTTATTACTATCAGATTTTAAATCTGAGATGGACATTGATAAGGGTTATTTAACATCGTCGGCCTAAATCGCAAAGGTTGTACTCCTTTGTTTTTGATTTTGGGATATTTAGTGATTATAATGAAGAAGAAAAAACTCATCGTATGATAAGGTCATACTTCAATTAATGATATGACTACGAAAAAGTTGTATCTCCAATCCACTATTTGATAATGTTTTTGATTGAATACTATACAATATTTTTAGCATAGTGTTATTATTTGTTATTAATTTAATTATGTAAATGTTTATTTTTTCCATAATAGGTAATATTTCAAACTAAATATTGCCTAAAAACTGTATGTCATATCTTCATATAAATTTAAAATTATAAGAAGAAATAGTTGCAAGTCCGTTGAACAAATATCATCAGTCATATCTCCATATATTTTATTAGACAATATAAGATAAAAAAGTTCCAAGTCCATTAAAAAAAAATTAATTGAAATTACAATATTTAAATTGTTCAAACAATAATTGTTCAATTATGTTTTTTTAAATGAAGGGGAAAAAAATAATGTCTATTTTTTTTAAAAGTGCATTTATCAAATGTTTTTTCTTCTCCTGAACATTTTGTCATTTTGGACCTACAACCTATGCGATTTAGGCCGACGATATGATTAATACTTGTACAAGTAATTTTATTATACTGGTTCGCCTATCTTTGTATTGTACCAAAAGTAATCTATTCTAAAACAAATTTATAGATTAAACTCTTTAAACTATGGATTTTCTCTAATGTCTAATTAAATAAGTAATGAACATTTTTCTAATACCTAATTTTTTTTAATTTCATTAAAAAACAATTGTTTACCAAATTCTAAGTAATTCTAAGTATCTACAACTTTTCATTTGGTTTTTTTCCTCTAGATTGTTTCTTTTTTTTCATAATTTAATCTACCAGTTACCAAGGCGGTTTGTTCAAACCAACAAAGTTTTCAGGAATAGTGATAAACTGTTTTTTTGTTTAATTTGTTTTGTAACTACTAAAAGAAACGCGAGGTTTAAATAACATGAAGATTAATTACCAATAAATATTAACAAAAATTACCCAATATAGATTTCAGTTAAAATATATTTTTATGTCCTCTGTGACTCTCTAAACATAATATAGGAAAGAAGTAAAATAATGAACTATTTAAAAAAAGCTTAACCACAAAAAAATAGTACACTTAAATGTATACACATATTTCAGCAGTAATGTTACCATCACCAGTGCTAACAGAGTCAGTCTGTATTCGCGTTTATGCTAAATTGTATTGATTTATGTGGTTAAAGTTTTTTGAAATATTTTATTATTTTATTTCATTTTGCAACTGGTCCACTCAATCAAGTAATGATAATTTTCAAATAATATATTAAATAAATAAAATGAATGTGAAGAGGCTATATCATATAGTATTACATGTATTTTGTAGCATACAGATAAGGTATCCTTTTGTTGAAAATGGCAGTTGGCTTTATTCAATTACAAGTGGGGAAATGTAAGGAGGTACTGCCTTCGTAACCATTGTCACTTTTAACAAAAGAAATGTCTATTCTTATATTATATCATAATAAGTAATATACAGGATGTCTCATGAAGACAGTCTTGTTAGTACTTTACTTTTTTGGCGGATGTGTCTGAGCCTTTATCACAATATAATGAGATAAATGCACTTTGTACTGATACGTATCCACCGGAAGGGTTAAGTATGAGTAATTGGTTTAAATTATTACACTTGTATTTGGATAGTATTTTCAATATTACTCTATACATATTTTAAATACTTTAAGTTAATTACACTAAAAATAAATCTTGATCATTATCCGTTAATGGTTGACAAATATTTAGAAATATTGATGACTTTTATATTATCTATGTTACAATCATTATGTAATAACTCATATAGCCATTAAATTGTATTCATAACAGGTAAATAATTTATGGCGGTAAATGTAAATTAAATTATTTTAATAAAAAAAGCGGAAAAGGTATCACAACATCCAACGTGGCGAATAAAAATTCTCCATGCTATACAGTGTATTATACAATCTTGTCATAATAATATTTTATGTATTTATTTTTAAATCCACATATCAAGAATGTATCTCCTATATTTCCAATTAAATATAATAACAAAATAATTTATAAAAGTGAGTTTTTGATATGAATTGTAACTTTGACAAAAAAATGTAAGACAACCAGTGCCTGTAAAATTACAGCAATTAACAACCATTTATTCCTTTTAGTAATAATAAATCTGAAATTAGTGTAAAGATTTTACAGCTAACAACAAAAATAATATTCATAGTTATTGTTTCAGTTTCAGACGGAGACTTAAGATAAATCTTTTTTTGATATTACTAAAATAATATTTAAATTTTAACAATGTGTTTGGGTTTATGGAGAAAAAAATAGCTAGTCCATTATACTATACCATAGATGTTTTTGAGTGGTTTTTATTGTCATTATTTAATTATTATTATTATTTCTCTATTTATGTTGAGCGTTAATAGCAATTAAGTAATAATTTAAAGTTTTTAAATATTTTTGATGTACGTCGAAAATTAACAAATAAAAATGTTAACATCTATTTGACTATTTTAATACAACTTGTATTTAACACTTTTAGAAACTATTTACAATTATAAATTAATTTCAGGCAAAAATGAATATTAAGCTAGTAGCAATCTGCGTATTGACTACATTCTGTGTAGGATACGTTACTGGAGAATATTGTTACAACGATGTTGTTGGTGCTTGCAGCCCAGTTGGTAAGTTTATTTTATTTATATAATTTGAATTAGTATTCTAATATATAATATTAAACCCTATTCAGGAGGAGAAGTGACAAATTGTAATTCCAAGTATGGAGCTTTCAAAGGAGAAGAGATTTTATCAAGTTTCCAATACTATTCCAAGTCACATATTTTGCGCAGTTTTCAATACTTATTGATGGTATGTATTTTTGTATAAATTCTATTCGAGTAAAGCAAGATTTGTTTTTTAGGTATTTCTTTATTTAAACTGAATGTAAACAGACAAATCAACCATCATAATATTAACTTTAAATATATATTAATATTAGCATAATAACTAAATAAATATGCATAAATTGATAGATTACAAACTTTTCTTTGCACATTTGCACACATGTCCCAGTCATAGAAGATATAACAAAAAATAAGCACGATAATACTTCTATATAATAAAGTCTGGGGAAGATTTATCCTGTGCAGTATTTTTATCTTCAAACATGTCTCCTGATTATGAGTATTATTTTCTTAATAGAACACTATGAGCTCAGTAATATTAATAGTTTGATTATCTTATTGTTATTACTTCAACAACTATACAAGGTGATGTTTATTCTTATTAATGATGTAAACATGAACATTTGTTTAACATTGAGTGCTACTAATACATAGTCGACCCAGAAGTATTAGCAATAACAATATTTGCTTATAATAGTGGTATGTTAATTATTTGTGACATTTGGGTTATCATCCAAAGTAAGTATAAAAAAATAGTAGAAAAAACTTTAAATTCTTAAAGCCGTTTAATTAGTTCAATTTGGAGAAATCTATTAATCTTTTTTTTTTTTTTCAAGTATTTAAAATAGAGTTAAATTATAAATATTCTCAACATCAAAATATATAAGTTATAAATCGGTGTCTTGTGTAAATTAATAATATTTTTCATTTTCTGCCGCTGACTCATAGTATAATATCAAAGTATTTAACCTAATATAGTAACCCCATTTAATGTGTACAACACACAATTCATTAGATGTCTACTTGAAAAGAATTATTTTGATTGACATAGACATTACAACTATATTGTTGGTTAATAAAACACATGTTTGTTTTTTTTTCACTTCTTAATTGAGTGCAAGTAGTGCCATGATAAATAATAATTTATATTTTAATAGTAGTTACTCTATATAGTTACAAAAACCCACGGCAACAATTTTAAGTAGCACTTATTAGTATATCATGTATATAACTTTTTAGGTAATTATTTTCATTGGTTTCATAATTGTCTTGTTTTTAAGTATTATGAATCATAATTTAAAAATGTTTCAATGTGATATTATACAATATATTCAAGCTAGTTAAAGATGCAATAATGTTAAAACAAAATTTAAATAATTTAAGTCAAGACGTATTATTGAACAGGCTATATTTTTTTTTATTGCATTTACAAACTAGAATTTTTAAATAGTAATTATTTATTTTGTGTTTCGAATTTTGTTAATTTTAAACCATTCACTGCAATTTGATTACTATGTTGGCCTTTAAAAAAAAAAAAATTGTGTTATTTATTTATTAGAATTTGTATTCATTAATTTTTGTTTTTATTTTTCAAGTCCTCTCATTTTGGAAACTATGAAAAAAACCGTGGTGGATTCGAAAAACTTTACAGAAAATTGTCTGACGATACTTGGCAACAAGCTATTGACATAGTGAAATTCATCAGCAAACGTGGAGGACACATGGACTTCCGTTTGGCTAATGAAGAAAAGAACGACAAGGTTTTTGTTTACCAATATTTTAAATAAATTATTTTTGTTATTTATGACAACTCTAGTGTTATTATAACAACATTGTTATTATAATTTTTTTTTTTTTTAAGATAATCGATTACGAGATGTATGAATTGGGAAGTATGGCTAAAGCATTGGACATTCAAAAACGTTTGGCTTCCGAAGCATTTCACATTCATAGTGAAGTTACTCGTGTTAAGGAACACGATCCTGAGGTAATTTTTTTGTAAAATAAAATTTGGGTCTGTAACCGAGTGTAGTATTAATGTGGTCAAGTTAAATTGATTCAATCGATAGAAAATGTATGAGAATTACGTTAATTTAATATTTATTTGAGTATTTTTTGTCCATTTTTCACCATAAAAGCTTGCATTAAATATACAAGTATACATAAAATATTGTTACAACATTATAATGTTTACAGGTTGCATCTTACATAGAAAACAACTTTGTACATAAGCACTCATCGCTTGTACGAGATTTGGCTGGGCACACCAATGATTTGAAACATTTGATTGCTAATCAACCAGACCCAAGTTTGTCACTCTATTTGTTCGATGAATACCTACAAAAAACTATTTAATTTATATATCTTTATATTTTGTAAGTTAATAGTAATATTTATACTATAAATAGAACTTGCCTATTTTCTTTGAATACTAGTTTACACGAGAATAGACATTTAATATACAATAATGAGTTTATAAACAAAATATTTAAATATCTAATATCACAACTTTTAAAGAACAATTATATGTCGAACTATAAACGTATTATCTAAAATGGATATTATGTAATTAAGACAATTGTGTAAATCACACTTTTTTTTTTTTATTCTATTCTTTATATTTTTTAAAATTTACTACTTAGTTTATGATCAATTAACTCTACTAGGGTCGAACACCCAGTTATTATTACTATCATGTTATTATTTTATTGTTCTACTTAATATGTATTTTTTGGAATAAAACAATTTTATGTTGAAAATGTGGTGTTTAACTTCTTACTTCTTATGATAATATTATGAAAACCTCCAGCTTTTAATTAAAAAATAAATGTATGGAACATATTGGCTTTACAATGGTGTTCATAAGTATGTTTATATAAATATATCTTTGTATATAAAATAATATTTAATATATCTTTATATTTTTTTTTCTCGACTTCGATCTAATATCGATTGTAGAAAAAGTATCATCTACAATTGACTATAGTTATCTGATCAATAACCGCTTCAAAAAAATCTAGGAAGAAAATGTTTAGTTAAGTTTGAATCTGATATTTTCTATTTTTTTTTTTTTTTACTTTATATTATTATGTTAAAATGATTTAAGCATAAATATTATTTACTTATAATAAAACGGTGTACTATGCAGTTAATAAATGATAGAGTTTAAGTACCTAATAGTATAACCAATAGCTGCATAACATTTAAAGTACCAATATGTATAGAGGAGGTGTGTCGAATATGGAATACTAGATTATTTAGTGAAGTATGTGTCGCTATGTGTTATCTTTGACTGTAACTTGGTCTTTAGTTAATATTTTTATCGACCATATGGTGCTACTACCACTGTACTGCTATCAAACAGAATAAAACACGTTTATCGGTTTTTAAGATAACGGAAACATTAAAGGACGTATTTTTTAAATTTATTTTACTTTTTGAAGTTTTTATTTCATACAGCCCTCTATATAAATGAATAACTTTACAAATTAACATTTAAAATATACCACAGTTATTAACTACAAGTGATAGCATCAAATTGTAATTATATATATATATATTTTTTTTTAATACACTTTAATATTCTATTCCCTATTACCCACACATTTTCTGAAATGGTAAAAATGATTGTTTTCACATTATGATCATTCCATCAAATAGTTTATCCTGTAGTGTACTAACCGCTAAAAAATATATTCTATGCTAATTTTCCTTTAAATATTATCCAATACAAGAAATATCATTTAAATATAAATTAAATGTCATTTATAGTATTTTATATGATGTTGGTGGTATCTTATTATCATCATAATTATTTTCACAAGAGATAAAAAGCAAAATGGAATTCCATATTCGAAGCATCTTCTCTAGTAGTAATGATACTACAAATACAAGTATACTCATGTAAAATGAAAACATTGGAATTTTTGTTCAAATGTACCAGTAAAAAGGACCTAGAGACATAAAAGTGCTCTTTCGTGGTTGCAGACTCATCTGAGAAATGCTTTTAGTTTAAATTAAAACATGCTTAGAGTTTCCTAATCTCATCAGGAAAGCGTTAAAATTTGAAATTGAAAATTGAAAAATGCAATCTCTAGTAAACATTATAGGGAATTTAAATCTGTTTTTAGATTCTTTATCGATGCAGTTGGTCGATCGGTAAGACTGTAAAAAATACCTAATCGAGATCCAATCCGCTTAACATGATAGTTCTAAAAATATTGCGGTTGTCAAATAGGTACACTTATATTTTCCTTATGCCTTACAAGGTAAGACTTATTTTAAAGTTTAAATGTAAAATAAACAATGTAGTACTTGATAAAGCTATATGAATTAAGTTAGTTTAAAATGTACCTATCTATAATTAATAATATTTTAAAGTAGGTAATCATAGTTATTTTATTAGTTTTTGGTAAAAGTTTCGATTGAAAATAGTTATAAAGAAAAACAAATTAATTTAAACCTTTCTAAATTTTTTTTTTTTTTTAAATAAATGAAAACTCATTAAGTTTTACAGTCGTCAATACCCTTAGGCTATATTGTCCCTTGCGTACAATATACATATACTATATATAAGTGTATATATTATACTTTATAGGTACCTTAAGTTACAGTTCAGGAGAGATATTATTTTAGTTAAGATAACTTTTAGACATTTTTTTATTTTTACATTTAAAATTTTAATTATTCAGTTATAAAATAATACAAATTAAATTATTCTTAAAGATGAAACAAGACAACTTATCATGATTGGAACACAATACGATTAAATACAATATATAAAGATAGTAAGTACAAGTAGAATTTATAAAAACAGAAAACTATACTATTACAACAATATTATTGCATGTACTGAAATATTATTTAACAAGAATTATATGAATTTGAGCAATGAAAAAGTAACTAATAAGATGATGATCCACTACCTAGAGAATTGCGACCGCCAACACCATTACTAGAACCACCCGGTAATCCGTACGCACCTGTTATGCTACCGCTGGAACCACTTGGTACGCTATATGAACCACTTAGGCCATTGCTACCCGATCCCCCATAACCACCACCTAAACCACTATTTGAGTTACCACTAGGAGCTCCATATGAACTACTCAATCCGTTTCCAGAACCTCCTAAACTGTTGTAGCCACCGGATCCGAGTCCACCATTTGAACCGCCAAACCCACCATAAGATCCTCCGGCACTTCCACTGGAACCACCATAGCCGCCTCCCAAGTTGCCAGCACCACCGGAACCGCCATAAGAACCGCCTTGGCCTCCATTTAATCCCCCTGCGCCTCCTGCACCACCATTTCCACCAAAACCATTGCCAGATTGACGGTCACCAGCGTATCCTCCAACTGGATCAGTGTAGGTAATTTTTGGCTTATATCCTTCTTCATCGGCTTCATATTCCACAATTTGTGTTCTGCCGTCAGGTAATAGTACATGATACACTCCAGTTGCTTCTTCACCTTGACGACTTTCTTTATGGCCGAAAATAGCTCCTGTTTCAGGCGCATTTACTTCATATGAAAATTCATAATTAGCCGGTTCCTAAACAACAATGTCACATTAGTCACATTAGTAAAAAATAGTTTTTTTTCATTTCTACTTATATTATGATAATTATTATTATGACACTAGATAATGTCTATAAAGAAGTTCAATTCATGCAAGGCGAAGAGGAAAAGGGGAGTGTAAACAACGCAGTTTCATAGTTGTCAACATCAATCCCGACACTTGTCCCAAGTTTGACACCTAATATAATTGTGTCACACAGCGATTCATATGTCTTTAATTACATTTTTGGGATTTCCCACCACTTAATACAATCCTATTCTTTAATTCTATATTTGTTATTTACTTTCCGAATCATTCGTAATTTGTAGGTATTTAAATACTTAAATAATTTTCAAATTGATTAAAACTTACCGCTAATGGATCATTTTCAGATCCTCCGGCACCGTTTCCGCCAGCACCTCCAAATTGGTTACCATCAGCTCCATATTCACCGGATGAGCGACCTCCTAAACCGCCTGATCCGCCAGAGGCACCACCTCCTAAACCTCCTGATCCGCTTCCATAACCGCCGGATAAGCCTCCTCCAAGACCGCCAGATCCACTTCCATAGCCGCCGGATGAGCCACCTCCTAACCCACCAGATCCGCTTCCGTATTCACCGGATGACCCACCTCCTAAACCACCAGATCCGCTTCCATATCCGCCGGATGAGCCACCTCCAAGACCGCCAGATCCGCTTCCATAACCACCGGATGAGCCTCCTCCAAGACCGCCAGATCCACTTCCATAACCACCGGACGACCCACCTCCTAAACCACCAGATCCGCTTCCGTATCCACCAGATGAGCCACCTCCAAGGCCGCCAGATCTGCTTCCATAACCGCCGGATGAGCCTCCTCCAAGACCGCCAGATCCGCTTCCATAGCCACCGGATGAGCCACCTCCGAAACCTGAAGATCCGCCTCCGTAACCGCCAGCTGCTCCACCACCAAATCCGCCAGAGGATCCGCCACCATAATCACCGGATGAGCCTCCTCCAAGACTGCCAGATCCACTTCCATAACCACCGGACGACCCACCTCCTAAACCACCAGATCCGCTTCCATATCTGCCGGATGAGCCACCTCCAAGACCGCCAGATCCGCTTCCGTATCCACCAGATGAGCCACCTCCAAGATCGCCAGATCCACTTCCATAGCCGCCAGATGAGCTACCTCCAAGGCCGCCAGATCTGCTTCCATAACCGCCGGATGAGCCTCCTCCAAGACCGCCAGATCCGCTTCCATAACCACCGGATGAGCCTCCTCCAAGACCGCCTGATGAGCCACCTCCGAAACCTGAAGATCCGCCTCCGTAACCGCCAGCTGCTCCACCACCAAATCCGCCAGAGGATCCACCACCGTAGCCGCCAGATGAGCTACTTCCTAGGTTACCCGATGAACCACTTCCATAACGATTGTTACGTGAGCCGGATCCTCCATAACCACCACGACTTCCTCCAAATTTAGATTCTAATGAAGAATATCGGTTTCCAGCTCCAGACTGACTAGATTGAGATCCATATTGATTTGCTCCAGTAAAAAACGGACTTAGTGACGACGATCCACTTCCGCTACTTCCACCTCCATATTGTCCTTTACCACCATATCCTCCGTTTTTATTTCCTCCGCTAGTCCCACCTCCTCCATTACTACCATAACTAGGTGGTTCGGCTACCACAAAGGCAATTGATAGTACCAACAAAAATATTATCTAAAAAAGTCATAATTCATGTGGGCATAAGTTTCAATTAAAAGTAATGAATAATAATTTTTTTTTTTTAAAAAAGCTGATGTAACTAATAACAATAAAATATTCTAAATTGTGTAAATTGGAGTTAAATATTTTTTTTTATTTAAAAACCTCTGAAATTGTTCCCTCGATTTATCATTAAAAAAAATATGATTTTATAACACAGAACTATAAAATTTGTTTTCAAATATGTTAAGGTTTTAGTAAATTCATAATAAAATTTAAATAGTTTCTAGGCCACCATGTTGTCGTAATAATGAAAAGTTAAAGGTATTTCCTTATATTATTTCAAACATAAAAAATATGTTTTTAAAATACATCCCTTGCGGACCGTAGCCACACGATCGTGAGGGTTTGATTAATCATTGTTTGGAGTGTACTTACTACTTAACCCTCACAATCGTAAAGGGTTAGTTTCACCCCTTGGTCAGGCAAAACAAATTGTATATTATATTTTAACTATAATATACCGCTCGAATACAATAGTTTTATATATTTGCTAAAAATAATATTGAAAAAACTACTTAAAAAAGCGTTATAAACTTTGAATAAAGTCTAAATTTACTTGAACGTATTGACAAATTAAGAATTCATAATGGTCTAGTGTCTTTATGTTTTACTCCAATGACTAATATTTTTTTAGATATTTATATTTTATTTTAAAATCTCGTGCATTGTTATAAAATATTTTATTCTGTTGTGATTTATGTTTTTAGACATTTTTCCGTCCCAAACATAACAAAAATTTTAAACAATCGACGATTTATTTTATCAATAAAAAAGTTTTTATTGAATATTTGATTAATTTTTATGATTATATTAGTTAGGATTATTATATTAGGATTGGAGCAAATATCAACATTAATTACAAAAATCAAGAAGAATATCGTGTCTTTAAAAAAATATTTCTTTTCTAGAGATCAGTTCTCTAGAAGTACTCTCGAACTCTTTAATTTTTATAACAGGTATTTTCCCTTTAATCCTATACGACTATCTAATTCTAGTGTACTGATACTATAAATTCATATTAGGTTTTTGATAAGTAATAACTTATATTTATTTATAAAATAATTCCGATGATAATTACCATTGAATGATCAACTTAACACAAGTCACTTGTTTTCTCTTTACTTCTACTTATAATCAATCTATAAATAATTTTAACTGGTCCATGACCAGTTTTGAATAAATACTCTAAGAGTAAAAGTTGTGGTTGAAGTTTTAAAGTGTAAGCAGATTTTACAGCACTATTTTCCTACCATACCTAAGCAATTTATTCATAACTCAATTTGGTTATGGAACATAGTATTTTTAAAAGACAACTTTGGACTGTAAAAATGTATACATTATATAAAAAAACTTTACTAAGACACCTTTTAAATTTGAATACAGTAAGAATAGTTGTGAAAATAAACTTATTTTCCTTAGGCTTTACTCAGGAGTGAGCTGCTGGCAGCACATTGATAGTGTGTCTAATCCAATGTAAGTATAAGTATATTATTGCTGTACTTACGTTCATCTTGACTGATTTGGCGGCTGAGTGCAGTGCTGCTTGTTGACGATACGACGATACTGTAAGTCTGCAAACACTATGTGGTAGACGGACTGATGATGTGTGAATGATGCCGTCTAGGGATGCGCCGGCTGTCTTTATAGTGGCGAGGCGACGGAGATCTCTACACGACTTTTACCCGTTAACGGGCTAAGAGGGAGCATAAAACACAAATATGACGGTATGGACGGTGATGTGCGATGACGACAATGCTGATGATGATAATAATTGTGACTCGTGAAGGTGTTTTATATTATTATCGTAGTGTTTTATTAATTCGAGGAGTACCCGATCAGGAGGGCCGGCGGCACACTCAATGGTAACGTACCTAAACAAAAATTAGTTGCAAGTTTTATAATAATATTATCTAATGCCATTTATAACACTATGTAGCTAGTATAATATACACTACATTGACCAAGTATTTAAAACTATTTAATACCGATGTGCTTAGGCATTTCTAATTCTTACCCCAATTTTTTTTTTAAATATATTTACACAACAGGATATTTGTAACTTTCTATCATACTCAATCACATAATTTATTCTTGTATTAATTGCTCATTATGGCTTGCTGGTTGGAAGACATCTTTTTGGGTCTTTTGGTCTCAACCGATGTTCCAAATGCAAGTTAATTTCCTCATTGGTAAATTGAATCAATATCTCTATTGCTTGCATTATATTTGTGAATTAATTATTAGTATTACATTTATTATTATAATCATTATATATATTTTAATGTTATATAATGTTGCAGGTAAGACTCTATGCACACTGTTAGTTTCTTAGACAAGGCTTTAAAGAAAGAAAAAAATGTATGTATATATACAGGGTGGTCCACAAAGATTTCACAAATTAAATAATTTTTGTTCTAGTAAATATTTTTGAGATTTTTTTTATTTAAATAAGTTATACTCTTGTGCGCTATAATCACCATGGTTTTTATTGCACTTACCTGTTTTACTTTTTTTAATTATTTTTATTACATTTTTTCTTTTTTTTTTAAGATGGCCATTTTATTCAAAATAATTTTTAAAAAATTATTGGTGAAAAAAATGTGTATTTTTATTCATTTGTTCAAATGTTATACTCATTTAAAGGTGAGGACGACTGATGACGGGAGGTGGAGTGCGGTAGGTAACGCGCGCAGATAAAAATAACTCTACGCGGTTTACTCTATAATATAACTTATTTAAAAAACAAAATCTCAAAAATATTCACTATAACAAAAGTTATTTGATTTGTCAAATCTTTGTGGGCCACCCTGTATATATATACATATATACATATAGCTTCTTAATTTTAATTCTGATAAATTGATTCCGGCTATTAGTATTGGTATACATTTTTAGCAATTACATTATTGTAGAAAATATAAATAATAATGTGCTTTGTATCACTAAAACTAATAGCTTGTTGTTTTACTTAGGTCTGTTGATAGATTTATTTGTGGTTGCTGTACAGGGTGATTCATTTTGGGTAAGACAACTCATTTTCTCGGAATATATTAATATTTTGAACAATATTTTTTCCCAAAAATTTTCGGTAATCATTGTACTATATTTTTCAATATTTTAAAAACTTTTAAAAATGTTTATCACTAATCCTTGTAAACCAAAAAGGGGATTTTTAGTTTTTTAAATGAAAATATATGTTTTTAATTAAATAAATTTATGGACAAAAAATAAAATAATATTTAAGCGTTTGAATTTTGAACTTTCATTTATTTGTTCATTTGTTATGACTTTATAAAGATTTGATTTTTTGTATCTGTATTTCTTTATATTTTTCAATCGTTACTACAAAGACGAACAGTTTTATTATATCGCATAAAAATAAATTGACGTGTTACCGTACCCGTATCATAATCAGATATAATAAATAACCACGCATTATGATATTGTTGTTAGAGTGTTATCGTCAATTGGATGATGCGAACATAAATATAAATTTTATGTGCTACCGGTTTTCGAAAACCGAAGAAATTTGATAATTATTACGAGAAAATGTAGTATCTTTAAAAAGTCACAGCTAATGAACAGATAAATAAAAATAAAAAATTCAAACGATAGGTAACGTATTTTTAAATTTTTTGTCTACAAATTTATATAGTTATGTTTCCATTAAAAAAAAACAAAAATCCCCCTTTTTGGCTTATAATGATTGGTAATTTTTAAAATATTGAAAAATATAGTACAAACTGTACCTCAAAATACTGGAAAAAAATATTGTTAAAAATATTAATATATTCCGAGAAAATGAGTGTCTTACCCAAACGAATCTCCCTGTACTTAAAGCCTTCATTTGACGGCAACGATGACAGCCTGTGGGCATTCAAAATGATCACTGCTGAATACATAATTTTATTAATATCAGATGACAGAAGTGAAGGTGCAGAATAGCATGTAAAATTTTCTAGCATCAGGGTTTGTTTTTACTTGTTTATAAATATCATTAAATCATATTTTTAAACCATAGGCCATGAACGTTGAATTGTGTAATGTGTATTGAGTGATTTGTGTTGATTCGTAATATTTTTACTTTTGTCAGGTGTTTACTAAATTATAACATGTTATTTTTCGTAAAATAATAATAATTTTTTTAGTTATTACAATTTTAATATCTAAATCGACAAGTAAAAAGTTAGATTTTTCTCAGTGCATGTACTACGTAACACAAGTTACCATTTAAATTTAATAAGACAGCAAAGTTTTAAAAAATAACAAAACAAAAAATAATTTTTGAAATTTCTTCTCGATGTAAAACTTTAGGAAAACAATCTAGAAAAAACTTTGAGCAACTTATGGTTTTATATATATAGTAAAGAAAATCATATTTTAAATTTTTATTTATTTAGTAGGTATAGGTAAACAATATTTTCAAAATGAAAAACAAAAAAATTACTTTGATTTTTTGATAAAACGAGTGTCTAACGAAAATCCGAAACACCTTTAAGCACTATTATGAACATATTTACTTATGCTTAAAGTTAGATAGCGGATTTTAATGTTTTACATGTATTATTGGCTTTTTGTAGCTTTGTAGCTTTGATGAAAAATGTGGACATTTTTTTACAAAATGTGTACCTAACAAAGGATCCATATATAAGATTTTGAAATTATTTTTCTTATTATTAATATTTTTTTGTCCTACCTGACGACTACTTAGCCACTTAAGTCGTCGCTGAGATACCAGTTCCAGCATTTGTCATACTTGTTTGGGAACGATAATTAAAACTGATTTATCTGTATTGTCTTTGTAATTAATTATTCCATGTCGATTGCGTTAAAGCCGATGCTCTTAGTAGTAAATCTATACAATTTTTAAGTCACAGTAGTGTCTTTGGTGTAACTTTTTTTCCTTAGCATTTAGTAAAAATCTAGTTTAATAACATATACTATATCGCAGGTCGATGATCAACCGGCGACTTTAGTTCGAGAAGCCGTACAGCGAGGAATTGATAAACAGTCGTAGCATGTTCTCATTTCTAAATAACCAATTCAAAAAATGTTGCATTTTGCTCATCGCTTTACGCCCTTCAATCTCTTTTATCCATCAAATCATCGCATCGCTGTGCTTAAGTTACCACCTAATAAATAATTAATCTCATGTAATGTGTTAGAAAAAAACTTTCCATATTTGTTATAAAATTGTGATTTTCCCCCTTTTTTTGTTGCGTTTTTTTATGCTTTACGAAAAAAAAGTTTAGACAATAGATTTTTAAGAAAGCTGATATGATATAACCCCATCCATATACCATCAATCTAAATTTTAAACCTTAAATACCAAATTTTCTCTCGAAAAAGTGAAATAAAAGAAAAAATTCCACTTCTTTGGGATAGTTTATGGTATTTTTTTTATTTGTCAAGGTGTATTGATGGTACTATGTTTAAAGATTATTCCATACAAATTTGGAACTAATTAGACTATTTTTCAAAAAACTTTTAGCGCGTCAGTTTTAAGTTTATACTATGTACATTTTTAAGATACATGTAAAAAGAAAGTTGTCCGTTGTCGTCTTCAATGTCAAAACTGGCATGTTTTAGTTAAATTAAAATATGCTTAGAATTTTCAAATCTCAATTGGAAAGCGTTAAAATTTGAAATTGAAAAGTGAAAAATACAACCTCAAGTATAAAGTAATTATGGTTATGTTATTAGTTTTTGTTAAAAGTTAAACTGAAAATAGTTATAAAGAAAAACAAATTCATTTAGCCCTTTCTAAATTTATTTTTATAAAAAGATAATTGAGAACTCATTAAGTTTTACAGTAGTCAGTACCTATAGGCTATATTATCTCTTGTAAACAATATACAGTAAGGCCAAAACTTCGAATACACACGTGAAAACAATAGTTTAATTAGTTACATCATTTATTTTACAAAAACAAATTAGTTTATTTACATAGCTTTGGTGTGTATATTTTTTAATTATTCTGAATGTATTTTAAAGAAATCTAATAAAAAAAAAACAAAATGTTACTTTAGCAGACTTTTTTTTAAAGTAAGGGTGAAAACCACCTATTGCTTTAAAAATTTCGGTTTAGTTTTTGCCATTTTTTCAACATTTAAATATATTAACCACCTTTTTGTAATCGTTTGACAAATATCGATTTCATCAATGATGTTATCGATGGCACAACGTTACCCTAAATCTGGTTACTTGATGGTTATTTCCATCATGATGTTTGTTGCCAAAGAACAATTAGGCAATTATTTCTGAGTAATATATATATATTTTTTAATTTGATTTCTATAAAAAATATACAGTAAGAATAATCATAGAATGTTGTACAAACCAAAATTATGTAAATAAAGTAAGCTAGTCAAATAAATAAAGTAACTAAAAAAACGCCTGTTTCTTCATATGTATTCAAACTTTTGACGTTTACTGTATAATATATGTATATTATAGGTACCTTAAGTTACAGTTCAGGAGAGATATTATTTTAGTTAAAATAACTTTTAGACATTTTTTTAGTATACAATAATGCATAAGTATGATATAATTTAAAATTTAAATTATTCAGTTATAAAATAATACAAATTAAAATATTCTTAAAGATGAAATAAGACAACTTATCATGATTGGAACACAATACGATTAAATACAATATATAAAGATAGTAAGTACAAGTAGAATTTATAAAAACAGAAAACTATACTATTACAACAATATTATTGCATGTACTGAAATATTATTTAACAAGAATTATATGAATTTGAGCAATGAAAAAGTAACTAATAAGATGATGATCCACTACCTAGAGAATTGCGACCGCCAACACCATTACTAGAACCACCCGGTAATCCGTACGCACCTGTTATGCTACCGCTGGAACCACTTGGTACGCCATATGAACCACTTAGGCCATTGCTACCCGATCCCCCATAACCACCACCTAAACCACTATTTGCGTTACCACTAGGAGCTCCATATGAACTACTCAATCCGTTTCCAGAACCTCCTAAACTGTTGTAGCCACCGGATCCGAGTCCACCATTTGAACCGCCAAATCCACCATAAGATCCTCCGGCACTTCCACTGGAACCACCATAGCCGCCTCCCAAGTTGCCAGCACCACCGGAACCGCCATAAGAACCGCCTTGGCCTCCATTTAATCCTCCTGCACTACCACTGCCTGATCCATAAGAGCTACCTGAACCGCTATTGCCACCGCCTTGTCCATAATTGCCTCCTCCATTTCCATTCCCATACGAGCCTCCCGCGCCTCCTGCACCACCATTTCCACCAAAACCATTGCCAGATTGACGGTCACCAGCGTATCCTCCAACTGGATCAGTGTAGGTAATTTTTGGCTTATATCCTTCTTCATCGGCTTCATATTCCACAATTTGTGTTCTGCCGTCAGGTAATAGTACATGATACACTCCAGTTGCTTCTTCACCTTGACGACTTTCTTTATGACCGAAAATAGCTCCTGATTCAGGCGCATTTACTTCATATGAAAATTCATAATTAGCCGGTTCCTAAACAACAATGTATTCACATTAGTAAAAAATAGTTTTTTTAAATTTCTACTAATATTATGATAATTATTATTTTTCCTCAAAAGAAGTTGAGATCATGCAAGGCGAAGAGGAAAAGGGGAGTGTGAACAACGCAGTTTCGCAGATGTTGTAAATATCAAATATGACACTTCTAGTTCCAAGTTTGATGCCTTGTATAATTGTGTCACACACTTTATGTCACACAACGATTTATATGATAATCTTATTTTACTTTTTTATGTCTTTAATTACATTTTTAGAATTTCCACCACATAATGCAATCCTATTCTTTAATTTCCTATATTTATTATTTACTTTCCAAATTATTCGTAATTTGTAGGTATTTAAAAATTGATTAAAACTTACCGCTAATGGATCATTTCCAGATCCTCCGGCACCGTTTCCGCCAGCACCTCCAAATTGGTTACCATCAGCTCCATATCCGCCGGATGAGCCACCTCCTAAATCGCCTGATCCACTTCCATATCCGCCAGAGGCTCCACCTCCTAAACCGCCTGATCCACTTCCATATCCGCCAGAGGCCCCACCTCCTAAACCGCCTGATCCGCTTCCATACCCGCCAGATGAGCCACCTCCCAAACCACCGGATCCGCTTCCATAGCCACCAGACGAGCCACCACCTAAGCCACCGGATCCACTTCCATAACCTCCGGATGATCCACCTCCTAAACCTCCCGATCCGCTTCCATAACCACCGGATGAGCCACCTCCCAAACCCCCGGATCCGCTTCCATAGCCACCAGACGAGCCACCACCTAAACCACCGGATCCACTTCCATAACCTCCGGACGATCCACCTCCTAAACCTCCTGATCCGCTTCCATAACCACCGGATGAGCCACCTCCAAGGCCGCCAGATCCGCTTCCATAACCGCCGGATGAGCCTCCTCCAAGACCGCCAGATCCACTTCCATAGCCGCCGGATGAGCCACCTCCTAACCCACCAGATCCGCTTCCGTATCCACCGGATGACCCACCTCCTAAACCACCAGATCCGCTTCCGTATCCACCGGATGACCCACCTCCTAAACCACCAGATCCGCTTCCATAACCACCGGATGAGCCTCCACCAAGACCGCCAGATCCACTTCCATAGCCGCCGGACGACCCACCTCCTAAACCACCAGATCCGCTTCCATATCCGCCGGATGAGCCACCTCCAAGACCGCCAGATCCGCTTCCGTATCCACCAGATGAGCCACCTCCAAGGCCGCCAGATCCGCTCCCATAACCGCCGGATGAGCCTCCTCCAAGACCGCCAGATCCGCTTCCATAACCGCCGGATGAGCCACCTCCAAGACCGCCAGATCCGCTTCCATAACCACCGGATGAGCCTCCTCCAAGACCGCCAGATCCACTTCCATAACCACCGGACGACCCACCTCCTAAACCACCAGATCCGCTTCCATATCCGCCAGATGAGCCACCTCCAAGACCGCCAGATCCGCTTCCGTATCCACCAGATGAGCCACCTCCAAGGCCGCCAGATCCGCTTCCATAACCGCCGGATGAGCCTCCTCCAAGACCGCCAGATCTGCTTCCATAACCGCCGGATGAGCCTCCTCCAAGACCGCCAGATCCGCTTCCATAACCACCGGATGAGCCTCCTCCAAGACCGCCGGATGAGCCACCTCCGAAACCTGAAGATCCGCCTCCGTAACCGCCAGCTGCTCCACCACCAAATCCACCAGAGGATCCGCCACCGTAGCCGCCAGATGAGCCACTTCCTAGGTTACCCGATGAACCACTTCCATAACGATTGTTACGTGAGCCGGATCCTCCATAACCACCACGACTTCCTCCAAATTTAGATCCTAATGAAGAATATCGGTTTCCAGCTCCAGACTGACTAGATTGAGATCCATATTGATTTGCTCCACTGAAAAACGGACTTAGTGACGACGAGCCACTTCCGCTACTTCCACCTCCATATTGTCCTTTACCACCATATCCTCCGTTTTTATTTCCTCCGCTAGTCCCACCTCCTCCATTACTACCATAACTAGGTGGTTCGGCTACCACAAAGGCAATTGATAGTACCAACAAAAATATTATCTAAAAAAGTCATAATTCATGTGGGCATAAGTTTCATTTAAAAGTAATGAATTATAATTTTTTTTTTTTTTAAAAGCTGATGTAACTAATAACAATAAAATATTCTAAATTGTGTAAATTGGAGTTAAATATTTTGCCTTATTTTTTTTTTTTTTGAACTTTTAAAAACCTTTTAAGTTGATCCCCCGATTTATCATAAAAAAAAATATGATTTTGTAACACAGAACTGTAAAATACTTATTTAAATATGTTAAGGTTTTAGTAAAATTAGAATAAAATTCAGGTAGTTTCTAGGCCACCATGTTGGCGTGATATTGAAAAGTTAAAGGTATTTCCTTATATTATTTCAAACATGAAAAATAAGTTTTTAAAATACATTCCTTATGGACCGAAGCCACACGATCGTAAGGTTTCGATTAATCATTTTTTGGAGTGTAATGACTTAACCCTCACAATCGTAAAGGGGTAGTTTCACCCCTTGGTCAGGCAAAACAAATTTTATACTATTTTTTAACTAAAATATATCGCTCGAAGACAATAGTTTTATATATTTGCTAAAAGTAACATTGAAAAAAAAATTCTAGGTAAGGGATAAAAACATTAATAGTTTAAAAAAAATTCTAATATCAGCAATCGTAGTGTCTCTAAAGATAGTATAAATTTAAATATGTGTTTACACCTTACTTTTAGTCGAGAATGGTTACTAAAGTTTGGTTGGTTTTACTTGTTACTTATTGTACATTGTAGTTTAAACATAAAAAAAATATTAAATTTTATTATTGCCGATGGTAGGTAGATTAAAATTTAATAATTTTAAGTTATTATATTATACAACGTTAGTTTAGTTTAACATTTATTAGAAAGTTATTAATTTATAAATTATTAGTTAGTATTTTTTTGTAAAATGCGCTCAACTTATTAAATTGTATTGTATATTTACAATTAATATTCAATTTTGAATGCCCTTTGAGTTGATTTAGTTAAATTGACTATTACTTCGTTATCAAAAACCTGTTATATTTTACCTTTGTTGGTATGGGCGTTATAAACTTTGAATAAAGTCTAAATTTACTTGAACGTATATTAAAACTTAAGTATTCTTAATGGAAAATTATTAATCATTGGTCTAGTGTCTTTATCTTTTACTCCAATGACTAATATTTTTTTTAGATATTTATATTTTTTTAAAATATTTACATTTTATTTTAGAATCACGTACATTGTTATAAAATATCATACTATTATGTGAATGTTTTCAAAGTTTTTTTACGTCTCAATAATAACAAAACTTAAAAAAATTCGACAATTTATTTTTCAAATAAATATTTTTTTTTTGTAGAAAATTTGATTAGGTCGTGTGCAAAGTTATAACATAACATGTTTATTCTTGTAAGCTACTGTGTGAGTTATTTCCCGGAAGCGCACTTTAAAAATTACATCAGAAATATAGATAAGTAATATTGGTACAGGCGCGATAGGACTTTGTAGAAAGTGATATCTAATAACAATAATATGCAAATTTAATGTCTTTAGTTTTAAAAAGATTTCTTATTCAGTTTTTCCCACGATTGCCTTGGATTATTAAATCATAATCCTTTATTGTCTTACGGGTATTACTTTGGCATAGACTTAGAGTTTGTAACTAGAATATTTTGCACGTTGTCATTCAACAGTTCAAAAAAACCGCTATCATAATTACTGATATTACTTTTTATAATTATATTAGTTAGGTTTGGAGTAAATATCAACATTTATTACAAAAATTAAGAAGAATACCGTGTCTTGAAATAAAATATTTCTTTTCTGGAGATCAAGTAACTCCCGAACTTTTTAATTTTTTTTAACAGTTGTTTTCCCTTTAATCCTATATATTAACTATCTAATTCTAGTCTACTGATACTATAAATTCATATTAGGTTTTTGATAAGTAATAACTTATACTTATTTATAAAATTATTCAGTTGATAATAACTAATGAATGAATGATCAACTTAACACAAGTCAGTTTTGAATAAATGCTCTAGGAGTAAACGTTGTGGTTGAAGTTTTCAAATGTAAGCAGATTTTACAGCACTATTTTCCTATAATACCTAAGTAATTCAAGTATTTATAACTTAATAACTCGTTATCGAACATAATACTTTTAGATGACAACTTTAGACTGAAAAAAATATACAGGGTGGCCCACGAAGATTTGACAAATTAAATAACTTTTGTTCTAGTGAATATTTTTGAGATTTTTTTTTTTTAAATAATTTATACTCATTTGCGCTATAAGCACCGTGGTTTATAACGCGCGCTGATAAAAATAAATCTACACGGTTTACTCCAACTCCCGTCATCAGTCATCCTCACTTTCAAATGAGTATAACTTTTGAACGGATGAATAAAATTACAAATTTTTTTCGCCAATTTTTAAAAAAAATTATTTTGAACAAAAGGCCATCTTAAAAAAAAATAAAAATGTGTAATAAAAAAAATAAAAAAACTATTAAAAAAAGTAAAACAGGTAAGTGCAATAAACACCACGGTGCTTATAGCGCAAATGAGTATACATTATTTTAAAAAAAATCTCAAAAATATTCACTTGATCAAAAGTTATTTAATTTGTCAAATCTTCGTGGGCCACCCTGTATATATTGTAAAAGAACTTGCTAAGACACCTTTTAAATTTGAATACAGTAAGAATAGTTGTGAAAATAAAGTTCAAACATATTTTCTTTAGGCTTTACTCAGGAGTGAGTTACCGGCGGCACATTGATAGTGTGTCTAATCCAATGTAAGTGTAAGTATACAATTGTTGTACTTACATTCATCTCGACTGTTTTGGCGGCTGAGTGCAGTGCTGCTTGTTGACGATACGACGATACTGTAAGTCTGCAAACACTATGTGGTAGACGGACTGACGAGGTGTGAATGATGCCGTCTAGGGATGCGCCGGCTGTCTTTATAGTGGCGAGACGACGGAGATCACTACACGACTTTTACCCGTTAACGGGGTAAGAGGGAGCATAAAACACGAATATGACGATCTGGACGATGATGTGCGATGACGACGATGCTGATGATGATGATGATGACGACGATGATGATAATAATTGTGACTCGTGAAGGTGTTTCATATTATTATTGTTGTGTTTTTTTTTCGGGGAGTACCCGATCAGGGGGGCCGGCGGCTCACTCAATGAGAACGTACCTAAAAAGAGGATCCGCGGCGTTGTGGGGCGCGCCTAATAATAACGATCAAAAGCAAGGACTCCGGGACGATGGGAAATGATGACACGCCGTGGATCATCTTTCACTCGATCTCGCCGACAGCCCTGCGTGTACGCGGTACATGCACCGGTTGCGCAACGGCCACAATAATAATAATATAGCCGAGCACATGTATATTATGATAGATCTATTGAATGATAATAGGTAAGTATTGTACATATATATGTATATAATGTTGTGCGCGAGACGGCGTTTAACAAAAAACTCGGCTACCGCTCACTTGAGACCCGTGCATTGTGTTTACATTAATAATAGACGGCTGATCTAGTTTTAATGCTTCTTCAATAACGCATTACGTTATTAATTTCGTGTTACACTACCGAAACTAGCGCGCCGAAACCAATACGACGAGAATTATTACATTTTTCGCCGCACGTTTTTTTTTCCACAACTCTTCTCCGGTCGTTTTTTTCGAAACACTTTTATTGCAGTATATACGTGTAATGTGTGCACCTATAATAATAATAATATGTGAGATGGCATCTACGGTCGTGTCCATTAGTACGTCTAAACGGCCGCAGTGACAGTTTCGAATTTCAAAATCCATAATATACGCTATGGTATTGTATGTTGTACGATTATTTTACAATTAACTATAGAGATTGTCTCTATACTCTCCTACTTGACAAAAAATACCGTATAAATGTATACTTAGGGTGGCCTTTATATTACTTTTTTTTTGTTTGCGAAATTTTCCGTCGGACAAAATGTTGAATACTGAATCGGTTCAAAATAATGAAAAAATATTTTCCTAATTTGTTCATATTTATATTTCATTCCCTTAGTGCCTCATACCGTTTGCGCGTCAAATTTATAGCTACTTAGAAAAATATGCAATTTTACACAAGTTCCAAATTAAACTTAGGTACTAAACTGATGCAAAACCAAACACAAAGACATGTCAAATATTCAATATTAGATTAGTGTGTGATTTTTTAAAAAATATTCGACAAAAATGGTATTTTCTTTGCTAAGAATTATCCTAGTAGTACACTCAATTAAAAACTCGTGTAAATTTGTACATTTTCCTATTATTAATAAAACTTAATATGCAAACAATGAGGGGATGATTGGAGCCGAATGACGGCTATTATATAGCCATGTCTCGTGACTACCCTATTATATCATATAAAAAGTTACTTAAAACATTAGCTATTAGCTGTAATAATTTTTGGTCGTTTAAAAATGACAAAAAATAAGTGAATAAATTTAAACATATTTAAAAAGATTGGTATTTGCGCCGAATTTGTTGTGCTTAACAGAGCACTAGATTTGTTATTTAGTTATCATTGTGACAACCTGCATGCCTTTAATGTCAATAGGTAACTATATTAAATATGTAATTTAATTATGCGCGTATTTAAAAGTTCATCTCAAACAATTTATATTATACTAGTAATAGGAATCCGAAAGTCCGGATTTAAAAAAAAAAGAAAAAGCTATTTAAGCCACTTAAAAATCTTAAATATTATTACAGTATAAAACTGTGTTTTTCCTTTTCTTTACGACTTCAGTCGTTTGATTGGTTTGCTGAAGATCTCCATGCGTCCCTATCGTACTCAGTTCTTTTAACTCCTTGTAGTTATTCTTTCCCATGTGACATGTCTATCATAATTTGCTTCATGTACTCCATCCTTGGTCTTCCTCTTCCGATATGACCTTCAACGTCGCCTTCTATGGCGCTTTTCGATAGGCTATCATGGCGTAGTAGATGTCCTATCATTTTGTCTCTTCTAACTTTTATGGTACAACTAACAGTATCCCTAAACGTGTCCTCCCATAAACAAATCAATTTCCGATCAGGCACACGACCTACAGGCGCGATGTTGAAATGCTTTCTGAAGTTGAGTTGTGATGACCGAACGGCCGAAGGAAAAGTAGGCCTCCATGGCGAACGCGCGCTCCTCCTTTGTCCACTGCATTGTTGACATTGAACTAATCATAAAAAAAAACTTTAGATACCGAGCTTTCGAACGCGCCATATACCAACACTCTAGGAGTAATGGTCACTTTGTGGCGCGAGTTTCAAATAAGGAAGTAACCGCGCCCCACCCTGTATATAAATCATATTGATAGTAAAAAGTATTTCAAATACTTTTAAATACTAACAAAATGTTTAAAACTTATTTAGATTATTAATTTGATACTGCGTTTTGGTACAGAATGTCTCGCGATGGTGTACACACTCAAATATATATTAGGGCAATGGAGATTCGATTAGTTATTATATTATTTTGAACAGATTATTACAATATTTTGCTTTTCTTATTTAATTAATTATATTATGGCTTACAAGTATTAAAAATCTCGAAAAAAATATAAATACCTACAAAAAAATAAAAATATTAGTTTTTATTGAAAATCTGCAAACTGGACCGTCTTTAAGCTTCCCAATATTATTTAAAATATTGATCAAAAATTAAGATAAACATTTTCAGAATAAGGTTTCTGAAGATGTTGACTTGTAGTCGTAAACAAGTTTAGTAAAATTATTAATTACTTTTAGAGTCATTAATGTTTTAAATAGTAGGCAAAGTAAGAGATGAAGCGAAGCATATTATTTTTAATAACACAATTAACCTTACAGTGACACTTACAAGATTAAATAATTTAAAAAAAAACTACTTTAAAAAGTATTCGATATTGATAACAGTATTTTAATATTACTACACTAATTATGTGCATACATAATAATGACTAATGTAGTATTGTACGTTTAAAGGTGCCTGTGATTAATATTTGTAGTGTAGGTAACTGACAATCGTACAAAGAAAGATAATAATATAATATAACTTAATTTTAGCGAACTTGAAACTGCTAGTATACCTGTTTGTCAAACATTACAATATAAGAAGGAATTAAATGTAAAATTACTATAGCTAAAATTGTAAATAAAATTGATGTATACAGTATACGGTATATCGCATCTACAGAGAATAAATATATAAACCATTCTAAAATAAAATAAAACAGAAAACTCTTTTCATTTTTATTTTTTGATCTTACAAAATACCTTTTGGGCACGATTTCAGATCTTATAAACTTGCTATAATACCTATTTATAAATCGGTTCAATGGCTTAAAACGTATCATAGGTCAAGACACAGAAATTAAATTAAATAATATTTGAAAAACAATATTTTTTAGGCTTTGCATCGAAGCTAAAAGATATTATCACAAAAAACTGACTTACAAAATATATTTATTTGACTGATCGTAAACATATATGACTGGATTGAAAGAATGCCTCATATTAATTGGTTATCAGAATTTTGACATTGGAAATGTTTTTACGGTGTCGTTTCATTAAAAAATGCAACCACACTAAAATTTCGAAAACTGGTGATAATATTTTCAAAAAACATGTATTTTTGGAAAAGAGGATTTTAACGTTAAAAAACAACTAGGGTCACAGGACTGGATACGTTGAATTTATTTGCTTTTGCCTAGATAATGTAAAAAAATTAATTAGCATAGGCATCTATTATAAGCAATATCTCAACCATACCAATGAATTTTTCTTCAAAAAATGCACAATGAAGCTCCTGCAACCTTTACTCCTATTTCCAAATTCCAAGAGTAATTGTCCCTTTCCATTTATTGTTGGTCTTAGTAAAAATATAATTGTGTTTAATCTTAAGGACTCGGTGTACATTTATGCATAAACGATGTTCAAACTAAATTAATGAGAAAGTAACTGCACGCTGTAAACTGCAAACATGTTTGTGTAGGTGACTAGGTGTACTTAATATTCTTTCAATTTACTCGTAGAATGTAGGCGATATTAAAACTATTTATTATAATTACCTGATTATATTATTAACAATTTTATTATTGACGACATCGAAAAATACAGGGTGTTTTTTTTATCATGAACCACTCAATATCTCATAGTGTTTAATAGAAAATTTAATTTTTTTTTTCATATTATTTTTATACAATGTGATCTCAATTTTTCACTATTTGTTTTTGTTTTTACTTAGTTTTTATGATAGCAACTTTTGAAACTGAAATAGTAACGCTTAGATTTCATTAAATTTGTAAATTGAAAATAATGTACTAAAAATTTAGACTGGTTGATAACTAGTTTTGGACAACTATTTTTAAAGGTATAAGAGTTTAAAAGTTAGGATAGGAGGCTAAGTGCGGTTGGGAAGTGCGCGCAGATAAAAATAATACTACAATCCACCTTTCCTCCTGCCCTAAACTTGAAACTTTAACAACTTCAAAAATAGTTATCCAAAACTGGTTATTGACCAGTCAACATTTTTAGTAAATTATTCTCAATTGAAAAAGTTAATGAAATGTATGCATACCATTTCAAAAGTTGCTATAAAAAAAACTAGGTTTGGAAGGGGGAAAACTAAAACAAAATTGTGAAAAATTGAGATCACATTATATATAAAAAAAAAAATTGAGTTCAATTTCTTATTAAACCTTATGACATATTGAGTGGGCCATGATAAAAAAATCACCTTGTATACCTATTTAAACAAAGTTAGTTAGGTTAACTTATAATATAATTCGCATTATTTTCTGCGTAGTTGCAAATCGCACTGTTACACCAACTTTCACAAACATTTCAAGTTAAGATCATCACTTTTGTGCACACAGTATAAAGCTATTTGCTGACCTAATAGATATACATTTAAAGAAATCAAATCAAAATGTATAGCTGTTGAGGAGGCCGGCATACCTCATTAGGTATGCCATTGCAGTACTTTAGAAAGAGACAGTTGTCTCGATATGACATTAGAATAGTATAATACATACAGCAAGTATTTCACGCTCAAATGTAAACAGTTATATTTCTAACAAACCATCGTCAAGTTCATAAAACAATATTAAATTCCAATATAACATTAACATTAATAGTAACCAGTAACGAGATAATTTTTTATTAATAACTCCCATTTAAAGTTATACAGGGCGATTTATTAAGGATAAGGCACTCATTTTCTCTACAAATAACACATTTTATTGTATTTTTACAATATCAGACAAGTAATGTTGAAATGTTTATATTTTTTATCATACATAATCATACTTAATTAAGTGTTTAAATTCAGAATAATTTGGTAACCTTTTTGACTGACAGATAATCAGTTTTTTTGGATATATACTTTTAAAGTTACTAAAGTAACTAAGTTACCCTTCCTACCATCCTACATTTTAAACAAATTATTCAAAGCTGAATTAAAAAAATGCAATAAAACATTTACATTACAAAAACTGATAGAGCTCTGGAAAGTACTAAAAGCGATAAATATTTAGTAATTTTATAATACTCTAAAATAACATAAACAAAAGCGTTTTCAATAAGAATAACTACAATGTTGCGATTATTTGTAGAAAAAACGAGTGGCTGATTCTTAATTAATCGCTCTGTAGACGCTAAGTGAAATGCGGTAAACTGAAGTGAGGGCAAAGATAGTACGTGCAAATAAAAAAAATTATAGTCCTCTACTCTCCTAGCTAAGACTCAAGTCACACCTAGTCTAATACTACACTAGTAACAACTAGTCATAATTATTAGCATTACATCATTACGTCTAGTAAGCAAATCAAATGCATATGTTATTATTAGACTTTTAAAAGTTTTTCTTAAAAATTATCCACTAAAACACTAAAAACATGTTGTGATAATTTAATACAATATAGATACTATTTAATAATTTTTTAGCTCAAATAAGTATTTTATAAAAAAAAAATGGTTGTAAAGTAAAATTGTGATCACTTCGATTGACTAAATATTTGTATTAAATAAGAAACGAGCTTTAATTAGAAGGAATGGTTAATGGTATTTAATATTTTTATCATGTATCATTATTTATGGAGTCGAAAAGAGCACAGTTATTCACATTATCTGTACATTGTCATAGCCTAAAAAAGCACACTCCAAGGTTATTAACAAATTATTCTCTTTTTTTCGATAGAATAATTTTCTAAAAATAGGCTATATTTCCATGCTCTTTCGGGTTATACAAAAATAAAATGGTACTCTTTTTGGTTGTTTTTTCATGTTCTTTTGGCATTATTCATTACCAATTCGTTCTTTTTTTGGGCTAAGATTTAAATATACTATCTATCCAAAAGGAAAAAATATTTTATAAAGGTGGTTAAATTGTACTCTTACGCTCCATTACAACATTATTATTTTTTGTAATAAAATGTATTATTAAGGAATTTTCATGGGCTAAGAAACTAGTAGGAAGGGAAGTTGGTATAGCTAAACAATTTAGACAAATTAATTATTACGTTCATCGTCAAAAACACATTTTTAATTTATAAATTAAAAAACTAGATGAATTATTTTTAAAACATTTGTTCTTTTAACTTTGAACGAAATAGGCCCATATCAAAACAAATTTTTTGACCTTCTTATTTTTTTTTGTGACTTAATTTTCAGTAAGTTATACACAAATAAAAAAGTACTATCCAAATTTTCATAAGTCCATATCTTCGGTTTGAGGTTAAAACTTCAGCTTTCTTCGAAGGGTACACAACATTTTAGAAAAGTCCTAGATACAATATGTAGTCAAATGGGGTACGTATTGACTTGGAATATCCCAATTATAAATATACAACATACTGTTATGAAGGGATTTTCAGCCCCTTCATAATTGTTTTTTACTTGCACTACCAAATTTTATAATGGAAAAACTACAAAAAAGCAATGGCATCCACATATAAATGTCGCCCACTTAAATTAAATCAACGGTAAGGTATTTTATGTACCGTATTTTACAGCTTTGCATTGATACAATTTTTTATGAACTTATAAAGGTTTTATTTTTAAATTAATAATAATTATCAATTAAAAAAAAAAACTTTTTGCTATAACTTATAAGATATACAATAAATATTATTGTATATCTTATAATCATTATAACAGTTAACACTTAACCCTATTAAATATAGTATTGAGGTACCGTAGTTTCAATTTATGTAAATGCTGCTCAATATGCAATGGGTAGTTTTTTTTTTCTGTAAAATGAGTTGACATGAAATTGTGTTCGTTTACATAGAATTTATTAAAACATTTATAAAATGTTGTCTTACATAAAATAAATATTAATTTACAAATAATTTAAAAATAGAAATTTTCGATCCGTTTGCTTAATAGCCATTTCCACTTGAACCAGACGGTCCGGAGTTACCTCCATTCGAACCTCTTCCGCTTCCACCATATTGTCTAGCTCCAGCGCTTGCGCCACTGGCGTCACTTCCATACTGTCCGCCTCCAGAAGAACCGCCATATGAACCTGAGTTACCTCCATTTGGACCGCCAAATGAATTTCCGCCGGATTGATTGCCGTATGACTCTGATCCTCCGCCAGATTGGTTGTCGTAGGCCCCAGCTCCAGTTCCACCACGGTTTTGATTTCCAAAGGAAGAACCACCATTGCGCGAGCCGAAACCGTTAGGTCCATCGGATTGGCCTCGTCCACCTCGTCCAGAGCTACCAAAGTAGCTGTTAAAACTCACTTTAGCAGCAGGTGGAGCATTTTGATTGGGATTTGTACTTGCACCATTGGGTCCTCCAAAACCTCCACCACCAGAATTACCTCCAAATCCACCATTACCCCCTTGACCATAGTTACCTCCAGATCCACCATTACCCCCTTGACCATAGTTACCTCCAGATCCACTATTTCCCCCTTGGCCATAGTTTCCACCATTTCCACTGTCGTGCCTTTCAAAACCTCCACTACCGGCGTTACCTCCGAATCCACCATTACCTCCTTGACCATAGTTACCCCCCAATCCACTATTACCTCCTTGACCACCACTTCCACTGCCATATCCTCCGCTACCTCCATTACCACTGTGTTGTGCTCCAACACCTCCGGAGCCGCCAGCGTTTTCACTGCCATATCCTCCGGCTCCACCGGCTCCACCAAAACTACTACCACCATTGCCATAACCTCCACTGCCTCCAAGACCGTTTCTATTGCCACCGTAACCACTATTTCCTCCAAGCCCATTACTTCCACTGTTGTACCCCGCACTACCTCCGTTACCCCCTGCACCGTTCCTGTTGTTGCCATAACCTCCATTTCCACCTAAACCGTTGCCCCCACTGCTGTGCCCTGCACTTCCTCCATTACTCGCACCACCGTTTCTACCGCCATAACCTCCACCACTGGCACCTTGACCAAATCCTCCACTGTTTCCTCCGTATCCTCCACTGCCGCCACCTATTTCACTTCCAAAATTTCCACCGACATTGTTATCGTCGGGACCACAGCCAGAGGAGCCTGATATGCCACCGTCTTGACTTCCCGGACCTCGGCTGTTACCATATCCATTTTGTCCGCCCAGTCCTTGGCCTTGTAATCCGTTAGCTCCATTAGATCCTGGTTGCTTTCCAGACGCACCATATTTATTCGATCCCGAGGACGAGTAACCGTCTTGACCTCCTGGTTGTCCGTACTGCTGACATATGCAAAACCGCATCAAGGTAACCACAATAAGTAATTTCTGTAAAAAAAAAAAATAGTGTTCTGATTAAGTATAACAATTAAGTAATGAGGGATATTCAGTTATACCCGTATCACGATACCTACGAATACGACTTGTAAATTGAACAATCCGGTTAAACAATTTTAAGAAAAAAAAAACCGAGAATATTGATTATGTACCAATCACTTGCATTTGAATATATTGTTCATATTATTTTGTCTGTACGACTATAGCCATTACCTAAAGGTGTATTGTATTCTTCAGCTTACATCGTATATGTTACACAAATAAAAACGTTTAGGAAAAAATGAATGCGGGGGCCTTATGAATGCAAATATATATTATTGCGAATGAAAGTACTGGGTTACGCTTACCTACGTGTAGTGGAATCGTGTGGCCAGTGGCTGACATGTTAACTGTACGGTTGGGCAATACGCAACAAATATATTCGAAATAATAAATACATTTAAACAAAAATGCCTGAATAGTAAATCATATTTAGCAAAGTTATATTTTTAACTTAGATGCTAAGCAGAAAAATATTATACTTTACATACAGTGTAATTAAAAAAAAATTAAATTAGCACTTCTCAATATTATGTAGTACGCCGTGTATGATACGTTTTTTAATGCTGTCAGTTGAGCATATTGCAATTACTATTAAAGAAAACAACTCTAGTTAACTGGATAATCATAGTCTATATAATTGTTATTCATTTTTATATAACAATTACTATGTCTACCGGTCTACCTATACAAAATCGTGATTAAGGTTTAATTAAACCGTCGAGACGTCGAGTAATAATTAGCGTTTAGTTATTCAATTAAAGTGTAGTAAAATTATGCAATAAAAACTCATACAAGTTAATCGTAAAGGAAACATGTAATTATCAAATAACCTAAATAGGTAATTATACCTACAAAATGTTTAACGACTAACGTACTAAACTAATAGAAAGGGTTGAAAATAAATACGATTAAAACATTTTCAATACAAAATTATAAATCTTACCGATGGTTCATTACAATAATAGATAGTTTTAATAATTACATTAATTACAACAAGAGAAAATGTTTGGTGATAATTAATATGACTAAACGGTATTTTTAACAATCAATTACGATTAATAAAATAATATTATTTTAAAAATAAGTACGTTACAAATAACACAGTTAAATGTGTCGTGTTACTTCTAGAAAATATTAAATAAGAAAGCTGACTAGTTTTGAATGAAACAGAAAGGTTTGTAAAGTTAAACCTATACGTAAGGAATAAACAAGCCGCAATAGATTTAGAATATTCAGCAAGTGTGAGAAAAAAAAACTGATTAATGAAAGGCGATTAAATAAAGTGGTGCTATTGTCGGTAAAAGGTACTTATGACATGTAGATGTATAAAGTTTAATGGCTGGCTAACATGAATAGACGGATCAGTCCGAATGAAATTAAAGTAGATACTTATTAAAATTAATTATTACTCTGTACTTTTTCAGTTATACATGTTATCATAAAGATTTTGTTTTATGCGCCAATACCAAACATTAATAAAAAAAAATTGCTTTAATCAGGATTTATTTTTTTTAGTTAAAACAATAAAGCATATATGCACAATGCATTATAATTTTCGAAATTTATTTTTAATTTATCATTTTTTCAAACTTTTTATTTATAAAATATGTCATTTGTAAGAAATTTAATTATGCAATTTTTCTTTTTTGCGTATTTTCAGCTAAATCTGGGGTTTTTTTTTGTAAAATAGTCCGGCGTTTGTATATAATAAGTTGAATTTTCTTTTTTTATAAATATAGTTAGTTTTAAATTTATGATTTAGTAGTATTTTTTAAACAAAAACAAAAATTTATACATTTTGTACGATTTTTTTTGTGGAATCCGAATTCAACAGATGAATGTATTATCACCATTAAAGTTGTATCTAACCAAATTACAAAACAAAATAAAATTTTTCTAGATTTTGTCGTTCTTTTGCGTTTCAAAAAAAATTATATTAATAATAAAAGCTGTACATTCATTTTGAGACAAAATTTAGATTTTGAATTCAGCTTAAAAAAACATATGTATAGAATTTAAAAGATTTTAGATTTAAAAGACACGCTAGAGAAAATATGTGGCCCAATTGAGAGCAGAATTGAGTGCCGATATAATCGATAATATTTCGTTCAACTTAATTTATTGTGAATCTTTAACTTGCATATAGCCTAGTCATAAATTGTAATTTATAAACTGTGAAGTTTTTATTTTTGTTTTCAAAATTTCCTTTAAAATAGTTTTTTTTTAATTATTACACTAGTATTTAATATAACACATATAGCTTATTTTACCTATCTGTGTATTTGGTTGTATGAAATTAATATTTACATATTTTACATATCTACTATTATCATTTAAATTTCTAATGGCAACCTACACAGTTAATATTATTGATAATTTTATAATTTTTTTCAATGTATTTTATTCATCAATAACATAAAACATTTATCTACTTATTACATGATGCCACAGTAATTCTGAACTTTCAAATGATCTTGTGCTGGTTGTAGATCTAGTTGATGAGACCAACATGAAACCGTGTTTGAAAATTTATTTATACCCTTATTTTTGTTACACCTGACACCAGTATTCACAAGACTGACGGGTGTTGACAATAAATTGAAAATTTGAGGGTGTAAAAAAATGTTCAAACGTGGTTTCATGTTGAACTCGACCCAGACACTAGGTTACTTAGTAGCTCATATTAGTGAAGTATTATTATAGAACATCAGCGGTTTTGGAACGTTAAAACTTTAAAAAGCCGTCTTACCTTTGCCATCGTGGAGATTTGCGTCCACGTTCTGTTGGGTTGAAAACGTCCAAGGAACGGTTTATTGTGAAACAAAAACAAAAATCAGTCCGACAGTTGAAAGCACAAATCGTAAACTGGCCGTGTTCAGTGCATAGACGACTGGCGTTATATACTTGCCGACAAACGCGGAATATCCGGATAAAGTGGCCGAAGACCGGAGGTCTGACCTTCTTTCCTGCCGAAAAATGATATCATTCAACCTTTCGCATCTCCGAGGGTATACCTCTCGACCACCGACGCACACAATAGCTATACATACACACACACACACACACGATGATAATAATATGCCACTGCTGCAGTCGTCACAAACGATAGTTACATCATACTCGGAGCATAGTGCAACGGTGGCCTGTCATTCATTCAAATGTACCTATTTTTTTTTCCAACACCGGTCCGGCAGCGCAGGTATACATTGTGCACCCGAAATGGTTCGACTTGTAAAAAAAAAAAAAAAAAGCGGTAAAGAGGACCTTGGGACGTTTGAACAAGTCGCGACCACAATAAAAGAGCAATTTCGAGGACTTTCTATGTGTATAGCAGCAGCTGTCACTTGTCGTGCCCGGCCAGCCTTCAACGCGCTTGAGGATGATCAATAACGATTCGAGTGGCTTTTATACGCTGTTACACGCGCTGTTTGTTCAAAGTCGAACGAATATTATAATAATTATATTATATTATTATTATTATTATGTAGGTACAATAAATATCATGGCGTCGCGGCAACTTTAGAAAGCGGAAGAGCCCTCAGTGCCATAAGAATAACTGTCGTGGACGGAGACGTGTTAAGGATTTTCGCGGCCGGCATAGCGTATTATTATAATTATTATTGTTATCATTGTCGACGTGTTTCCTCCCTTGCCATCGCGAGGGTCAACACGTCATTGTGCTTTAGAACATACAATTTTTGAGAGTCTACACAACAACAGAAACCACTTTGACTTATCTGAATGATTACAATCATTTCTATTGTCTTTCTCATTCAAAATAATTTATCCCGTGTTTTTCGTGCGACGACAGTTCTTCGGGTTTTGTCTAGGCATTTTCTCTGCGTTCACCCGTGTTCTAAAAACAAAGGTCGTCAACGGCCCTAAACACGGCGTGTCACCCACCCATCATGGACGGTCCAAAGGCGATATTATTCGGACTTTTGACGTTGCAAATGTATTCGGTGGCTGATGTGATCGTGTCGCTCGTTAAGAACAGTTGGCCCATAACCGACGAAGACTTGACGACCAGACTGCAAACGTTAATCGCCAACGTGTCAAGCTTGGCCAGTTTGTACCTAACCGCGCTACAGGTGAGTCGACTGAGACAGGTCCGGCACACCATGTGTCCCGCGGCGGCCGACGGCATTCCGGGCGCGCAGGGACAGCAAAGCGTAGACTGTCACAGATACACGTGGGTCATCGTTACGATCATCGGGTACACGTACCTTAAGTGGGCACAGGTGTCGGATCAAGTGGACGGCGGTTGGTACAAGGTGACCGCGGCGGTGTTGACGCGGACCATAGCAGTGACCGTCAATTGCTACGTGATCAATTTGTTTATCGACCATGTGGTATTGGCAAAGAGGTCAGTCTAAAGCTGTGGATCGAGAAAACTCGAAAATTACTGAAAACCCCCGACGCTCGTTGAGTCATCAAAGGAAATTTATAGGGAGAATTTCGGGGTTTTAAAAACCTTAGAACTTAAGCTCGGCGCTGTTAAAAATTTCTACATTTTTTATTTTATTTTTTAACAATATATTTATTAAATACGACCAGTTAAACGATCCCAATTAAAGTTAACAGAGTTTTGAGTATACTTAAATAGCCCCCTCCCCCTTAGATTTCCAACAATACCATTCAACTAAACCGTTACACGGAAATCATCAAAATGTTTAATCTTGTAAGAAGCTTGTAAATTTTTAAAAATGTAGATAATTTCATGATAAAACTTTATTTTCGGTAAAATGTTTATAAAGAAAAGAAATCCACGATGACTTAATATTCGTTTCTAAATCATACACCGTAGCTGTTTAGCCTTTATTGTACAAAAACATGGTTCGAGAGATGTCCCATTCTAAGGAACTAAGCAGTTTTAGCGTATAACTACATCCATACAAAATTCTATTTTGACTAGAATGAGTTTTGAAAAAGTTATTAAAAATTAGGTTATAAGACATTTAATTTTAATTTTTACAAAGTCTCAAACTTAAGCCGACATTTCTTTAAAAAAAATAACCTTATCAAAATGTAGACAACGTTTTGGTCTTTTATTTTGTTTAAATGTATTTTTATGCTAAAACGGATCAGACTCTTCAGAGATGCGCTTTCTCAAAGCTAAGATTTTTTCGGGCCTGTACCAAATCTTTTAATAAGTTGGACTTGTAGAGTCCATAAGACATCCAGAGTTATTCAATATTAGTAAAAAATCTATAAACAACCAAAATATTTGAATATTGTATTATAATGATTTATTCGAGTCGGGTTTTCTCGAGTTCCTTGAATTTTCGAAAATACTTGATATGGGTGTTGATTTACATTTTTTTACCGTAAACTTTTAAAATCGTGCCCTCCAACTTATGTAGTTCCTTGTTAGGTTGTGATAATTAAAAACTATTTCATAGGCTCTGTCGCTATACAATCCTGGCAAATTATTTGCGGATTTTTTTAGGTGTTCTACTACCAAACTTATTACAGGTAAATTATACAAAACATGTAGTTCTGCAAACGTGGTGAACACAAGCCTTTTGGCCACGTGCTCTTCTGGTAGAACCCCTGGGCCCTTTGTATTTTGGTATATCGCCAAGATCGGAGAGCACTACCGCTGCTCAAAGACTTTTTTTTTTAATATTGATAAAAACTGCCACAAAAAAGTTGAATGGGTATTATTACGATTTTACCTGTCCCAGCTGATCTATTGCTGCTTTTGGTTAAAGGTTATTGAAAGCACTGAACACTCGGGTCGAGAATTTGTACGGTTTGACGGCCCCGTACGTTTACGTGGGAAACGACATTTCCACCATACGATCAGCCTACATTGATATCCGCGACGCTTGCATAATGATCATGCAAGTGTTTCAGACTCAGCTGTTTTTGAACATTGCCGGCAACATGTACGGGATAACTTTTATGATGCTCACGGCATTCAACCAACTGATGTCTGATAAAATTGATTCGTTTTATATCACATTGTCCTGTCTGTACGAGTCGATAGTGCGGGCGTTTCAATTGTACTTTATGGTGAACGCGTGTTACACAACTGCTGAACAGGTAAATATACGAGTTAACCCAAAAACGATACCACATGTTTGGTACAAACCTTGTAAACCTTGTTTGGATACATAACATAATATCGATGGTGACACGACAAAAGGGTCTAAGCGACATATTTCATAGCTTTCAGGATAGCCACTAAACGTTTTTTTGTGATTTTACTAAAACGCTAAAAAATTGTTTACAATATTTTCTGTTCTCTATTAAATTAAAAAAAAAAATACAATATTTAACTGTTCTAACCAATAGTAATAAGCCTTGTCGCTTAGACCCTTTTGCCGTGTCACCATCGATATTTGATTGAAACAATTTTCAATTGTATTAGCACTTAGCAGTGGGGTTTTCTACGAATTCGCCCACGAGCAGAACCCATTGCTCGGATGAAAATCGTTTTTGTTAAAAATAAATTAAAATAATTGTTATTATCAATTTAACGTAAGGCACTCATTTCCTTGGAAAATAATAATTGCAGTTTTACTTTTTATTTATGTTATTTTAAATATACATATTTTTAAATCACTAAATGTTAATCTTTTTCTGGTATTTTCCAGAGCCCTATCGACTTTTGAAACTTAAATGGTAACGTATATTATATTTAATTTAACGTATTTTTTTAAATTAAGAATAATTTGCTGAAAATGTTGACTGGTCGTTAACCGATTTTGAATAATTACTTTTAAAGTTTAAAATGTATGACGGAGTGTAGTATTATTTTTATCTGCGCGCATTACTATATCGCGTAGGTAATTATCCAAAACTGGTTATAGACTAGTCAAAATTTCGAGCAAATTATTCTCAAAAATTAAAAAATTCAATTAAAAGTATACATCACCATTTAAGATTTATAATTTGATAGTGTTCTGGAAAATAATTTAATAAATACAAATTTGAATATTGTAAAATAACATATTAAACTAGTGTCTCCAAAAATAAATATTGCAAAATTATTTTAATAAAAAATATCAGATATTTCTATACAGCAATCTGTATATATGTAATAATAATTGTAAGTGGATTAAAATGGATCATAATATTTTGTGGTTTTTGGTTATCAATTTTTCAGGCAAATCAAATTTCCATAACGCTTCAACAAAAAGTTAATGAATTTTATCTATCGAGTTATGCTAGAAAAAAAGTAAGTATACATATTACACCAAGAAGCATAAGCGCGTCCAAGAGGGAGGCTATAATCCCCCCCCCCCCAAACTGGTGCTTGCACTTAAAATTTGCCGCCGTTTTTGTACTCACTTAGGCACAATATGGTGATGATTTGACTTTTTTTTTGATAATTTGTTAGAAGAAGTTTCCTGAAAAACTATTTAACTTTGAACTTTCATCCTTTTGTGCATTTTTATCATTTTCATGAGTTTATTTTTCTTAAAAAATCCTTTAACAAAACTTTTTTTTCTCTATTAAAGGTATAGCGACAATTTTTTATCGTATTGCCGAGACGTGTCGATAAATATTGATTATTAAAATTGATAAATATCGATTTTGGAATACTATAAAAAAAACGTCATGCGATTACGACAATTCTAGTGCCCCACCGAAAAAAATCCTGAGGCACCCCTTATAAAATAAATTATATCCAAAAACCAGTAGTGTGATCAGGTTTTAAGGTGTTTGCGGTTATACTACAAATACTAAGTCAAAGACCATCTTTTGAAACCAATTTTTTTTTTGTATTTTAACGGATCACAATTTTACCAATAACTATAGTATAATATTATAAAACTCTCTAGGTCACAGTTATTTGCTTACGTGTGTTATTTTTTTCAGGTACAGTTATTTATTTTGGAGATGTTAGACCTTAAAACGGAATTTATCATTTACGGGTTTATACGCATTGACTTTGAAAAATTCGTCTCGGTAAGTGTACCGAAAAATGTACACAGTTTGTTATTTATTCGAGTCAATTATTAAATTACAGCTTATGGGTTCTATTTCCACCTATCTCTTGATTCTCGTACAATTTAGATCTTCGCCCGACAGTATGGTAAAGCTTAATGAAACTACTACGACCACGGAGAGCAACAACTGAAACTTGTCAAACACCAACTCGATGACAATATAATCGATTCGAACGGGAAAATACACAATACCTACTTCGTTTGGTTTTGACTTAAACCACTTGAGAATATCGAATGTGAAAAAATAATACATTTATAATTTATAGATTTATACCATTAAAAAAAAACTCAACTCAATTATTTAATTTAGTTACCCATCACTTATAAACAACTAAATTACTGGCCATACATACACTGCTTATAACGGCTAATGGATTAGGCAATTTATACTCACACAAGCATACTTGCAAACATATCCGTGCAGCGCACTGTGTAGGTGTTATATAAAATAACAAAATATTACACAGATTAACGATATAACAATTTATTACACTTGCACTAACCTAACCTATACCATTGAGTATATATCATAATAAATTTCAATATATTCCTATTCAATACGAATACCCACTAATTTACTTAATGTGATTTTCCATGATATATTTAATATAAAAATCAAACAAACAATCTAAAAGTCGATATTATAGTGATTAACTTAAAAGTACAACACACTATAACTTTTTGAAAAATACATTATTGATTATTTTTCTCTAGACCGTATGCAAATATAGACACAAAACGTCTTTAAAAAAGGAAAAAAATTATTAAAAAAACCCTTTAAGAAGTAGCTACCGGGAGAATCTACTTTAACGTTTTAACAGTCAATTCCTTTCCACAAACGAGCATTTATGTAGCTATTACTTTGTTTTGAGTATTTGCCTAGTTCTTGTTTTCTTAATATTTAGTTGTTGTTCATAGTTTGCTAATAAGGTAAATATTAGGTGTACAATTTCAAATTTGTTGATAGTCGCTATGTTTTTAAGACATATATTATAGTATTTATTATATTTACGGTTAACCTATTATACGACAAGCAATATTATGAACAAATACAATTTTAAAATATATTATTAATTAATTTTGATTTTTGTAATGTATTACTGAAATATATTTTATAGTTTTAGTCTGAGTCTGCAGTATCTGTATAGAAGTTAAAAAGTTTTGAAACTGCCACAACAGGTTGGGTACTGATCTGTATGTATTACACATTATATTTTACTGTCACGAACTTGTAACCATTTTTAATTTGATTATTTTAATATTACAACGATTAACGCTGACACATAATCAAGTGGTAGACCAAACGATTACTATTTCTGCCCACGCAGAAATGTATTATACACTATAGTAGATAATAGTATACATTTAAAGTTATTATTGCTGTGGCCTGTGTCCTATATAATAATATAATAAATAATAATTATACATAGTATACTAGAAATAATTATGTTTTTGTCGTGTATGTTCTAATATCAAGTGATTGTCCAACTATGTACGGCCGAGTCAATTTCTCCTTCAAATATCAATTATTAATTATATATATATACCTAACTACTACTATATTATGTTGTCTACCTATTACAAATTTTAACCTTTATTTTTGAGAAAATTATAAACACAGTATTACCTTTCATTATAGCAATTTTGGCTACTGTACATGAACCGATAACAAATTTAGATTAATTAACTCGCTTTTGTTCCAAAAACAATAATCTCACCTCACTATAACTTTTTTTATACTGGCAGTATTCATTTACTCGTATTTTACGATTTCATCAAGCGCAACGCAAATGATGCACTTTTTATTTATAGAGTTATTTGCAAAAGCAAATTTTGTATTTATATCATAGCTACAGATAAATAGACCTTTTACGCTATTCACTTTTTTGGCAACCTAATTTTGAACGCGTGCCTACATTAATCATTCAAATGTATCCGTTTTGTTATCATAAAGGTTGCCTTCTTTCATAATTCATACGCCCGTGCCTGTGGACTATCCATGTATATGTTAATTTTTAATCAATGGTTTATCTATATAAATATGTTTAGCTTTTTCTCCAATTACAATATTTACAACAGCAAAAGTGCTTCAATTAAAATATTTATTATACAATAGTGGGAAATAATAAAAAATAAATATGTATGTACTAGGTTATTAGTTATATGAATATTCTGATTTCCGATAGTTGTTATCAGTCGAAAAACCTTGAACAAAGGTACATCGAACAGCTGATTTATATATGGCTTGATAACATTATGAAATAATAATATTAAATTTTTGTTTTGATTTTTATATCATTCAATTCAATTATTTTTAATCATTACTGGTTAATCAACGTTATTACTTATTATAATTTATAATTATTTGTGTTCTTTTAGTTTTAAATATTTATTTTCTAGTTTCTACACTTAGGTTCATAAAAACTGGATAACTTGGTTGTGGTTATTTATTTACTAAACAGTAATACACTTCCGCTACTTTCAAGTTTATTTTGCATTGGATTTGTGACTTATGGATTATCCAGTAAGTCGGGGAAGTATTTCTCGAACAACCATTTATAATGTACCAAAAAACAATCAGAAGTGGTATTGTGGTACAGAGCAGTGTCCCATGTGTCGACATTTCCAAAAAACCTTTCATTGCCAGAATTGTGTGAGCACTGGCGATTTTGGGCATTCCTTGATCGATAAGGGCAAGTGAGTGTTCTTCAAATATCCAAGTAAAATGTTATTGTGTCGTTTATTATAAAACTTTTGTAAACTGGAGTTACGATTTTTCAATAAATCCGTAGCATGCAAAAATTGCATTCAGTATACACCTGAATGAATTTAGCTACCAATCACACAAAATAAAATAAAAATATTAATTACCACTTGATGTTTTGCAGTTTAATTTAAAATGGCATTTTAATATGATGGAAATAAACATTTACATATTAAAAGTCGGTTGGAGAAGGGGAATTCAGTATAGAATAGCTGGTGGCAAGATAATGTTCCAATATAACGTTTAACCTTTTAGTCAGCATATTCCTTTTGACTTATGTATAATATTTTATTTATGATGTTTCATTTGCTTTCTATCGTAAAAATGTCATTGAAAAGTTAAATAATATAACACTACCATTTATGTTACCAACAATAAACCAAATATATATAATTTAAACTAAAAATAATTGAAACCCATATATTTAGCTATTATTTATTAATGATAAATGAAAGAGTCCATTTTTTCCATGAATTTGAATCCACTTAGTTAATATGAATAATTCTAATGGTATTTTAAATTAATACTTTACAGATTTTCAAAGAAACAATTAAAATATAATAGTATTGTCTACAGTTGCGAGTCATTAAAAACCGATTGTACTAGAATATACTCGAAAAAACATCATATTATATTAAAAGTATGTATAAAAAAGGTTAATAAAACCTTTACCGTTAAATAACATTTATTTTAATTAAACAATTTATGTAATAAATAAATTAATAACAATATAAATTATTACCTATCATAATTGATTTAGATTTTAATATTATTGCATTGGTTTTGTTATTTAGAAAAATGAAACTTCAATATTGCAAGAAAAAATAAGATTGCTTAAACTTTCAATATCGGACAAAAATAAAGCCATTGTCGACAGTAAGATTTAATTTTTGTTCCTATAATAAATTACTAATGAGTATCTTTTGTGTATTAATATTAAATAGGAGAGGAGAGAAACACAATTTCTTACTATTTCATAAAAAATGATTTTATAATTTTAATACCTATTTCAACAACTTTAAACTGCGACACCATTCATTATTGTTTATTAACCTTAGACCACTCGTCAATACGACGAAGACTGATAATTTTATACTGACTATTTTAAGCATTTTTGTCGTATGCTATTCTACCCCATCTATCTCTTGTTTATATTTTTGCATATATTTTATAATAAAATACAACGACCTACTGTTATCAGTTAGTCATTGACCTTTGACTGTGCAAAACCCACATCGTCGAATCGATAAATAATACATGTACATTATTACATACAAAATACATGCTGTTAGTTTATCTATAGGCTGCAGGTTAGTTATAAGGGGTGATTAAAATATTACAAAATATTATTGTACTTATATTTATTAACTTCGATGAGAAGGTAATGTATTTACAATGATATGTTTTTATTTTTTTTTTTATAATATTATATTTAATAATTATATTAAAGAAGAAAAACGATCACAGTCATTTTAACATATTTATTTACATATTATATTATTCGACAAAAGGTTAGCAATAAAAAGGTAAAATTAGGGTTAGTGTTCTAGGGTTAATAAATCATATTTTAGAATTTTGTATTACTTTACATTACCTTAAGTGTCAATTATAAATATATTATATATATATCATTAAATATAAATTTTATATTTTTTTCCTTAACACACATCAAATAATTAAAAATTACAATTTTCTGACATTTTTATTAAGTTTATATGTGGATAGTCTTTATAATTATTCACATTTAAAATTATATTTAATTTATAGAAAAAAGCTTACTGAAAAAACTAAAAGTAGAAATTGATAGCCAAAAATCAAGAGTCGATCGTTATGGCAGACGTGTGGTACGGCTAGAAGATTTTACCAAAAGCCAAGAAGTTATTTTGAATGAAAAAATAGACAAATTGCTTACTATTAGACCAGACTTAAAAAATGTTATACGTGCGCGTATCAAACAACTTGTGACTCATATATTCTATTTAAACGAAGTACAACCAATAGTTTCACAGTGAGTAAATAACATAAGATTGCAGCTATGTCCAACTAATAATATTTTGTGTGTTTATTATTTGAATTTATCAGAAATGAAGAATTGGGTAGTAACAACAGTTTGAGCAACGCCCTTGCCGAAGCTTCTCAGCTGACTTATGTGTGTGGTCAGTGGGTCGACACTTGTGAAGAATGGTCGAGGCAAACTGAACTTGCATACCAAATTGTTGCACCAACGTTGCCAGCAAACGGAGACTATTCTTCATATTACGAATGGGGTTCATAATATATATATATATTTAAAATAAATGTAGTTGTTAATTAAGATTATAGTTTCAAATAATAATTTTTTTTTCATTTGTTTGGATTTTGCAGTTTCAGATAAAAATAAAGATTATGCATTTAATCAAACTTTTGCCGAACCCAATCCGGCGTGTACAATTAGTGCTGCATTAACATATACCTCACAACTAGTAAAACAACTATCGTTTTTCCTTGATATATTTTTGCCCAGACGACAAAATATTAGGTATAAAATTTATTAATTTTTTTTAATTTTTAAATTTTTCTTAACCTTTTTTTTTTTAGCGAATTTTGTGGAAATGAATTAAACGAAATCAAATTTTCAAAATATGTCACCCATTTAAATGCTAATATTTTGTATTTATGTTTTTCACAAAATGTTAATCCAAATTTATTGCATCCTGATTATACATTAAAAAATTTACTTCAACTGCTCAACACAAATATTAGCGACTTAGGAAGGTAATACTAGATGTTCTTAGTCTTACTATGTATATTAATGAATATTAATTCTATCAAAGGCAATTAACATAAACAAATACAACTTTTAATAAATAATTTTTAATTGAAAAAAGTATAGTTCATTATCAAATTTTTTTTTTTAGAGTTGAACCAGCTAATATTGATAAAAAAATATGTAGTATACTTGAGGAAAAAATTGCTGTACAATTGTATTCGTTCAGTGGTGATTCTGATTCAGAAGACGATAACTATTATGAATGGGAAGCTGTGAGTATATACTTTGTTTAGAGGTGTCATACAGAAATTGTCTCGTGTCAATTGATCAATAAAATTTGAGACAATATTGATTGTTGTTCTAATTAAAAACTAACAATGTTTCATACGTGTACAAAATAACTAGTCTAATTACTACCTTTTAAAATGTGGTTTTTTATTTAAGTCATAAATGTTTGGATTTGAAGATAATTGATAGTCTGTAATAGCATTTAATCACCGAAATTTAAATTTCTTCATGGTTGTTATTTGTTTCATTTATCTCTACGCCTAGGTACTTGAAATTAAGAACTGTTTCAAGAAGTAGGAGATGTGAGTTCTCCATGATTTATTGCTGTTTAGTGATTACCATATGTTTGGTCTTTGTTTTATTTATTGTAGTCCAATGTTTTTTAACATTTTTATTAGTTGTTCAGTACTAATTTTTACTTTCTGGCTATTTGATCCTAAAATTATGGTGTTATCATCATAGTCACAAGTATTCAGCTAATTCCACTAAAATTAATTTAAATGTTAAATCAAAATGTTTTATTAAAATAAATTACCTTAAAATTGCAGTATTTAGTCAATTTAAAACAATCGCTCAAGGTAATGGTTTTTAAAATGTTGTTATTCTCAAATAATAAGTTTAAGATAAAAGTTCAATTTAAAATCATGAATAAATTGTATTATTACAATATGATTAAAATCGTTAAGCATAAAACTAACTTAGTTTTTAACTTCAATGAATGTTTATTTCAGAAACCCCTCAAGTAGTACATAGGGGTTTTCTTGGTGTTTAGGTTTCTGAAATAAGCAATTTAAATAAATATTTTGCCTAGCGCTGTTTTGAGAAGCCTGATAATTGTATATTTATATTTCATAAGTATTAATAAACTAAAATTTTTTGTTTTTTAAGGTTCCTAATGTTGAATACCCGGCTGATCACAATCAAATATCGTTGCAGTCAACCAGCAGTGTGGTCAGAGCAGGCCTCGTAGCCAGTACGGCGGCAAGTTTAGCCTCAATGTGGCGTGGATGGACAACCAATAGATAATTTTGACTTCAGTATATAAATATTACATAAAATGGCGTATACTTACAAATTTTCTTTAATCCATTTTTTAAAAGAATTATATTTGCACAAACTTAGTTTGATTCATAAGTTTTATTTTGTATACAATACTATTTAAGTTTTTTTAGATTTAAACATATATTATGACAGAACACATTATGGAGAAGCTCTATTTTATATTCAAATGAACCAAATAATTTTTTTTTCTTGTAGTAAACTCTTGAACCAAACCTAAAAGGTTCCTTTTTGCCATAGGCAATTAACAAAATCAAATCTATTTTAGCATAATGTTAATTTTTATGACTAATTGTTAAGTAAATATATAATATTGTTAAATGAGTTCATAAAAAGGTTAAAATTTTCATTTTTACGCTGAAGAATGTATTACAGTTATTAGATTCTAGTAATTATCTCTCATAGTATATTTCCTTGTTTTTCAACTTTCAGAAGTTGAAAATAAAATGTCCAAAAAGAAAATTCTACTTTATTTGCCTTAAGGCAATTTTATTTTTTCTTCGGGTATACAAAAATCATTCTTTTAAACATACCTTATAAATAAAAATAAAATAAATGTAATCAACAATTTAATTTTTTTTTTTTATCCAAGTCATTATACTCTGTATAATGTCAACAAAGAGTTTTTATAATCAGACAATCCCAGTTATTAACAAAATATACTTAATATATTTAAATGTAAAGTAATATATAAAACAATAGTGATAAATATATATATGTATATATAGATAAATACAATTATTATTTGAATGCTTTTGAGCACACAATTCTTTATTTAGTATTTCTAGATTATAGGTTAATGATTTAAATATCTGGCATTTGTAAGAATAGATAGCCAGATTTTGTGGATTTATCAATAGCAGTTGAAACTTGTCAATGTCAGTCATATAGCACCTAATGCTACAATGAATTATTATTGTTATTAATATTCTAGTGACCATTTTAATTAAAGGTAGCTCTGTAGCAATATACCATTTAAGGTGTCCAAGCTGGATCGATATCAGAATCGGCTGAATCTTCAGCTGCTACGGCTGATTTAACAGCGGCCACAGTTTTTGACTTGGCCACACGATTTGACAACTGTCTTCGTTTGGGTTGAGTTGGTTTACGATTTTGAGATTCTAAAAAAAAAATGTGATAACAAATAATTTGTATACAAGAAAAGGTATTCAAAGGCATTAATATTTATAGTGTCATAGGGATTTGAAATATTATTTACTTGTTTGTTTTGATTCTGAAGTAGTTGTTGTCGATGAACTACTACTTTTACGTTTTTTCTTTGGTGAACCCTTCGATGCAATACTTGTGTTTCGTGTAAGGCTGTTTGCAGTTGTAGCGGTGGTATTAGTAATCGTCATTGTAGCGGCAGTAGTGATGGAAGTTGATGATTTTGTACTCCAGTAATGGTCTTCATCACTATCTGAAGAGGAAAAACGGCACGTGGATTTCGCCAATGGAAAGTATCTAGGATCGTCATCCAACGTTAATGTAGTTGAAGTTTTGGTTGTTGCATTACTTTTTGTTGTATTTAACGAGCCGGAAGCTTTTGGAGTACATACTTGAGGTGTTTTGACAGTGGGTTGAGTAGGTGGTAAAAGCAGTTTCTTAGCCGGAGGCGGAGCGTTAGTTTCTCGTACAGCAGCATCGCCTCCATTGATAAATTTTAAATAACTATCCATAAATGACGGTTTTGAGCATTTGACTATTGCAGGTAAACTAGATGCAGTTGCGATTTCCGATGCATTTTTCGAATTGCAACTGACTGGAGTCATGAGGTGACCAAGTTCCGATTCAATATCGGGTACGACTACACGTATTATTGGGTAACGATCCTGCTCGGCTGTAGGCGTTGTAATAGATTGTTGTAATGGTTGTTCAACACTATGCTGATCCTGCACTTGTACATTATTGTTATATAAATTAGACGTACTATTATAATACGTGTTTGGAATGTTATAGTTGTTTTGAGCTTGATTGGTGTTGGTATTGTATTGATGTGGCTGAATTAATGATTGGGATTGTGGCCAACGTTGCATATCGAAAAAAGAAGACGACGTTGGTGACGGTTCGACAGTCATACTATTACGGTTAGTTACAGGTACCCTATCATTATAATAGGATTGCGGCGTTGTGATGACCTGGGCAGTATTTTGTTTCATGCGCAAGTGATTTCCTTCACGACTCGTACTGTGCAGCTGATGATTAATCTGTTGAGTCTGCGTGGACGTACCGCCATCAAAGTAATACAAAGTGGTTGGAGCGTTGGAATGGTTTGCGGTGCTTGGCATTTGTATCGGGTTACTGACTTTGGATTGATAATAATTGTTGTTAATCGTGTGAGGTACCGATGTGTTTAGGTTGCGTTGCGTAATGACTGACACCACTTGTGGAGTCTGCTGTACGACACTGTAAGGTTGATTGTATCCATTCATAGAGCCGTTTATGGTTTTATTCACAGCAGTATTGACAGACGTTAATTTACGACTATTTTGATGTGCGTAAGGTGATGGCGTGGTAGTAGCGGCACCGGGTTGTGGTAACAAAAGAGGCATGGGTGCCGGATATTGTTGTTGGTGTAACACGGTGGCAGTATTGTTGACGACGTAACATTGCGGCCCCAAGCCACCTACTCTAGCCGACGGCGTTGGTGGTCCAATCGAATGGTTCATCTTTAAGTTTTATTGTAGAAACATAATCCTGTATGAAACAAATATGATTAATATAATAACATTGCACACGGACGAAAAATATCGATAAATGTTGAATTAGTAAAATGGTATAGAACGTACACACACACAAGGACTACACAAGAACCAAGAGCCAAACCTGGAGCGTAGAAAGTGTAACTGGAAATTTTAATTCCAGTCGTTCGGATTTTGGAATGAAAATTAGATTGTAAATTAAACAGCTATCAACAGCTATCAATTACCATTTAATCAAATCACTATCATATAAACATTGTCCAGCTTTGCGATTGATAACATGGAGGTACATTTGTCGGCGGAGGTAAATACAATAACAATAATAATACGAATGCCTCTTAGAAAGAAAAAAAAAGTATGTAATCACTACCAATCTCTCAAGTCGGTCATGATTAAAATTATGTATGATTAGAAATACAAGTATACTTTTACCCATAACGTAATCTCATGTACCTATCTACCTACAAAACGCATACCATAAACGGGTCTAGACGGTTACACGCCAAAGGAAACCGGTTTGTATCCGATTTCTCAAAGTAAATGTGTAGGAATGTGTGGTCTCTTCCCTCTGTGCTATACACCGGTGTTTTTGTTATTATTTTTATTTTTTTCACTACCAACGATAATCAAATAACTTAAGAGTCCGGTGGGTGATGAATACAAATCTCGAAATGTAGCCAGCGGCTCTATCATATTATCAATGATCTTAGGTCAGAGGTGAATTCCTTCGCGCTATGGTCATTGACAACTTTTCTTTCACATAGCATAATTCTTTTATTTAGGTAGGTATAAAAATTATACCTAACTTATACACGTATATTATTTTATTTTACACGTCTACCAAGTCACCAAGTACCTAGTCGATGCGTTGTAAGTATATACATAATAACAATAATAATACTATTTTTTTATGTCAATAATCGTGTTGTAGTATTAATATGGAAATTTCCAACAACGTTATTTGTTCTGTGTTCATGTGCCAAAAATACATTAGGTACCCGTTGTCATATTATAAATCTAGACTAGATAAACCCTAAGTGGTTTTTTGAAAAATATAAGGGTTTAAGTATATTATAGGTCATAGGCAAAACTAGACATTTCTGTTACACCAAAATTAGAGAGTTTTAGCCCTTTAATTCTATTAATCAAAAGTTAGTTATACCGTTTACAGTGTAAATCAAAACCCTTTTACACAAAATTTCAACTCGAGTAATACATACCTATAAAGTGTTTGTGACTGTATAGAAAAAAATAAATACTTAAAGAAGTGATATAGTAAGACACGAGTAAATTTAGAATGTTTACGATAGAGCGGGGAGTTTTTATTTTTTTACTACTAACACCAAATATTCTAAATATAGCTTGGTAGTAGTTGTGTTTATCATCAAAGTGAAGCGACCGCCCTTTCCCGACCTACCTTAAACCTGCCCCTTCAATGTTGTTGTTTTTTTTGGAAAGATTTACTTTCACAAAAAAATATCCATTTGCTTATTGCTTGTAGTCGTAGGAAGTGGTGGGGCTTAAACTATAGTTATCTACCAGGTTGTTGATAATTACAGGATAATACCTAATCGGTAATTACTTTTTTTTATTTATGGTTTCCAGGCGTTTTGTTAATCTATAGTTCATTGATCGAAAATAATGAATATACCTACGCCTTAACATTACATAAATGGGTATAGTTGTTATTATCTAAAAATAAATACAACACGATAATGATAATAATATGTTATTTTGGGCGAATTGAAGATTAGACACAAGTCACGACATTAACAACGAAGTAAATATGTCTTTCTCACATTATTTTATTTTATTATACCTACTTTCGTTTTTAATTTTTATTTTTAGAACATTTTTAAAACAATTGTAGGTATATTTTTGTATACTAGATACTCACAATTATACTTTTTTATTTTATGTTGCTCATTATTTGTTATATACAATTCTTTTAACAATAAAGATGTTACTGTTTTCTTGTTAATATATAATATATTTTAGTTCCCAATTTGTAACTAGGTAAACTTGTGATTGTAAGAAGAAATATTTTTGAAAGCTCGTAAGTGTATATATTTATTATTAATTAATAATAATTATTGAAGAACTAAATGTCATCCGAAAAGTAACATAATATTAATTTTGAAAAAATACACATTTTTTATTAAAAGATACTACCTGATAAGTATTGACATGTTTTCAAAATGTGTTTGTATTCCAATGATTTTTTCTAGTACCTAAGTAATGTATTTTTCATAACACTGATGTACGTATGAATGTCAAAAAATAGTTATAAAATGTTTTATTATCTAAATTATAGAAACAATGACTGAAGTATAAAATTTAGATTAAAATAATATCTACAATAACGGTCTAAATATAAAATGTAGACCGTTAAAATTGTGAAATATTATCTCGTAAAATAACATAAACCTACATTAAAATACAATTCTTCTGCGGCAATAAATAATAACATTAACAATAGTTAGGCTTAGACAAATTCCCCTCCCCCCCCCAAAAAAAAAGCTATAAAGAAATAACAAATTACCAATGTGGTAACAACAATGAATTTTTAGATTATAAAATAAAGTAGTACTTTTTCATTTTAATCAACTGCAATATTTTGTTGTCATTTTTTTTCTCAGTGCACTAGTTTGTTTTCTTATATGTTTAAACACATGAATACATCAGTGTGCATTTAAAAATACATTCTCTTTATTAGAGGACGCTACACATTTTTCCTTGAAAAATGGTTTTGCAGAAGATAGTATATGAGGGCGGTGTTTACTGTAACCGTATACAATTTTTACAATGGATACATAAGAACTTTATTGGTGTCTCGTGTAAATTATATTGTAAATATTTGGTTAATCTACTATTATACTGGCTTCACATATACGTCTTGTCCCGCGCAAAGAAGTTGATGGGAAAAAATTGTAATTTATCCACTGTGATAGTGTGGCGAAAAAAATGGCAATCAATAAAGAATTCTGATTCCTGTATTAATAATTATACCCTTTAGTTTCAGCTCTAAGTTAAGATTTTTCGAACAATTGCCTAAACTTTATTTCTTAGAAATGGGCGGTGTAGTGTCCTCTTAATGTGTTCGATTTCTTATTTTTTTAAGCCTATTGACATGTTTCAACATAGGATTGCCTTAAGTAATTACAGAGTTAGGCCTCACACATTTCACATTTACATATCATTTACATATTTACTGCCATCTGTAGTGGCTTTATGGTCTTATTTTGATACTTACGACGATAAAAATTATCTAAATAAAATGCAGAGAGAAAGCTTTCGCGAACACGCAATTTATTATAACACTTCTATCAACCTAACCCAAATACAAGGAGAAAACTATATATTACGATTGACACTATGGAATAGTAAGCTACCTAGCTATTTCGAATAACAGCAAATTGTTTAACTTTATTAGGTACATTTGTTTTGAGATTAACTCCATTGAAACGATGTACACATTCTAGAGCATAATTAATTGGAAAATTAAAACAAAGAAAACTAAAAACGTACTGTGTACTTACCAACTATTTTTCAATTCTATCAACTGTTATTTGAAAAGACAATTTTTTTAATTTTAAGTTATTTAAAACAAAAGTTTGTTTTAAATAGAAACGACTTTACTAAATATGTTTTGCTGGAATTAGGTAACGGCGCTTGATAAAGTGTCATAACTTGAACGTTTTAACTGTTTTACTTATAAATTAGGAATATATGTCTATGTGAAGTGTTCGTAGTGTGTAACTAATGGTTTACTTACTATATGTATTTATTAGTAAACAAATGATAAAATTATTGTATTATGATATGTGAATTTAGATAACTAATGTATACTACATATTTTAACTAAGCAAAACTCTCAGTCTATATAGATACCTATACTTTACACCGTGTTGGGACTAAATTTAGATTTCATACATTATGAATTTAGTCTTTAGAACTTAATCTCATACAAAAACACCACGACTATCTGCAAACTTTATTCTTTCCCATATTGGTGTTCTTAAGAATAATAATTTATGAAAAATACTTTTATGGGAATTTTATGGCTATCGTTTCATACCACGCATTCACCATGATTTACTTTTTACAGTAGGTAAATAGTCTGAAAAATATTAACTAAATACTTAACAATTTACAGTAGCTATATATACTTTGGTAAGTGGTTAACGCCACAGATTATATTACAGATCATATTACTGTAAAAAAGGTATGATTTAATATTAACATACTACTTCAGAAAATTAATTTTACATAAAACGAGATAGGTGTATCATATTTTAAATATTACCATATTTACATTAATGAGAAATGGCACACCAAGATGTTCAACATAATAGGCGACACGCCATGGCAATTAGACCATAATATATAATATTACCTATAATATTAACACGTTAAATTATGTCAACATCTTTCATAACTACCGGGTTACTCATTGATTATTATACTTGTTCAGTTATAAAAGAAAAAGGTTTTTTCCATTTTCTACAAATAGTCCTATCATTATAAAACCTAATACCGATAATATGTAGATACGCTATGATGAACACACAGCTGAACTGTAGAAATGAACTTAATTATTTGGTGAAAACGAATCAGAATAATATCGCAACTAGAGAAAACGGCAAGAAAACATTTTTAAACGGTTTCGTTTGTATCAAATGTGATTGTTCACTGTTTAAATTATCAATTATTTTGTTGTATGTATTATAAGGAAGTGAATTTAATTAAAAATATATTAACATTATTGTGGTGGTCGATTTTATAATAAGTCGCTGCAACTGGTCCAAAATAAAAATAAAATATTTTAATTTATTTTGAATACATTTTTTCTCCTGAATAGTCGGCTTTCGAAAAGATTTTATTTATTGGGAAATATATTTGTTTATTATCGTTTCATATATTTTTTAAATTTAATAAATCGTAAATTTGATCGTAAACATTTTTAATGGCATATATAGTTTCATAAATATCTAATAAGTTTGACTCGTTTTCTAGCAATAAAAATCAATCTTTGGCTTCCAATATTCGTACTCCAGTCACAATGTAAAGTGAAGGCTTTTAATTAATACTTAAGAGTTAAGTATCTATTGACTATCAGTATACGTTACTCAATTTCTCAAAGAAATGTACTTATTAAACCTGTGAGCTATGTACAGATATGTATATCGGTATATGATATTTTATTTAAAAAAATGTTTCAAAGAAAATGTGCTTAATTAAATTTGTACATTTACGAATTCTCTTACCTAAAATTAATGTTTTACAGATTTCTTCGAAAAATGTGTATTAACGCTTAGAATTTAAACTAAAAGAAGAAACTAAAAAGTTTTAGCGTTATATGTAGAAAAATATGGAGTTATAATAATTTAAGTTTACAATCTTTTTATATTAGTATTAAAAATTATTTTCAAAAAAAATATTATTTTCTTTTATCTACCTATTGGGTGGTATCTATGTATAGCTCAAGTTAAATTCTTACAAATTATAAAAATTAAAGCGAACAATAACATATTGCTTATAAATTATCTCGCGTTTAAAGTTCTTGTTATTCTAAAATTGGGTTCCGTTAGCTTTAGTACAAGTAATTTTTTGTGTACTAAGTATTATAACTAATGAGTTAGGTACAATTGCCATTCACCAAAAACTCATATGGCTATTTATCGTAGTTATTATTTTTAATGTGAGAACTGAATAGTGAATAGTAATCAATCTAATTTTGTTAGTTTTCGAATAACGTAAATAATGAATGTACTCAGTATATTAGGCATACCAGTTTGCTAATACTTTATTTTCTCTACTATATTTTATTTGAATTAATGTTTTAAAAATCAAATGTAATTTAATAACTCTACGTTATGAAGTTATTAAATGTCCGTTGATTTTTTGCTTACCTCATATGATGTTAGACTAGGTACTGAAATGTTAAGTAAATAGAATTACAGTATGACTTCTGTTTGTTTTACATTATGTAAATATGTCGACAATCAATTGTGGAACAATCTTTTTAGCACTTATGGTAACGAGATCAAATTATTTTACTACTGTTTTTGTCTTGTAATAACAATATGTTATTACAATATTATATTATTGTATACGAAAACTAAATTTTGCTAATATCTACCTAGTGTTTTTCATATTCATGTCGAATGGAGAGAGAGGTAAATCAATGTAAATAGGACTTGTAATAATTTTGTATATATTACGTATAAATAATCCATTTATAAACATATTATTGATAATATTTTAAAAATTTAATAATAAATTAAATAAAAAGTATAAAGTTTTTAAAAAGACAAATAGGTATATAAATAAAGTACATTATCTAGGTAAAGGTATTGCATTAGTAATAGGTATAAAATATTAATTATTTTTAAGTTTTGCATATATAATTATACTTATACGACATCTTTAATAGTGTATATATATATAAGATATTATATATTATGGCCAACTAAGAAAATAGCTGATGCAAATTCGGCAATCGTTTCCTTTACTTCCTCCGAATTTCGTTGAAAAAGGATGGTAGGTTAGGTATTAATCAATTTTGGCACCGAGCTGTTGGTCGGCGGCTTCCAATTTTTTGGAGGCGAGGTACCGGATATAGCGTTACCGGTGACGTTAATGCCGTTACTTCCCGACGACGACCTGCGCACTGGAATTTTTGATGGCGACACCGTCGTACCGTTTTGTCCAGCACCAGCATCACGGCTGATGGCCGTCACAGGAGCTTTAAGATTAGGTTGGAATATCACTCTGGGTACTTTGGTCGCAGACTTGTTGTGCTGTTCATTGATTAACGTTGACAGCGTTTCCTCCTTGGTGTCATAAGACCCAGGCTGTTGTGCACCGTTGCATTTGACTGGTCTCGTCTCCTGTTTTCCCTGTGTATCGTTATGTGCGGTGAACACAGACCTAACTTCTTCCTCTTGCTCGGATGTGACATAAGCTCTGCCGGTTTGGCTATGTGCTTCATCCGGCGGCGGAGTCTCTGATGACGCACTGTAGTTGCCGCCGTCAATCTCCTCGTCCGACGATGGTATCATCGTGTCCTCTATTAGAATACCGCTATCGGTGATATCGTTAAGATTACACACAATGTCCTCGATTTCACCGCCAAACGAGTTATTATCCGAGTCCGCATCGTCGGTTTGATGCATTTGCTCGACGGCATCGTTGCTGTGCACTGGCCGTGCAGCATCGTTTTCGAGCACCGATTCGGCAACATTAATTTTGTGCGTTGACTCGACTTCATCGATTTCCTTCACCGGTTTAACAGCGTCTTTTTGATGTATAATCTCGGAGGCATTCTTTTGATATGTTGGTTCAATGATAATACTGTTATGGTTCAAAGCCTTGGACAAATGGTTTTCATAATTAATTTTGGCGTTGTAGTTTCGGAAAGTGGACATCTCAAGTGGTTCTCTCTGGTATATTGACTTGGTCACTTCATTCTGGTGTAATGGCTCAGCAACCTCATTCTGGTGTGTTGACTCAGCAACATCTTTCTTGTGTATTACCTCGACAGCATCGACATTGGGTTCACTCGCCTTTGGCCGTGGATCCTCTGCTTCTTCAAATTTGCTAAATACAACGATTTTGGCTGAGGAGTCTGTCACAATGCTATGTTTTCTTGGAGGCGGTGGAGGTGGCGGTCCTCTCTCCTTGTCGTTTGAGTCTTCTCCGTGATGTTTTTTCAAGTCACCGATTAAAACCTCCTCGAGAGGTCGTTTTTCTGGATTTTCCAAAACAATTTCGTTCCGTACCCGTTCTTCGACGTTTAAAAACTCCTCGAGTTGACGTTTTTCTTGATTTTCCAAAACGCTTTCATTCTGTACCACTTTTTCGATTCTCAAAGTCTCTTCTTCTTGCGGCGTCTCTTCTTTCTGTGTCTCCGCTGCTGTATAGTCTAGGCTGTGGTACTCAGGAGACGTACCACTGTGTTGTTGGACGTTTATTTCATCATCTATTTGTACCACTACCGAATCACACTTGCTTTGTTTGGGTTCATCGAGTGTTTGCACGGCAATATTGTCAGAGCACGTGGTTTGTTCTGGTCCAGAGTTATTTCTCGAACGCGTTGTAGCTTGCCGTATTGCCGATATCGCGTTGCGATAGTACTTTGATATACCTTCTTTGACAGAGTTGTTATTGGCACTGGTTTCAATTGTCTTTTCCCGTTCTACATCAATGATAATGCCAGGATAACGATCCGACAACGTTTGTAACTCGTCCAAAAATTGGTGCTCCGATGCAGTTTTCCCGTTTATCGGTGCTCCAAATTTGACCAACACTTGTGCATTAACTGGTGTAATTTCACCAATATTTCCATTGTCTGTTGACTGGATCGTTGCGCCGTTATCTGTAAACAATTTAATATTTATTTTTTATTTTTAAAACAATGGAGCGCTTACAAATCGCTAAGAAATAGTTATGAATTAATAACTTGCAACACTGGTGTTATTATAATGTATAAAAGTTTATTTCTGTGCATATTAAAAAAATATTATTTTATAATTTATGAAGTTATATAGTACTTATTAACGATCGTGTTGACTATTAAGTAAGATTAAAAAAAAAATTACAATTTCGCTTAGGTTAAATGTCCGACTCCTCAGCCTTGTTTTAACACTTTTTTTTTGGCGTTGTGACAGTTGTAGGAATTTTGGGTGAATATAGTCTAAGGTTATATGATTTCGGTGCTTATGTTGAAAGAATGTGAGAAAATAAAAACACGATTGCTTCGAATTGCTTTGTTTATTAATCCGTGAGTTAAGGTTTCTTAAAATGTGATTTCTTACTTATGTATAATTTTAAAAATTTTTTTTATTAGAAAAATATACAATCTGTACAATACAATATTCGTAAAATAGGCTTATGGTATGGTTAATATATACAATTAGCAGTGTATCACTTGTTTGAAGAAACCATTCAGTGATGGAACTCCAATGGCTGGAAGAGGTCTATAATTTAAATGTAAAAAGCAGAGGTGCTATGATATTTATACAAAATCTAAAGATTGACCTACTAAGCAAAAATAATCAGGTGAAATTTAAGATTGATAGATTTCGTTTCCCATTATACTATACCGGAATTCATAACACATGAATAGTGAATTTAGCATCTTTTTTAACTGAAAAACATTTTTTAGCAATTATTCAAATTTCAGCCGAATGTAAATATTTATATTTTATAATTAATTATACCAATGTTTTCGCTATAATAAACCGCGTTATTTTTACATCAAGATCGAATAGCTATTAATATGTATCTATAATGCTATAATGTATCTATACACGGGTTTCTCTTTAATTGTGACCTGTCTATCGAGTTTTGCAGTATGATTAATATGCCTCGTACCTCGAGCTCACGTGCTGGGATACACTTATTTTAAGTATTTATGAATTCAAGCCCGAGTAATTTTACAATGAGTTTTTATACTTAGCTAAAACACAGGGAATTTCTATTTTATAAATATGTGTCGACAAAATTGTTCAAACCACCGACGTAAACAACTTCAATCTTCATTAAGTTGGACAGTCATAAGTCATAACTTATAGTCCGAAAAGGATAACAATGTGGCAACTAATTTATAAAATAATGACACCGTTTTAATAACTGAAAAAGGTACAGATATATCTATGAAAGCATAAACGGTACTTTTGAATAATGTAAAATTAATATAGGTAACACATACATTGGCTAAACAAATATGGAAAATGAGCCGTTCAAAATGATGTGGCTTGTGTACTCATTTAAGTTGTTTACATTACAATACATTAGTGGCAGTTTTAACTGCCATTTGTCATTATGGTAATAATTAAGCACTGACAAAACGAGAGGATAATTCTGTACCTGTTTACAGTTATAAGAGAACTTTTGATATTGTAATGAATACATACAAATGTGGTAAAAATAAGATTGTGTACAACAATCATGATATTTTATTTATTATTGTTTTATCCCATGAAAAATAGTTTTATAAAAATCACAATCGTTTTAAATAGAACTATATTATTTGTAAACGTCAGATATACTTTCAGCCTAATACAGACTTAATAAGTCCAAAAAAATCAAAATAGTTTATGTTTTTGACTGTATATGGCAGGATACATTTAAATATTTTTGTCATTTTATAATATTAGATAATATTTAAATAAGTATTTTTTCCAGAGCTCTATTATCTTTTAAAACTTAAATGGTAACGTATATTATGTTTAATTAGCTTTTTAAATTAAGAGTAATTTTGCTGAAAATTTTGACTGGTCGGTAACCAGTTTTGGATAATTACTTTTTAAGTTACTAAAGTTGGATGCGATAGAGTAATGTGTAATGATAAAAATGTATTACTATACTCCACCCTTCCTCTGGTTCTAAATGATCCAACACAGGTTATAAGCCAGCCAACATTTTTAGCAATGTTGACCACGACCAAATATACTTTATTTTAAAAGTTAAATAAGTATATACGTTACCATTATAATTTCTAATGTAGAGCTCTGAAAAAAAAAATTGTAGTAAAAAAGGTAATAACAGTAAATAACATTAAGTAATTTTATAATATTGTAAAATAACATAAAAAAACATTTTTTTAAAAAGAAAAACCACAAAATTGCAATTATTTGCTAAATAAATGAGCGGCTTACATTAAATTGATCACCCTGTTTCAAGTATTTTCGAAGTACCATTTATGACTTATAGACTGACAACTTGAAAAAATCGAATAGTAATTACCAAATTGTCGTGGGTTATTTTTAATACCTTAGCTCCGTATTGAAGCTAAAACGTAGTTTTAAGCGTTTTTATGTGCTTGTATAATTTATGCTGTCCTACTATAATTTACTTATTATTTGTCAAAATTGTATGATTAATTAGCATAGTGTTAAATATCTAACGGAGCGAAGCCGGTTGTAACAACTAGTAATATTTTACTGACATAATATAATATTATACGCAATAGATTTCCCTAATTCACCATTATTTATAATTGTAACTGCAAATGACTAATCGTATCACAGATGTATCGCTAGTATATTCAAGGTTAACAATTAATACGTCATTTAACATCTTTGTAAGGTACCTTAGTTAATTTTACCTCTTTTTAAGTGTTAATTTAATTGATCGTTGTTTTAATATTACTGACAAGTAAGTTTACGTTATACGTAACTACTTCTATTTCAGATTAATTCAAGTTCAGTTAGAGAGCATTTACAATAATATGAACTTTTGCCTTTATCTGACACTTATACAAATAACATTTGTCAAAAAACCAGATTTCAATTTTGAAAATACCAATTGGGTTGTATCTATATGAATAATCAAAATAGTATTGATATATTGTTTTTATATCAGTTAGAAGGCATTGAATATATGTTATATATAATATATACTAAAAAAAAAGAAAGAAAAATATTTACATTTTATTTTTAACTAAATCTACCGACTTAACATTTAATCAACATACTGTATAAATTAAATTTTGGCTCGGTCACACACTTTTTTTTTGTAAGGTTGATACCTACAAAACAACCCAAAATAAAATCTTGAAAAACCGGTTGATTTTTTTTTTTAGATTTTCCTGCTAAAAGGAGATTTTTTTTCTACTATTAAGTATTAACCCTTTAGTATTCTTTATTGCCAACACTATAATATATCCTCTGTAAGACTTTTTTTTACAGTTGTTCTACCACAATCACCATAGTACCTCCTGCAAGTTAAAAGAACGATACAAGGTCCGTATTTAGCATGCTATCGCGGTTTAATAGTTTTTGCAAAATATTTTTTTTCTATTTCTTTTGACGCACAAACCGGGCTTGTTGTGGTGTTACTAAGACGAATCGTCATCGACGTGACTTTCATTAGCCTTCCATATTTGATTTCTAGACCAGGGCCTGTAATTAATCGTTGACTTGTCCGGCCTCGGGCATTCATTGGTATGTGTGTATGTATAACATGTAAAATTGTATCCTATTCGTTTTCGGTTTGCGCAGAAACGACGAGACGTCGTATACAGGGTGATTCATTAAGGATAAGGCACTCCTTTTCTCTTCAAATATTCGCAATTTTCTTGTTTATCTTCTTGGAGACACTTTATGCATTGTAATTTAACAATATTAGACAATTTTCAAATTTTTATCTCTGTTAGAGATCTTTGAGAACTTGAAGCTCTGTCATGTTTCAAAACTTAAATGGTAACGTATATATTTAATTCGATTTTAAATAAAGAATAATTTGTCGAGGTCGATAACCACTTTTGGATAATTATCTAAATTTAAAATTTAGGACGAAAGATGGAATGCGGAATTACTTTACCGCAGCGGACTGATAAAACTAATACTTCAATCCACCTTTCCCGTTCTAAATTTTAAACTTCAATAATTTTAAAATTAATTATCTGGTTATCGACCAGCAAACATTTTTAGCAAATTATTCTTAATCTGAATAGGTAGTTAAGTATATACGTTACCATTTAAGTTTAACAAGTTATAATATTGTAATGTTATAATATTTTAAAATAATCTAGACGAATCACTTATGATAACCAACATAATATATATAGTAGAGAAATAAAATAATAAAACAGCTAGAACAGTGGGGTCGGGGCATAGTGGAAACGGGCAGGTCACAGTCTTCAGGAATTATTATAACTGAAAGTGATAAAATAATTTTTAAATAAACGAGTTGATGCGAATCTGTAAAGAGTGTAATTTGTTCCTATTTTTTTGGGGTTTCCTTCATAAAAAAAAAGTTTTACTACATATTTTTAAGAAAACTGTATATGTTAAAGCTCCGTTCTAGATCTACTTTTGGTCTAATTTTCAAACCTAAATCCCTAAAACTTTGTTTGAAAAAGTGTAATTAAGAAAACAATTCTATCCCTATTAGGGGAAAGGGATTACGGAATGTTTTTGGTTGGTCAAGGTTTATGTTACATTGTGTTGTACTATGCTTAAAAAATATTTCCTACAAATTTTGAACTAATTCGGCTATTTTTCACAAAGTTATAGAGAATCTTAATTTTACGTTGAAAAATATGTAAATTTGTTGGGTATTTTTCTCGATTTGGAAGAGGAAGGGGTGATTTTTTAAAAACTCTCGGCCCGATAAAATACCTTACAGGTACTGTTTCTAATCTATAAAGTTGCTACACGAAGAAATCGGTTCAGCGGCTTAGAAGATATTATCGAAGGTACAGACACAAAAGTATTAAAACAAAAACACATCATTGTAAATACAATACCTTCTCAGCATACATTACATCACTAGGTACTCGCAAACACGGTTATATCTACTAGTATCTAGTATCTAACCGTTGTTTGCAACGAAAATGATGTTTATTTTTCCCCATTAAATTATTACCTTTTACTGGATACGGCTGGTTATCGGCCGCGGTTTCCAACACAAGGTCTTTGCCGGATCGCCAGCAACACGGTAAGTTGAAGCAGGCGTTCGGGCATTGCCGTCTCCACGCTATGATACCGACGGCGACCGACAGCACCACGGCGACGGCCGCTATGCAAATCCACGTGACCGCCGTGCCGTCGTCACCACCGCTGCAGCTCCTCGTTTGGTCGTCGGCCTGGGCGACCGCATACCCCGACAGCAATAAAAAATGCAAACCGACAAAACTGTACCTTCGCATTTTCTTCCTGTAATAAATAAATAAATAATAATAATATATACAATTGCCGGTAAAAACGCAGTCTGGACTACGGCGGCGGCGGGTAGCTCGAACGGCTTGTGTGTATGTTTTAACTTTCTCTCGGGTAACCGGATACACACACATGCGCGCGCGCGCAATGTCACGGTCAGAGGAGTGTTGCCAGTAGAAACTAGAAAGTAGTAGCGTGTATGCATCTTTTAAACTCGCATCACAAGTTAAGTACCACAAGTTGAATTCTTTTCCGAATCACAAACACGCCGACGCTGTATCGTAACACTTAACACAGATACACAGACACACAAGCCTGGGTCTCGCATTAACAGGTTACTGCGGTCGAGTCAACAAATTCAGCTAATTTTAACATTTGAACCCGACCCGGTAGTGTTTCTGCTGTTTGTTAATTCGGTCGAGAATGTTTTTTGAGAGAATTTTTCCAAACCATACTAACATCCAATTGAGAATAAAACGGTAGGTATGGGTAATAACATTGAGTATAGATATAAATTGTACAATTACTGAAAAATACCGTACGATCAAAAAAATGTTTTGAAGAAAAATTCTCACTTGTACCTACTCTTTAAGTTCTCGTAAATTTAATTAAACTGTACGACTGTTTTAGGAACAAGAAACAAAATAAATTTATTTTATAGCATTTTGATCACTAAATCTGACATCATATTGTGTGTATAACTGGTTTTTCTAAACTCTAAAAGCAATTCACAAAATTTACGATCAAATTAGGATTTACCACAAAAAAAAGTCTTTACATAATATTAATATATTTTAGTTCTTGTTCCCAAATCGTTTCCTGCAGTGATATAATACTTATGTTTAAGGTTTTTTAATTTTTGCAATAATACCTTTACAGTTACAATTTATAACAACGCTCAATCAAGTTCCATCCTTTCAGATACAAAGTAACTTGTGAACATTAGGTACTTAATCATTTTTCTGAAATTCGATACAAATATGAAGTATAAGACTACTTCCCTGCTTCGTCTTCAAAATAACTCGATTAAAATTACCTACTAATTACCCCCCCCCCCCGTCTCCACCTAACAATAAATATAACCGACCATTTGTACCCTGTAATTTATTATTTTAAAATTGAATTTAAATATATTTAAAAAAGTAAATTATAACATAATATAAAAATACAATATAAATAGATAGGTAACCGGTTAATTGTATTAGAGATCAATAACTCCGAACAATTAGAAGTAAACTAATACCCTTTTAAACATTAATAAATAAAAACAATAAACCATTTAAATGAATCGGGATTTGGAGTGTGTTTAATAACTAAAGTAATTTGTTCACTTATTATAATAACTTATTAATATAATATATTTTGGTCAAGTTGTAATTATACATTCTCAGATGTAAAATGACCTATTTATTATAAATATCTATACATATATTTTTTTGTAAGCTAAATAAGACAACAGATATATTTTGTGTCCGACATCGATTTAATATCTAATTAATGGGGTCTACAAATTAATCATAAAAGAATGCCGCCAACTATGGCATTGAATACATAAGCTTATACTGTTCGACTGAATTAATTAAATAAATTTAGTTATTTTAAATTGTATCTAAACAATACTTTGTTCAACCTAACAGAGTTAATACAAAATCATATTTTTTTTCACCAGTCTTGTAAATATTTGGGTTTGCATCACATTTACTTATGAGGACTGTGTATTTTTTAGTATTAGGAATATCTGGGTGTACAAAACTAAACAAAAAAACATATTGATTTTCTTACTATACGGGGGCCCATTACCATTGTGATTTAGGTAAATTTTGGATTGTACTCGTGCTAACTGTACTATAACATAAGTTCTAGTAATAAAAAACAAATTAAATAATAGCATAACTGAATAACGTACTTAACAGTTAGTTAATAACATACTAATTATTGTATCAACGACTTTATAAGAAACTAAACCAAACCGATGTTTAATTTAGGTCAATCAAGATTAATTTAGTAAATTAATTGTAAAACTGCGGGGATCGATTTTAGATTTAATCATGACAAGCGTTCTCAAAATACAAAGTACTTTCAACAAAAACTACATTAACTTGTCCATTATGTAAACAATAAAAATAATAGGAACAACAAAATATTAATTGTTTAAAAACAAAAAACGTTAAGCTCTATGTACTAAAAAAAGTTCACATTAAACATAAAAAAATAATAAACATTTTATTAAAATGCTAATAATTTTTCAAAATTAGAGCAGATTTGTATAGTTTATTTTATAAATATTTGTACACCATTCTGTACATTTATATGATAAACTTTTTTGATTGATCGAAAGCAAAAACAAATTCTTGTTGAATAATAACTAGTTCTACTAACGCAAGCTATTATTAAAACGATTTTGCTAATCACTATGGGTTATTATAAGTTATGAACTTATTATGTTATACAAATATAGGCTATAGCAAACATTTAAATTGAAGAAGAGGGTCAAATTATTACAAAACACTAGAAATGCTAAATCTATCTTGCGTCGACTTCCAGAAACTTTATCGTCTCTATGAAAAGAATAATTGGTATGGTGTATATATTATTCTCATCCATTATTACAAAAATGTTGTTTTTTGTGTATCATTATATGTCTGTAATTCGGGTCTAAGAGGGTCAATTAAAAATCTGAAACTTGTTTTGGCAAAAATTAACTTTTTATTCTTAAATTAAAAATGTATTATTTATATCAGTATAAAAAAACAAAATGTTTGAACATTTTTTTTTGTATCATCCCTTCTAAAACGAATTGTTTTTTGTTCCGGAATAATTCTTTCCAAAACGAATAAGTTAAAAAATCAATATTTCTAATATATAAAAATAGATTTAAGAATCTAGAAACCTATTATATTGGCATGAAAGTTTTTAGTTCATAATTAATATGTAAATTTTGGCCGTACAAGTTCCAAACCCCCAGGGATCAATATAACTTTTTGCAACTTTTGGAATATGACGTTTTTTTTTATTTATGAATTTATGCCAAAGGCTAGGTAAGTACAGTAATTAACTATAACAAAAATACAATATTAAGAAATATAAGATAGAATAGTGAAATATAAAATGTTTTAAAACAAAATATTGATAATATTCGAATAACATGTATCATAACATGCAACGTTTTAAGATTGAAGGATTATCAGGTTTAAAAAGAAATAAAAAGAAGAAAATTTATTATATTCAACAAAAATTCAATTCAGAGGAGTCTAATATCCGTATAAAGTTTTATGAAATGAGATGGAAAGTAAGACAAGAACGAAAAAGTAATGGGGAACTTGGATTGGAATGGGACTAAAGTATTTTGAAATTTTAGATGAGGTTCAGTGTTATTTGTTTAAATGCTCCCAAAACTTTCTGAATTTTTGTTCGGGAGTGCCATTTTTTAACACAATGACATTATCTGAGGTATAATGGTCTAGCTCATTTATTCCAAATGTCGGCATTGATCCTTTAAGACCCCAAGTATAAGATACCTGCTTGTACTTTATTAATATAACATTCTAAGTTCACCTTAAAAAAAGTAATCTGGTCATTATGGACACTAAAGTGTGTCCCAAGGGTCGGAGTTCATTCGGGTGCAAAACCCGAATAAGCTCTAAGTACATATTGTTATACATGGTCCGTGGGAAAAAAAACAATCGTTTCTCGTGGAAGACACTCACGCTAATACTATACAAACCAGCGGGGTTTCTCATAATGACAACATAATATGTACAGTATTTCCCAGAATAGCGTAGGGTAACGCTTGCGATTTGTTGACTATGCGCGTGTTCAGTCAAAATAACATCTAATTAAACTGCATGTTTGTGCATAATATAGTGGCGTTTTAGAAGACTAAGAAAACAGCAATTATAAATCTCATCGAAAAAAGAACGGTTAATGGAATAATATTATGAACGTGCAAACTTCTGGAACGCACCGTATAATGTCGGGTGTACCAGCTGCTGTATTATACCATAATACGGCCTATTGTTATAGGTACGCGGCGTATTACCGCATGGAAATATTATTGTTATCATGTTATACGTACTCGTGATGAGGGCTTCTTCATTATATTATCGAAATCATAATATTGTTTTGGACCGGCGCATCACCATCATCGTATCGAGTGAGACAGAGACAGAGACCAAACAACAACAGCAGCAACAATAATGACAAGAAAAAAAAACCGCACAATTGTATCGAACGCGTGTGTAATGTGTACGAAATATTATAGTATTATTATTGTGTTGAATAATGGAAATGTTTTTTTTATTCTTCAAGTGCACCGCGCGCAATGACTGAGCATCGAGAGGAGGTGTACACGGTATACAAGCACCGCAGTATTTGGTCGGTCGTGGCGGCACAACGACTCAGCAGGTGTATGTGTGTGCGCCGCCGCCGCCGCCGCTGGTGGATCTGGGTGCAGTTTAGTTAAGTTCTGGTGGGGGACAACCGGATTCCGTATTAATGTGCCGTATCTTTTGCTCATAAACAAAACCGTACTTGCTTTTAATTTACATTTTCAAATTCCCATAACAACTGCGCGGTGCCCGGCGGCGGTAAAAAGAAATTGTCAAATCAACCGCATAAATAACGTCTTGTGCTTACACTCTACTGCCGTATAGGTTCACGAAATAAAATAATAATAATATCTAATATAAGTTCGACGAACTTGTGCTCGGTGTAACTGTAGTGGTGCAGATTCGAAATTCGGGTAAGGGGAGGCTTAAGTCCCGAAAAAATATTGACCAAAAGTGATACACGGGAGGTTGTTAAAAAATCTCGAGAGGCCTAAATAAATCTATACATACTAGGGTGGTCCTTAAAAAAAAGATTTTCGAATTTTAACCTCGACGCCCCCCTAAACATTTTCTAAATACAATAAAAATAAGATAAAAAAAAAATTGAAAAATATTAATTTTAACCCTAGCCCCACAAGGGTTGAAGTTTAAATGGGATTTAACATAGGATTTCGACACTTTTGCCCAGATCATGTTTACATTTTTTCCTACTCCTTAGTTTGAGGTGTGGTTTTAATAGTAGTGTAACTTGGAGTCTGCTGAACACGTATACCATACCCAAAAGTTCATAACTGTCAAAATTGCTGCCAGAAAATGAATATTTAACTAAATATAGGCGTTTTTAAAACCAAACAATTTATATTTTTCAAATTATTTTTTTGATCTTATTTTTATTGTAATTATAAACATTTTAGGGGGCGTCGAGGTTAAAATTTGAAAATTAACTTTTAAAGGACCACCCTATTCAATTTCAATTGTGTAAAAAAAATAATACTATCTACTATGTAGTGGAGTCGAATTATACCAAAAACAAATCTAATGCCTCAAATTTGCCAAAAACCTAATAGATTTTCCTGAAACCTTCCACAATGATCTTTTGAATGGATAAACTAAAAAGTATACCGATTAAATATGTACGTTTCTTAAACCCTAAATGTTTTGGAAAGCCCAATTTTTTATAGTACAATTTGTTTTAACGATTATAGACATAAAAATGTATTAATAATTATAAATTATAATTAAATTACATATTATTAATATTTATTGTATAATCATAATTTGTCGTATTACTCAATTACAACACTTATTACCTGGATTTATAATATTTACTGAAAGGGACAAAGTTCAAGCACACACTTCAAGGTGAACGCTAATAATATTGGCACCTGTCCGTAATCGCGGAAACTGGTAGACGGCTCTACTAATAGTGATTAATCGATTATTCATCACAAGCACAATAACTGCACTATAACGGATAACCAGATCCTACTAATGATAAAGGCAGTCCTTTAAAATTGAGTGAAGCACTTACACAATGTTTGTACTTTTATAGTATGCAATGGATATTATAATCTACACAAAATAGTATAGATCACACAAAAAACATTTTAGTATAATCATTCAAAAGTATTTTGTAAATGGTTTCAGTAAAAGCCATTAAATTATAAGTAATTCAAGGAATAAACCATATCTGACTCCATTAAGGTAGTAGTGCCATTACAATAGTGTAAATGTAGATAATATCTTAATACACATAATTTCAATTATAATACAACACTTGCCAAAAAAACTGTCACTACAATATTAATAATAACAACATGGTAACATATTATTTTATATCTTATTAAAAATTATGGCCGTTCAATAATTTTCGGGCCCAAGAAAAATGTCTTATATCGTTTGGGATATTTTACTTATGTATTACTATACAACTATATTATATTGATATATCTGACTAAAATGAAACTTTTGAATATTGAAACTATTGACTTAGCTTTAAACTTCAATTTTAAGATAACATAGGTTACTAGTGAGTAGTATACTAATCCTACAAAATATGTTTTTTCATTTTTTTAACAAAATTATAAATAGATTATCTCAAAAAACAAAAATGAGAAAACTTTTTAAAATATGATGGCAGGATCTTTGATCGATTTTAGATTACAGACTTTGGTTTTTGAAGTGGCACTGCGGGATTCTTTATTTAACACATCACAACAATCTCTACTTGAAATTTAAAAAAAATTGGCAGAAGAGAGGAAGACTTAAACGCTAAAAAGTTAACGATAAGGTATAAATAAATATATTTAGGTAAAATCAACATACCTACCTACTATGAACATAGCTTAGAACCTAAAGCCTCTATATATGATCTAGAGCTGTAGTAATAAAATTATTTCCAATTTTTTTATAATAAACTGGTCAGGGATGCGATATTGTGGATAGCTAACTTCTTACTGTTGGATTTTGATTGTGATATTTTATCCTGGCGTATTATATCATAACTGTATTATAATTTTAATAATAAAAAATAAAGTTCTTAAGAAAAAAGAACAATACCATAATCTTGCGGTGTCATAAAAAAAAATATAATTATTTTTCAATAATAGGTACTCTATTTTTTATCTTTCATGTTAACATTAATAGTTGTTTTTTCTTGAAAAGGTATTCATCAATTACAAATTTACATTATTTACCGTAGCTGATATTTGTGTTGTGGTATTTTAATTTTACTATCACTTCATCAACTTGCAAGAATGACTTCACGCATGTTATGGGGAAATTATTTTTAATTTCGGTACTAAAAGTCGTGACAATAATATAGATTTAGCGTCATCTTTATTGCGTATTCTACACACGACCTTTTTATTTTTAAAAAATAAATATTAAATAATATAATACAGATTAAAATTTATATTATAGTACCTAAAATATTATTGTAACCCCTCCCCCCTCATCATAGTGTTTTTAACTTCCATACTATATTTCTATAATAACTATACCTACTATAAGTGTTTTTTATTAAATTTAGCTTAATGTAAAATTAAAACTGGTTTATTTGCTTATCAACATTCAAGACATTAACTAAATGTTGACGTGAACGGTTGTCGATAAAGTTGTAAGGTACAGAACAACTGCGGACGTTCATTTTTTAACTTTCCCGAAGTTATACTCAAAAAGTGATCAAAGAGAACACAATATGTAAATATTTAAATAAAGTCTAAATTTTTAATACATAGATGAAATTTTACCATAAAACTATTTGTTTTAAGTTAATAAAATTATATTTTCTAAAATATGCTTTAGATGTAAAAAATAAAGTTGGATGACTCATACTTAAACCGTATATATTTAATAAAGCGTAAATATTCTTGGACAAATCCGTGATATACCTATATTATATAACTATATTGGTATACTTACTAAAATATTCAATATATGTTTATGATCAAATAATTAAACGATGATCATGTCTGTTTACCTAATCTATCAACTCAATCTTTTTTAAGGATTATTATTGAAAAAAAATAATAAAGTGTGAGAGCTACATCGATTATCCTTACAGTGTGAAATTCTTAATGTAATCACAATAAATCTATCAGCTTGGCTCTACTCCAAAAAAAACGGGTCGTTGGTTTTACTCACTCGAATCGTCAAGGAGTAGATGTTTTAAAATGACATGTAACTTGTTTTCTTGATATCGACGTTGATTAGGTATTTTTAATCAATTGGATCAGCCGTGTTTCGAAAAGAAATTAAGCTGGAAAGTACATATATTAAATAAATTAACATATTATTGCATAACAAATAGATATGTTTGACCAAAATAAATTAGTCTTGTATTTAGACATGATCATGATAAAACAAAATTATATTCCTATTGATTATTGGATAAAATAATATTATTATTGTATAGTTAACTGAATAAACTATACATTATTATTCAAACATTTCTTTCAAATAATTATTTATATATTATTAATTAAGATTTTTTCGAAAAGAATTGTATGATTCAATTCATTTTATGATTTTTATTTTAAGTGATTGCTCATAAGACCTCATTGATATTGGCTCTAAATTACTATTAGACATTAGTATAAAAGTGTAGCGGGTAAGAATTGTAAGTTTGACGTTTGTGCTTAGTATGTCCAGTGTATTGAATGTGTATACGAATAAATTAATTAATTAAAAAATGTGTAAGGTTAATGTAATTTTGTGATAAAATGTGAGAACTGAAACTAAAAAAACCAATTCAGATTTAATTGTCTTTATTATAATGACTTTTTAATTATGAAGTATATGCTGACAGTAGAATACTGTGAAAAATACATATATTTGAATAATATTTGTGGAAATAAAATTTCGCTTGCCTGAATTGTTACATTGTTATGTGTACATTATAATTTTTAATTAAGAGTACAATACAAAAAATGAATTTATTAATTTTATAAGACTATATTATTATATCTGAGTATTTCATTATCCTTGTTTTATTGTAATACTATACGACAGAGCTTAATTTAATCGCAGTTTTTCCTTTTTTGTTGCTTAAAAATGGTTTTCAACCTTCATAATGTTAGCAGCGTAACCTCAGCAGACATTAATTTAACTTATTCAACAAATTGGATAACATTTTGGTAGTTTGCTAGAGATTGTTTGGAGAAGAACGAAGTTTTGTTGGACCTTATTTTCGCCACTAGAGCTTTTTTAAAGTTTGTACTGCTAATTTTACTCTAACAGTGCGACTTTTTGTTGGTGAGTTTTTTTTGACAAAAATATTGTAATTGATTTGTTGGATTTAAATTATCACTCGACATAATAATAAGTTATAATAATTTGTATAACAAATAATTGTTATAACATTTAGATGGATAATTTTGGTTGCCTTGTCAGTCGATCATTTTCATTCATATTTTTGACTAATTTTAAGTATAATTATTGACTTATGGGATGTTCAACAAAGATTTAAATAGTTTGATTGTATTCTAGATAAATTTTGATTTTAAAATATTTATCTTAAATACTCAATTTATTGTAGACAGCAAAGTATATTTTATTTTATAATAAGTAAAAACAAGTATTG